TTTTACCTTAACTGAGCCTGTGTGTCTTTTTGCATCTATGGTAACATATCCTTAAGATGTCTGGGTAACTTGTAACTTCCCTTTTTCTGGACCCCCTGGGGCACAACCTAATGTGCTGGGCGCCAGGACAGAGACCACAGATTCCTTCATCATCATGTTAATTGTTCCTGCACCCACCTAAGTATGTGTCCATCATTTTACTTTTTATTCGATTCCAGGGCTTTCCCCGCTTTGCTTCCTCCCGCCTCTCTAGTCTGTCACCAGTGGATTTCATGTAACCCACCTACATCCCTTCCTTTGAGTGCAATGTATAAATACAGATGTAACCCGCCATTCTCCGGAGCACTATCTCAATTCATTGAGGTTCTGCTTCCCAAACTGTCTGCTGACAGTTTGGCTCAAATAAACTCACAAAAATTCTTTACAGGTTTCAATCGTCTTTTAGGACAACAAGCCTCTGAGCCCACATGTTTACACTCCCCCAGGAAGTGTCTCTCCAGAAGAGCCCAGGACCAATGTTTTGTAAATGTTGAAACTTGAGGCAAACAGAAGTCTGGAGCTGAGCTCACCCCCTCTATGAGTGCAGGGGGTGGGGGGAGGGTATCCTGGAGGGAGGCCACCTGGCCCACCCCTCTCCTCCCTGCCAGCCCAATGGAGCTGGAGGCTCCCAGATGGGTGGGCAGGATGGGGGCTCCCAGGCCAGCCCAGCCTAGGTGGACCTCTATGCCTCTCCCCCTTTCTGGTGTCCTGGGCCCTCCTTTTATGAAATTGGGGTGACAGTAGATGGGAGTGGTTGGGGCTGTACTTGAATCACTGGGGACCCCTGGGGAACCCCAGTCAGGCCTCCTGGGGGCAGGGGGGTTCACTGTCAGGCCTCCAGGGAGGAGCCAGCAGGCTGGCCCACACAGGGACGGGGGCCCAGCAGGCGCTCCCCAAGGGCTGGAGGGGCCGTGGCAGCCACCTCTGCAGACCACAGGGACCCCTAGCAGACTGAGTCATTTCCTGGTTTAGGGTTGGCTGTCTTGGGTTCACCATGGCCCTAAACCAGCGGTTCTCAACCTGTGGGTCGTGACCCCTTTTGCGGTCGAACGACCCTTTCACAGGGGTCGCCTGAGACCATCCTGCATATCAGATATTTACATTACGATTCATAACAGTAGCAACATTACAGTTATGAAGTAGCAATGAAAATAATTTTATGGTTGGGTCACAACATGAGGAACTGTATTTAAAGGGCCAGAAAGTTGAGAACCACTGCCCTAAACACAGGCCCATGCCTCCCTGTTGGTCACAGGAAGCACGATGCAGCGGGCTGTGTGGGTGGTCCACGGGCGCCTGAGGTAAGTGCCTCCACCATCTCCACCTGAAGGCTCGCCAGGCACCCGCTCCCACCTGAGCCTGGCCCCACAGCTCCCACCCGGCACGCACAATCCTGTCTGAGGTGGGCTCAGCCTGGCTGAGCCTCCCTCTCGACACCTGGGAGAGGCAGTGACCGAGGTGCACCAGCCGCCTGGTCCCTGGCAGCCTCCTCCAGGAGCCGGCCTCCCCGCTGAAGGGCCCTGAGCCTCAGTTTCCCCATCAGGAGGTTGAAGCTGTTCTCTCCGCCCCCACGGGTGCAGCTGAGGGTGGAGCAGGAAAGGGGCAGCTAGGGGCATGTAGGGATCTACCCACCCCTTGCCCACTGATGGACACTGGCTGCTTCCACTGCGGTGGTTAGAAACAGCGCTGCCATGAACAGTCACATATAAGTTTTGGGCACTCATTCACGCCTCTTCTGGGCACGTACCCAGGAGCTGGGGCCCTGCGGCCAGAGCTCCCCAGGCAGGCGGGTGGGAAAGCCTGGCAGGAAGTGGCTCTGTGACCAGGCTGCTGCCCCTCATCAGAAACAAGTCCCTTCTCCAAATGCCCAGAAGACACAGGTACTCAGAGGCCAGACTTGGGGGAGGGAGTGGCTGAGCTTGGCTAATCTAGGGCAGCTGCGGGGAGAGACGGAGAGACAGGGAGCGAATGCAGACAAGAGAGGGGAAGGCAGAGACAGAGCAGTGGAGAGCTGGAAGGAAGGGGAGGGCTTGGGAGGGGGAGGGGGAGCTGGGCAGTGTGCTGTGGGGAGCTGAGTCCCAGCAGAGCCCGGGCCAGCTGTCTGGTGCTGCTCTGAGGAAGCAGCCAAGGCGGGAGACGACTTGCTCAGGGCAAGTGGCCTGGCTGGTCAAGGCACGCCCCCGGCTGCTGCTGGCCCCAGGCCAGTGGTGGGCAGGAGGGCCACACCTGCTGGGCATTTGTGTGGTTTGTGTGGTGCCAGGAGGGGCAGGCTGATCTCAAATTGCACTCATGGCCATGGCAGCCCCAGCAGGGCCAGGCCTGGGGAGCTGCAGATCCAAAGTTGGCAAGGGGTCAGGGCTAATCTGGCCCCTCGAAGGCACTGAGGACAGAGGCTGGGGTTGGGGGCCGATGGCGGCAATCCAGGCATCACTCACCCACAGCCCGTCCTGTCCCATCCCTGCCCTTCCTGAGATCAGATTCTTGCTGGGCTTGGAGCCCTCCTGGCCATATAAGGCCGTCTGTGGGCACCTCGTGGAAAAGCTGCAGAACCCTTACCCTGCCCCCCACGGGAACCAGAGCTTGGCCAGGCCGCCAAGGACCAGGCGTGGGAAGGGACCTACAGGAGCTCAGGTCCCATGAGAGAGGAGGGTGGGCAGGCCAGGCCTGGGGCTGCCTCTGTGCTGGAGAGTCCCCACACATTGCCTGTTCCCTCCAGGGCTGGAGTATGGATTGGGAAGGTGGCAAGGATGGGGTGGGGTACTGGTGTGGACACACAGCGACATATGGGGGATCTGGAATCAGGAGGCCTGGACTCCCAACTTCACAACCCAGTAAGGTGCTGGGAGGTGCCCTGATGCGCCCCGTCCAGGGAGGGGCATGGGGCTGGGTCCTAAGAGCAGCCTGTTGTGGGACCAGCCCTTTGCACTTGCAGAGGACTTGACATGGGCTCGCTGGGGAGATGCCTGGCGGGCCCAGAACAGGGGCGGGGAGAGAGGGAGGTGGCCAGACAAAGGAGTGTGGACCAAAAAAGGGGGTCTACAGAAAAGAAGTTACAAGGTGAGATGATCATAAATCCCTAACTGGGCAGGTGTGGTGTTGGGTCATCGTGCCCCAGGCATAAAACGCATTCTTTGTCTGAAGCCAGCCCGTCCGGTGTCTCTGTACATCTGGGTTCACACACCTTTGAAATGTGCCTTTGACCCTCCTTCTAAAACACAGAGTGCTCGGAACTGAACTACCCTGCACTCCCACCCACAGGACGTTTCTTCCTTAATTTAAATGCATAAAAGAAGCTGGAAAACTGTCATTTCTGGGAAGCATTTGAGATCTTGTCTCCTGGCAATGTCATGTTTGGCTCAAATAAATCTCATAAAAATTCTCTGCAGGTTTGGACATTTCTTACGTCAAGGCGGGGGGCGGGTGGGGGCGGGGGAGAGGAGCTCTGTTGTGTTCAGGGTGGAGGTAACCAGGCCCAGGACTGGAGGGTCCTCAGGCAAGGGCTGACCAGAAGCGGGGGCAGAGCTGAGCGCAGCCAGGGGCCTGGCTTTCATCTGAAGCCAAACAGGAGCCCAGTTTGCCTGGGGGAGGCACGCGGCCAGCCCAGCAGGCACTCAGCCCCTGGAGCTGTTATCAAAAGGGTTCCAGTCCACCAGGGACAGCCTGACCATGGCGACTTCTGATTCCTCCAGTCTCCACAGATCCAGGGTCCCCGTGTCAGCGGGGAGGGGGCTCTCCAACACTCAGCCCTGGGAGGGAGGCACTGAGCCAGGGGAGAGGGCATCCAAGCTGGACCCTGGCCTCTGGACTCCGGTATCTGCACTGACGTCAGGCTGATCACCCCATCGGGAGCCACAAGCCCCATGTTCCTGAGCAGCCCAGGTGCTCGTGCTTTCTATAGGCCCGGCCTGCCCGGCCAGGATGCCTGTTGGGAAGGTGACCACGTCGGGGAAGGCAGCTTTGGGGGACCTCTGCGGAGAGTCCAGGACCTGGGACCGGGCTGGCCAGCCCAGGCCTCTGGCACCGGAGCACACCTAGGCCTGTCTGTGCCCCTCCCCCCATCAGGAAGCCTGAGGATCAGGGACACAGAGGCCGCAAGGCTCCCAGAGGAGGGGCTGTGGCCAGGCAGTGTGTGAGTCAAACTGTCTGATCCTTGACCTGGTGGCCTCTAAGGTTTCCCAGGACCTCATGCCCTGGAAGCTGAGTATAGCCCAAAGGTGGCCGAGTCCAGACAGCAGCAGGGAGGGGAAGGCAGGACTCCTTCCAGAGCAACAGGGGCCTGTCCCCGATCGTCCTTCTGCTAAAAACCAGGGATCTCCCTTGACCCCCTTCGTCTGAGGACAGCAGCCCTCGGGTAGGGGGATGGGTGGCAGACCACAAGGGTAGGGGTGCCTGGCCTGGGAGGGGTCCAGCTGCTGCTCTGGGCCTCCTGCTGGGCCTCAGGCCTAGGCCCCGAGTCCCGGGTGCTGGGCTGGCTCCCATAGGGAACCGTGCCAGCCGAGGGCCATGGGAGGCTCCAGCTCCGCAGCGGCCAGCAGAGGCGGGAGAGCGCCCCTCCTGCTGGGCCAAGCCTATCAAGCTCGCGTCCCGCGAGCTGCATGCGGCCCACAAGGAGTATTTTTGCGGCCCAACCAATATAACGGTATGTAAGAAACGTTTTAATAAAAATTTCGTAACATAATTTTTACAATATCCTGTTATACATAATTATTAATAACAAAGTACAACGTTCACTAATGACTGATGACTATAATCATGTTGCATTCATTTCCCGTACGCGCAGGCGCGTCATTTCTCTCCACTAATACCAGCAGAGAATATTTTAGCGGCCGATGGCCACGTCATTAGCCTTGCCCTGACTTGTTTGGTGTGCGCAACAGGAAATATTTCGCTTTCGGAGAACAAGAAAAATAGGTTTATTTGCGTTACACTTATTAATCTGTGCAGTTATTCAGTGTCTGGTAAGTTAATGTTCAAGAAAGATTAATTTCTATTAAAATGTTCTAATTTTTTTTATAGCAAAGGTGGAAATTTACTGAAGAACAAGTACAGACTCCCACGTGGGGAGGGGGAAAGAGTCCCTGTTCTGTTATTTTATGCTGACGATGGCTCATTTATTTCAGCCCTTTGTATTCAGCATGTCCCTATTGACATAAACCTACATTTCTACGAAAATGGAAGCTTTTGTTTTTCTTGCGGCCCATGTACCCTTACACCTTGTTTATTGGGCCCATGGTCGCCTTTGCGTTTGACATGCTGGGTATACAACCTGATGAGGCTGCTTCCAGCTGAGAGTTCTCAGGGACCCGGCTAATGTGGTCCTCCACCCCTGGGGCTTCCAGTGCCAGCCACCGGTCAGCCTTGGGAGCACCTGCTTCTCTGTGCCCTGCGGGTAGATGCGCTTGCCTGCTGGGTTCCCTGGAAGGGCACCAGGAAGGGGATGGCCCCACTGCTTCAAACCACAGCACCAGCTCCCTCGCCGCCTTCCTCTGAGACAAACACAGGCCAGGAAGCCTCGGCTCCCTCCTCACGCCACACTGCACAGCCCGGCTTCGACATGCTCCTCTCAGGGTGCAGGGCCCAGGGACAGCTGGGGCCTGGGGCCTGAGGCCGGCACAGCCACCTGTTAGTCCTCGTGTGCACTAGTACGCTGTGTGCGGAGCAGTGGGCGCCTGGCGGAGCTGCTTCCTGGAGGGCCTCTGGCTGAGCCAGGTGAGCCGGGGCTTGGCCTGCAGGTCCCACACCTGCCCCCACAGATGGGCAGCAGGGGCTCCTGGGGTGCTATTGCAGTGGGGAAGGGGAAGAAAACAGGATTCCTTGGGGCACCCCTGCCCCAGGACTGGGAGTGCCTCTGCTGGGCATTAGGACAGAACACTGGGCTACCTGATCTGGGGGGAGTGCCAGGAATCTGGGGGAGGCCGTGAGTGGCTAACTCTGTGCTCTTGACTCACCCCTGGACCTTTTGGCCTCAGTTTTCCAGTTTTTAATACGAAAGGTGACTGTGGCCCGAGAGTGTGAGGAAGGCGGGAGACACACTCGCTGGGCACTTGGGGATGACTTGGGCAGCAGGGGTGACAGTGGGCAGCAATGGGCCTCCCCTCCCCAGCACCCCTCCCCTCAACGCCCCCATTCTCCATGCTGTCCCCTCCCTGGCTGGACACACAGGCACACAGTGGGGGCAGAGGGTGGGCACCACATTCTTGCCGCCCCACCTCCCACAGCCATCAGTTGCTCCCTGGCAGCTGTGATGAACCCTCCTCCAGCCGGGCGCTAGGACTCAGCACATTCTCAGCAGCCACCCGCCCCTCCTGCTCTTGGGCGGTGGGTGGAGACCTGGCCCCTAGGGGTTCAGAGGGAGCCCACCCACCACCTCTGCCCACTGGCGCCTCCAGGGATATTGGGAAGCTTAGATCAGGGCAGGTTTCCCAGCCTCTAGACTGCCAGGGTCCCTCGCTATCATGGAGGTGCTGGGGGCAGGAGTGTACTGCTGTGGTGTTTGTGATGGGGGGGTTCGGGGAGGGAGGGAGGGTGAGGCAGGTCAAATCCCCCATCCTGGGCCACTACGCCTGGAGGCAGCTGTCCTTTGCAAGGGATCATAAATTACCCCGGCCGGCCTGTCTGGTGACTCCAGATTCCTCCAGGTCTCCTGCCCACCCTCTGAGCCGGCCCTCCCCCACCCTGAGCTTCCGCAAAGGGAACTAGCTGCCTCTTCTCCTCGCCCCCACCCCCAGGTGGAGAACAAAAGTGAAGTTACAGAGTTAAGAAGTTGGAGAGGGAGAGGGTAGGGAGGGTCGTTCCCACTGCCTGTTTCCCAATTCCTAAGCCCCCCTGATTCAGGATTTGCAGGAGGCTGGGGATGGGGGTCAGCCAGGAAGATGCCAAAGGTGGTGCAAGCTTCCCGGAGCAGCTGTGGGGAGGGGGGCAGGACCCCCACCAGGACCAGCAGGATGTGGCCCCACGAACTCACCTGGCCCCCAGGACTGTCCAGAAGGTCTCACGTGGGACAGACGCCGGGCTGGCCTGGCTCAGAGAATGGGGGGAGCTGCCAGCCCAAAGCTGCGGCCCCATCCCCACCTCCTCGAGCTTCCCTTGAGGCGGATTTGGGTCAGGAGCCTCCCAAACGCAGAAACAGCTGGGACAAAATCCCAGCTTGGCCTCTGGGTTTTGTCCGGTTTCCTGGGCGTCCTCCAGTGCCCTCCCTGGACAGGGAATGGCCCTGAGCGGGAGGGTTCAGCCTGGCCCACATTGTCCCCAAGCACAGGCACTGCCTGGCACAAGGGCAGGTTCCCACGCCCCCCACCCGCACAGCAGGTGCTCAGTACATGTCCTCCAGGCTTCCTGCACCCACCAGGCCATGAGCACCCTTCCTGCATTGTTTGCGGGGCGGGGTCCAGCCCTCCTGGTCCATTTCCTTGTTTGAATACACTTTTACCAAACCGCGGGGGGGGGGGGGGGGTATGAATCTGACCTGATACCCCAGGGAAGCATGGATCTGCAATGGGGTTTCTCTGTCCCTCTGCCAATGGGGTTCCCTCCAGGACCCCACCACGGCCACACACATGGAGCAGACAGCACCTTCTCACACACCTGCAGGATGGGGAAGACATGGGGCGGTATGAGGGAAATAACCCGAAAACCGGCCTGGGGGAGCAGGGAGGCTGCGCGGGGGGGCTCCGGAGGGCACCCCGTCCAACTGGGGTGGGGGGAGTGTATACAAACGTCTAGGATTCCGTGTGGTCGTCGCTGGGGACGCTGTGCGGTTCTGGGGGTGCGGGCGGGGACGCGCTGAGTCGTTGAAGGACAGACGCCCCGGGCTGGACGCGGGGCGATGCGAGATCGTGCGGCCCCGCCTGAGCCCGAGCCGCCGGGTGCGCTCGGCCGCCCAGAGGTGCCCGAAGTTATGGAAACAAAGAGCGGAGTCCCTAGTCTGGGACCCGCCGGGCGGGCGCGGGGATGTCGCCTGGGACCCGAGTCACGCCCTGGGGGGCCTGGGCCTGGCCCGGGGCCAGCAGGTGCCCCTTCCGGGGGCCGACCGGCCGGGGTCGGAAGGGTTAAGGCCGCCGGCCGCCCCTCCCCCTCCCCCTCCCCCTCCCCCTCCCCCTCTCCGTCCCCGGGGCGCGGGGCTCCAGCGCCCGGGCGGGCTGGGGCGGGGCCTGACGTCCGCGGGCGGAGCGAGCCGGCTGGCCCCGCGCTCATACCCCACGGGGCTCCCGCGGCGCGCAGTCCCCGAACGAGCGCGGCCCGGACCTGCGAGATGGGGAGGTCGCGCCGCACGCCGCCGCCGCTGCTGCTGGTCGGGCTGGCCCTGCTGGGCGCGGCGCGGGCGGGCGGCGACCTCAGCCTGCACCCGCCCTACTTCAATCTGGCCGAGGGAGCCCGCATCGCCGCCTCGGCCACCTGCGGCGAGGAGGCCCCGGCGCGCGGCTCCCCGCGCCCCACCGAGGACCTCTACTGCAAGCTGGTGGGGGGCCCCGTGGCCGGCGGGGACCCCAACCAGACCATCCAGGTGAGCGCGGGCGGGGGCAGGGTCGCCGCGGGCGGGGTGCGCCCGGGTTCGGACTCTGCCACTCCAGGCTGACTTGGCGGGGAGCACCCCGGGCCAGGGAGAGCCCCGGCGCGGACGGAAGCCCCGCGTCCCGCCCCGACTCTCCGGTTCCACATTGCAGAGAACAGACGGGACCCCCAACTCGGCCATTCAGTCTGTGCCAGAGAACTGCGTGTTCCCATCGCCCCCCGCCCCCCGGGAAGGCGGGACGTAGCGTCCGGGCGCGGACTGCGGAGCGGAGGGGGCGGGCTGGTGCCCAGTCCTTGGCCGCCCGAGTCCCGGGATGCGGGCGAGGTGGGACTTGGCAGCGGCCGGCGCGGCCCGTGGGGAGGGCGGAGCCGGTCCGCCTTCCCCCAGGACGAGCTGGAACTTGCTGCTGGCGTCCGGAAGGCACTGGGCCGGGCGGGAGGGGCCGGACCCCCGGAGGCTCTCCCTGCGCTGCACAGGGAAAAGCCGTCCCTCCTGGGCGTCTGGGGACTTGGTGGGGACCTGGCGGTGGAGGAGGTGGCAAACAGCTGGGTTTCTGACGGGAGGGGAACAGGAGCTCAGTGCGGGCGGCATCTCTGCCCACAGGTGGGGGAGTCCTCGGGGGAAGACCCTGGGCAGGGCGTGCCCTCCCAAGCCAGGAGCCTGCAGGTGGGGAGTGGGTTAGGTGCCCCTCTCAGGACCCCTCTCCCCAGGGAAGCAGGGCTGCCAAGGCCCTCAGGGCAGGTTGAGGGCTGGGGTCCTGTGAGGCTCCTGGGGTTGCCCTGGGGGAGCAGGTAGGGTCTGCTCTCGGGGTCCCTGACACCCTGTGCTAAGCTCATCTTTCCATTCCTGCGGAGCCTTAAGACGAGTCTGGGGTCCCCAGGGCTGATGTAAACTGAGCGTCTCCTCCAGGAGGAGGTCCAGGCCACCACCTTCCTGGTGGGAGAGGCTGGGGGAGGGGAGGAAGATGGGGGAGTAGCTGCGGTGGGTGATGAAGGAGCCTTCACTGCCCGCCTTCTGCCCGCCCTCCCCCTCTGCTGCTCTCCCCTTCTGCCTGTCCGCCCCCGCAGTGCAGGGAGGAGCTGGGGGGGGGACCCTGCTGTGGCAGAGCCATTCTCAGGCAGAGAGCTGCCTCCCTCTGATGCCTCCATTCACCTGCATGCTCTCCTCTAAGCCCCGCACAGCAGAGATAGGCGGTCTCACGCTCACATTTCAAATGGGGAAACTGAGGCCTGAAAAGGTGCAGACACCTGTGGAAGCCTCACAACCAGACTCTGACCTGGCTGGGGTGAGCAATGAAAACCAAGGCCACTGCGGGCCCTGGCACATCAGGTTGACGTCAAAGGGGCTGGATCCAGGGAAGGAACTTGAAGGGGGTTTCCAAAGCTGCCCCAGGGGGCCTGGCCAGCCCCCACTGCCCCTCCTCACTGCTCAGCTGAGATTCTGCCACTCCCGTAGTGGACGCTCCTGGCTTCCTCTGAACCCCAGACCACTCCTCCCCACCCATGCTGCCTGGCCCCAGATGGCAGACCCTTGAGGAGGGCCAGTTGCATGGATCCCTGCAGGGAGGGGCCCTTCAGTGCCCCCTCACATTGGGTAGAGGAGCAGCCTGGAGCAGGGCTCAAAGCCCCCGTCCTCTACCTTTCCTTAGTTGCGTGGTTTTCCTCCCAGAACCTCAGTCTCCTCGTCTGTAAAATGGGCACAGTGTGAGGGCCCCATTTACCTCGATTTGGAGACTGGGAAGCCATCTTTCACACAGTGACTGCTTGGCAACCAGTGGCAGCCCTGGTGTTAGGGGCCACAGAGCTGGCCTTGAACGAGAAGTGTCAGCCTGCTTGCCTAGTCGCCAAAGCTTTCCCCAAAAGCCTGTGGCCTCAGGGGTTAGAACCTGCTCCAAGGCCGCTGGGGTGAGGCATGGTAGGAAGACTGGCGGCCAGACGGACATGAGCTGAACAGCCATGGGACCTTAGACAAGTCCCTGGACTGCCCAGCACCTCCACCCTCTCCTCTGGGGACAGTGGGCCTGCTCAGTGCCCTGGTCTCTGATTGGGTTGGTGTGGTGCCAGGGAGATACAGCCACCTTCTCTCCATCTTATGCCACATGGGGGAGGTCACAGAGGACATGGGGCCCAAGGCTGCAGGCTCGCAGCTCCGAGGGGACCCCCTGGAGGAGACGGGACAGAAGCTGGCGGGGCCAAGGCAGGGTGTCCCACCTGGAGCCCTGCTGGTGAGGCGGTCCTGTGCGGGCAGCCCTTTCAGCATCAGGTGGGCATGGGGGGAATTCAGGACTGGCCCTAGACCCGCAGGCAAGTCAGGGGCTAGGCTGCTGGTATGGTGACTCACTGGGAGGGGAAGTTCTTATCGCTGCTCCCGGTTTCCGCACTCTGCTCCAGCAGGACCCTCTGCAGCCAAGGTGTGGAGGGAACTGCACCCCCTGCCACTGTGAACCCGGCCAGGCACAGTGAGGACGACTGTCTGCAGGGGCTGGGCCGAAGCCACACAGACTCACAGGCTGGGAGGGTCTTGACCACAGGCAGCCTTCCCGGAACGCCACCACCCCAGCCACATGCCTTGCCCACCTCCTCCGTGAAACCTCCCCGCCAGTCAGGGCCCTGACAGCCTGTACCCATGTGCACAGTACTTCTGGCGACACCCTTGAATCCCTCCTCGGTTCGCCCAAGAGCTCCCACAGGCCCGGGAGCCAGAGCTCCAGGTTCCAGCCTAGGTTCACCATTCGAGCCCGGCAGTACGGTCCACCTGGCTCCCGCCCTTCTCTGGTGTCCTCCATGGTTCTGTCCCCAAGGTGTGGCTGCTCTGGTGGTGAGCTCAGGAACAGTTAAAAACAAGATGGGTGTCCCTCACCCCCAGCTCGCAGCCCCCGGGAGGCAGTAAACACAGAATCACTAATAACCAGACAGTTCCAGGTCTGGAGGGAGAATAAAAAAAGCAAGGTGATGTCTGGGGGATGGGGGGGCAGCACCCTGGGTGGTCTACTAGGTCTGGGTGGGGGCACTGTTACCGAGGTGACCTCTGAGCTGAGATGGAGGACAGGAAGTCAGGGTGCAAAGGCCCCAGGCAGGAGCAAGGTCTGGATGGCAGGACTCAAAGCACCCAGCACCAGGATCCGGAAGCCCAGCTGCTGCCTGTTGGTCTCGCCCTCCCAGGTGCATGGAAGGAGCCGGGGGCAGACCCATCCAGGGGAGGCGGGTGCTGTGCACATGTGGGGCCTGGGAGTGGGGGTGGGGCATCCCACACTCCCACCTCCAACTCCTCCAATGAGGCCTGGCCCCCTGGGAGGCTGAGAGGGGTGGTGTCTGCCTTTCCCAGACTCTGGCCTCAATCACTGCCAGGTCCCGAAGGGCCGCCTTTGTTGTATGTGGAGGGATGGCAGGTCTGGTTTCCTCTGGGGCGGGGAGGGGCAGAGGGAGGGTTAGGCTCCACTGGGCTAGTGGCCAGGGCCCAGCCCTGCCCCCACCCCACCCCAGGCTCTGGGCACCTGCTCCTCCGTGATAGGAACAGCAGGCCAGGACGCTGGGAGCCCTCTGTCCCCCCAGGGGACAGGCCCCTGGCAGGTGTCTGGACTGTGATGGAAGCAGCTGCCGGGCCTGGGGTGGGATCATTAATCTTGGGACAGCTGAGGCAGGTGCCAGCATTACCCCACTCTTCTGATGGGGACACTGAGGCTTAGCAGCTATCGTGACTTGGCCAGGTCCCAGCGCTCAGAAGCAGCAGAGCCAGAGGTCCAGGCTGCCCACATGCCTCCTGCTGGCTGCCCACATGCCTCCTCTCTGGGGCCTGTCCCCACGGGCCACTGGAACGGCTTGGTTCTGTCTCTCTGGAGACTCTAATCCAGATGGCTCTGGGTGGAAGCCTGGCAGGGATGTGTGGGAGACAGGCCGTTGGGAGGCGAGGAGGGGGTCTGGCTGTCTGACTGTTCCTGGCCGCCTGGGCCCCTCGCCTCCAGGTGATTCCAGCCTTCTGTTTGTAGGGAGCAAGCGAGTTGCCCCTTGACTGGCCCCTTCCCCCCAGCTCCAGCGGTTCTTCCTACCCCAGGACCTTTTTGTGGGCAGTCCCTCTGCCCGGAGTACACATACTCCTTATAGAGTATGCCACCTCCTCAGAGAGGCCCACCTTGATTTTCCCATCTAAAGTGGGTGTCCCTGCCCTGGCCAGTGTGGCTCAGTTGTTTGAGCGTTATCCCACGCACCAAAAGGTTGCTGGTTTGGTTTCCTGTCAGGGTCTGTATGGGAGACAACCCATCGATGCTCTTCTCTCTCCCATCCTGTCTAACAAAATCAATAAAGTCCGGCCAGCGTGGCTTGGTGCTTGAGCATCGACTTATGAACCAGGAGGTCACATTGATTCTCGGTCAGGACACATGCCCGGTTGTGGGTTCGATTCCCAGTGGGGGCTGTGCAGGAGGCAGCCAGTCAATGATTCTCTCTCATCATTGATGTTTCTATCTCTCTCTTTCCTCCCTTCCTCTCTGAAATCAATAAAATATTTAAAAATAAAATAAATCAATAAAAATATTAAAAAAATAAATACATAGCCTGGCTGGCATGGTTCAATGGTTGAGCATCAACCTATGAACCAGGGCACATGCCTGGGTTGTGGGCTCGATCCCCAGTGTGGAGCGTGCAGGAGGCAGCCGATCCATGATTCTCTCTCATCATTGATGTTTCTGTCTTTCTCTCTCTCCCTTCCTCTCTGAAACCAATAAGAAGATATTTAAATAAGTAGGTAAATAAATAAATAAACCAATTGGGCGTCCCTCTCCTTCCCCTCTTGGTCTCTCCACATGGATGTGACCGCCTCTCACATGAGCTGTGTCTCCTGAGTCGGGAGCACAGTAGACACAGAAAATGAGTGAATGGTGAACGAGGGTCCCCAGGTTGGGGTGTGTGATGTGGGAGAGTGAGTGGAGGGGACAAGCAGTCCAGGCCCTTCTCTACCATCCGCCTGCTCCGTCCCCCCAGGGCCAGTACTGTGACATCTGCACAGCCGCCAACAGCAACAAGGCACACCCCGTGAGCAATGCCGTCGACGGCACGGAGCGCTGGTGGCAGAGCCCACCGCTGTCCCGCGGCCTGGAGTACAATGAGGTCAACGTCACCCTGGACCTGGGCCAGGTAGGGTTCCTTCTTTGTCGTCACAGCCCCCACCTCTGCATTCCTGAGCCCAGGGTCCCCGCCTGAGCACCCTCGGGCCAGCCAGGAGTCTGGGCAGACCTTCCCCTGGGGCAGGCCCAGCACAGAGGTGTAACCGCAGGCACCTCACGCGCTCTTTCCCCATCCCTGTGGTGAAAAGGCGGCCGTGGGGAGTTAGGGTGGGGGTGCTGAGGGTCCAGCATGGAGGCAAATGCTGAGCCCTGGTGTGTATTCTGAGGAATTCTTCTGCAGGGAGCCAGGCTCTGGCTTGCTAGTGTGGGAGGGGCCCCAGGAATGTGGAGGAGGCTGGTGGAAGTGGACATTCCTGGGATACCTGTGCTGCAAAGGCCCGGGGTCAGGTGTGCCTGCTCCGGGCCCTGTGCAGGCAGGAGGGTGGGGCCAGCATTTTCCAGAGACAAGAGTCCCCCTTGGTGGGCCCTGCTGGGTTAGACTAGGGTCCAGGGTGTGTCCTGGTACTGTGTTACTTTGCCCAGAGGCCTGGCCTTGACATCCTGGCCTGTGAAGTGGGCCAGCGATCCCGTCGCCTCCTGGGATGGGGTGGGGGCGGGTAGATGAGGCCAGGCCTGCCTGGAGTTGGGGTGACAAGGTTGATCTTACTAGACCGAAACCCGCGAGGCGGGGAAGGAGTCAGGTCTAGATGCTAGAGTCCAGGCCGCGTGACCCGGTGCGCCTGCCTGTTGCGAGCCTCCTCCTGCTGCGTGCGACCCTGAGGGTCTGAGGAAGGTGGTGAAGTGTCTCACCTGAGCTCACTGGAAGGGCAGACCCCACGGGCAGGTTTGGGGGACAGTGTCAGGCACCTCCCTGGAGGTCTACAGGTCTGGCCCAGTGGTTGGGTAGGCAGTGAGAGGAGTGGGTTTCAGTTCTAACGGGTGGCCTGAAATTTTGGGGGCTCTGGACTGGCTGCGATGTCCTGGGGAGGCGGGGAAAGAGGCTGGGTGGGAACTAGGGAGAAGGCTGCCCCTCACGGGCTCCTGCAGGCAGGTCCCAGGACTGGTGCTGGTACCTGACCCAGGTCTGGCTGGGGCTTTCATGGGGTTTCCAGCACGTCTGTGCTCTACTGTCCCTGGGAGCCTGGGAGGGACCTCAGAACCCTGTGTGACCTGGGTCCCCTACTCTGGTACTGCAGGTCGGTCAGAGGGAACTTGTGCTGAGCTGGTGGGTTCTCGCTGCTCCTCCTGCTCCTCTTCCCCTCCCTCTGGGACAGGCCAGGCCAGGCTGGGGGAGGGGCGAGGGCCCTAGCTGGGGGGGCAATGGCCCAGTCTCCATGGCAACCCCAGAGTGGCCTCCGAGCAGGTGGGCACAGTGCCCGCAGCCGAGGTGCAGTGTGGGGCTGAGGAGGAGCTCGCGGGGTCCCTGCCCCTTTTGGCTCTGTGCCGCCTGAGCCGCTGTGAACCTGGCTGGAGATGTGGTGGCAGGCAGCTCATTTGCTCGGTAGACTGGTCCTGGGCCAGGGATAGGGTTCACCGTGGGCACCTCCTGCCTCTCCAAGCCTCAGTTTCCCTGACTGTGAAATGACCCACAGGAGAAAGGGGCCATTTCTAGGCCTGTGGGGAGGTGGACCCACCCCTCTACCTACCATGGTTCCCTCCCCTCCCTGTCCTTCCTCTTCATCTCCCGAGCCCTCTTTCCCATCTTCCCCACACACACCCGGTCCCTGCCTGCCCGAGAGCCCACCAAGCCCCTGTCTTAGTCTGGCCGAGGGGCTGCCAGCCTTGGTCGGGACGGGGCAGGGCCAGGGCCTGCTCACCGTGTGCTTTGGAGTTGGGTGGGACAATGGACCCAGCTCCCTCCAGGGTGAGAGGGTGGAATTCCGGGGGGAACAGGAAACGGGCTCATTGCCCTCCTCCCTGAGCACGAGCAGAGACTGGCTCTTTGGGGCGCCACTTGCTGGGGTTGGGGACGGAGACTAGGTCCTGCCCTCAGCACCCAGTCTGGGCAGAGGAGCCCACGTAGGGTAGGAAGTGAGCACTGGGGGGCCGGGGCACTGGGGGGCATCTGGAGGTGCAGGCGGGCCCTCCTGGGCCCTCACAGTGACCCTGGGGTCTGTGCCTCCAAGTCTACCCAGATCTGGTGTCAGGAGCACCTGTGCCTACAGTCAGATGGAGGAGGTGCCCAGGGCAGAACCCTCCAAGCATGCTCCCTGGTGCAGATGAGAGACAGGCTGGGCGGGAGGGGCCCAGGGGTCCCCACCCCCGACTGGGGTTCTCCCACTTTGGGTCATCCTTGGAGACGAGGGTCGGGGTGGGGCTGGGGCTTCCTTCAGGAAGTGGGGCTGAGTGGGCAGCAGGGCTGGGCACTCCGGTGGCAGGCTGCCAGCTGCCTTTGTTCTGGGATCTGGAGCGGATGCCCTGGAAAGGGGGTGGGGTGGCCAGCATGGGCATCAGGAGGCCTTCCTGCCTCTGGGAGACTGAGAGGGCCGCGGCTGTCTCACAGCTCCTCCTCTGCCGGGTGGGTCGCCCGGAGCTGGCGGGGGCAGCGAGCCTGCCCTCCTTCAATGGCTGTTGCCTCTATCTGACCTTTCCCCTGTGGGGGATGTGGAACCCCCTTCCTTCCCGTTGCCGATGGAGCAGCAGGTCCCAGGAGCCAGGTCCTGGCTGGGAGGGGATGCAGGGCTCGGGCCTCGGGACCTTGCCCCGCTCCCTGCGTGGATCTCTGCCAGGGACCCTCAGGCCCGAGACAACCATTAGTGCCAGCCTCCAGGTGGGGCCAGCAAGGCTCCGAGGCTGGTGCCAGAGGTGCTGTGTCCCGAGTCCTGTGGTGTGACCTGCCGAGGGTCCTCCCAGGGGCCACAGGTTCTGCTTATCTCCTGTCCATCCCGTGGGACCTCCCGTTGCCTTGGGCTCTCCCTTCGCTGCACCCAGTGCGGGGTGGGTGCTGTTTCCGACCTCCTGGGCTCAGGCCGCATGGCGAGGCAGGTCCTGACCCAAGTGCTCTGCCCCTACCAGGGGTTCTGCCATGGGCTCTCAGGCCCTCTGCCCAGTAGTTTTAAGGACCTGGGCAGGTGAGTTGAGGCCCATGGCGTGTCCTCCCTCTCCAGACATCTCCCTGGTGGCCCTTACTGTGGCTGCAGCACCTTCCCCAGGTCCAGGTGAGGAGTGCTGGAGCCCGATGCTGAAGGGCCAGGTGGAGGGACCCAGCAGGGTGAAGGTACAGAGGGATGGCACCGGCCTTGGGGTCGAGGCGGGCGGTTGGCTGTGAGGCCAGAAGTGTGGGTTGGGGGCTAAAAATGCCAGGTGAGGGGTCTATGGCCTCCCTGGGGGACAGGACATCAGATGGGTTTGCTGAGGAGCAGAGCTCCGGTGAGCTGCCCTGGGCACCTGGGCATACTGAGCACCGTGTGGAGAGACCAAGGCCTCATCTGGCCCCCGTACCTCAGTTTCTTCTGTGCATGGGGGGCGGTGAGGGCACCTGGGCACCTGCTTTAGGGCCTTTGTACCTGAGCAAGGCCCCCCTGCACCAGCTCCTTTGGCTGGATCCCCGTTTCCAGGCACCACGCCCGCAGGCAGGTTGGCTCGGGGCGCCCTGTGCAGGCCGCCTGGTCCCCGCATGCCCCGGCCTGGCTCCCCAGAAGGGCCAGCGGGGTTATTCGAGGGGAGTGGCAGGAAGTTCAGCCGAGGCTGGCCAGGCTCTGGTTACTGAGCCCAGAAGCCAGGACAGGTGTGGGGCCTGGACTGGACACAACCCCTTGAGCTGGGCCATGGGGAGGTCCTGGGGGGCCAGGCAGGGCACCTCCTGCTCCAGCACAGGCGTCTCCTTGTGAGAATCGGTGAAACCTGCCCCTGCTGGGCCTTTTGCTGACAGCCCTTCATCCCTGGCCTGGTGCTTCCTGCCCCTCAGCAGCCACACACAGCCAGGGGCTGCTCGCCTCTGCTCACTTGGGTGCACACAGACGTCCCCCGCCCCTCACACTAGACGCCCCCCAAAGGCTCCTGTTTTCCATCTGTTGTTTTATTATTATTATTATTATTGATTTTTAGAGAGAGAGAGAGGAAGGGAGAGGGATAGAGAGATAGAAACAGCAATGACAGGAACATCATTAATCGGCTGCCTCCTGCACGCCCCCACTGGGGATCGAGCCTGCAACCCAGGCATGTGCCCTGACCCGGAATCCAACCAGGGATTTCTTGATTCCTGAGTCAACACAACTGCTGAGCCACACCTGCTGGGCTCCCATCTTCGTTTTTTTTGTTTGTTTGGTTTTATTGTTTTGTGTGTGTGGTTTTTAAAAAAGTATATTTTATTGATTTTTTTACAGAGAGGAAGGAAGAGGGATAGAGAATTAGAAACATCGATAAGAGAGAAACATTGATCAGCTGCCTCCTGCACACCCCCTACTGGAATCGAACCTGGGACCCTTCAGTCCACAGGCCGATGCTCTATCCACAGAGCCAAACCGATTAGGGCTGGTTGGTTTTATTGTTGTTAATCCTCACCTGAGGATATTTTTCCATTGATTTTTAGAGAGATGGAAGAGAGAGGGAAAGACAGAGAGAAACATCGATGTGAGACAACACACGGATCGGTTGCCTCCTGCACGAGCCCCGGCCAGGGCCAGGGCCTGGGCCTGGGAGGAGCCTGCAACCAGGGCACCTGCCCTGACCAGAATCGAACCTGGGACCCTTTGGTCCGCAGGCTGATGCTCTATCAGGCTAAGGCCCGTCTGGTTTTAAACAAACCCCACAACGTCGACCTCCAGCAGCGCCACTCGCGGAGACTAAACTGTTTGGGCTTGAGGTCCCCTTGGGATAAACTCCACTTCCTGTGGCCGGGGCTGACCACCTGGCCTCCTGGGCCTCTGCAGGGGGGAGGGGATGGGAGCAGGGAGCACCCTGACGTTCTGGCCCAGCGGGCACTGACGCTCCACTCTAGCGGGTGAGCTCCTGAGCACCCAGCAGGGCCCTTCCACCCTCCCCTCCCCTGAAGTTCCCCACCTGCTCTGCGCTCCTGTTTGTTGGGCGCCCGTCCCACAGTCAGGCCCCTGGGCCTCTGCCCGTCCCTTCTGCATTTCCATGCTTCACTGTTCCATTCCCCGCCCTGCTGGAGCTGGTCCTCCCTGACCTGGTGTGGACGGCTGTTCTTTACCCCGGTGGGGGCCTGCATAGACTCACCCGCCCTGCCCTGACCTGCCCTGACCTGCCCTGGCCCCTGCAGGCCGGGCCAGCCCCTGCTGTGGCGTTAACCTTTATCAAGGTTTCCAGAGGGGTCTCTGCTGAGAGGGTGGGCACGCTGGGGAGAGGGCAGACCTGGGGCGAGGGCGGGTGCTTTCAGCAGACAGGGGTGGGGGCACAGACGCCGGCCCAGCACCTGGCAGGGAATCCAGGAGGTCTGGGTGCCCCACTGTTCACTCGGGAATGGCCTGGGAGCTAGCCCGGACGCTCGGTCTAGGAGGGGCTTCCTGCCTCCACCCGGCCACAGCCTGGGACCCTGGCCCAGCCCCAGGAACCAGCCCTGCTTCCGGCAGGGCCAGGGCTGAGTCAGGACTGCCCAGTGATTCACGCAGCCTGCCTGGTGGGTGGGGGCTGGGCCCTCTGCTCCTGGCCTGCCTGGCTCTTCCTAGCTCTGAGATGGGCCAGGGCAGAGATGGGGTGTGCTTGCAATCCAGGGGTTCCAGCCACCACCCTGCCCTTGGTGACAGAGGTGCCTGAGCCCAGGAGGCTGCTGGCCACCCTCTGCACCCTCCAGGTTTCATTCCTCTCTAGTGTTGTCCAAATCCCAGCCCCGGCCACCCAGCAAGCATTCCCTCCCCACCGGGGCCTCTGCACTGCGGAGCGGAGCGCGGCACCAGGCGCAGTGTCCGGACAGGTGCTGCTGCTTTTGCTTGTCTACCTCAGGGACAGGTGCATCTTCTGTGCAGGCCTCTGGCAGCCATCACACCAGACTCCTGACCCCTGTCTTTCTTTCCACTGCTCCTGTGCCCAGGAGGGGATGTGGCTACTCGGGGTCACTTGGCCATTAGTGCCTGAGCCCACCTGGGTCTCCTGCTCTGGCCTGGCCCCCGTCAGGCATTGGTCACGGGGGCAGGGGGGTAGAAGCCCTCCTGGGGGGCCCTCTGTGGTCAGGCCGGGAATGGGGGCCAGGGTGTAGTGACCGAGAGGCCGTCCGGCTGCTGTCCTGGAGACGTGCCTGCCCCAAAATAGCCAGATTGTTAAAAATAACTCAGGAGGCTTTTGTTTGGCTTTTGCTTAAAAGACGTTCTTTCCTTCTGCAAAGAACTCTGCAGCGGGAAAGGTCAGCCTGCGCTGGCAGCAGAGCCGGGGCGGTGGGGGCAGGGTGGTGGGCGCGGCCGCCAGGCTCTCCGGGGTCAGGCCCAGTGTGGCCTTGGGAGCGGCACCAGGTCGGGGACAGACCGAGAGAGAGCGCTGGGCTCATGCCTTCCTCCCCTCCAGCCTGGGCCAGGCCTCTTGTGTGACAGGCAGATGGCCAGGTGGACAGCCACAGGGGCGGGGCCTTTCTCTAAGCGCGTCCCAGCGTGACGGGCGTGGGCGCAGCTTCCATGACGCCCGGTCCTGCTCATCAGTGTCTTCAAATCAATATTTGTGCAAGTGCCCTCAGCTGGGAAACAGGCAGCTGCCGCCGAGGGGGGGGCAGAGTTGGCCAGTGGCGGCTGCAGCCTGGTGGCCTCACTCAGGGAAAGGCGGGGGTGGGCCCCGCGGCTGGGGGGAGCCTTCAGTCTCCTGGGGGCCTTGGGTGACTCACACACAGCCAAGTCCCCTGGGGCTCCCTGGAATGCTGAGGGTTGGCCAAGGTGCTGGCTGGGTACAGGGTCTGTCCCCCGGGGCGCACCCTCCCCCACCCAGCAGGGAGGGAAGATGACCTCAGAGCCTGGACAGGGGTGACTAGGCTCCCCCCGCCCCCGCCCAGGAAGGCCCCTGGCTTGACGGGGGCCGTCCCTGAGACAGGCCTTCCGGGAGGGCCACCTCAGCACAGGCGTGGCTCCGGGCGGGACCCTGCCCCGCCGGCATCCTTAGCAGCCTGTGCCCCCTAAGGGCTGGGCCTTGAGGGGTCACCGTTCCTCCATGGGGTCACCATGGCGGCCTTGGGCAGCCCTGGAGGGGACTCCTGCGCTGCCTCAACTGGCCGCGGGGGGATTCAGACCAGTGGACGCCCAAAGGGGACCTGCTCCTCTGGGCTGGGCAGGGCCCTCGGAGGGTACGGACGGTGGCCTGGAGCATGACATCATCCTAGGGGTCTGTGGACAGTTCAGAGCCCACAGGGGGTGCCCCTGTGAGCAGCCCTGGTGTGGGGGGCTGGGGGGTGGGCTCTCACTACGTGTGGCATGTTAATCAGCATGTCTGGGCCTCCCACTCCTGAGCGCAGGCTGGGGGTGTTTGTGTCCCCCCACTACCCTGTGCGGATCTCCTTGGAGCCCACACTCCACACACAGAGTTCAGCGTGTACAATGGCTGTCAGCTTTGCTGTTCCCTTGGCATTGGGGCCGAGGGGAGCGGCTTGTCCTCAGAGCTGCCTGGGAGCCACCATCCTTCCCTGTGGGAGACAAGCCTGGGGTGGGCGCTCCCAGGGGGCTGTGCGGGCAGAAGTGTGAGGGCGAGCCTGTCACACACCCACCTCGGGGCCTGGGCCCCGCCTCGCCATCGAGGCCTCGGGCTGAGCAGGTGCTTTTGAGCCCTTGACGCTCCTGGGGGTCCCAGGGGTCCCAGGGGCCTTTCCTGGGGGCTGGGCCTGGGTCCAGGGTTCCAGGTGCCGATGTGATATGGGCCTCCGCCGTGTGCATCATCCCGGGGAGCGGGGTGAGGGGGGTCTTTGGCAGTGAGAACCAACTCCCCATGTTCCAGTCTGTCTTCCTCCCTGGGACTTGTCACAACAGAGGCGTTGGGTCCAGCTGCGCCTGCCCCTTCCCCCCCCCCCCCCCCGGGGCGGGGTGCTTCAGTGCCGGGGGCTGTCAGAGTGAAGGGCGGGCTCAGATTGGCTCTGAGAGAGATGGGATCTGACCAGGTGAGACAGGACAGGCGCCCGTCCCCAGGTGTCACCTGCCAGCTGCGCGATGAGGCCAGGCATGATGGGAGCAGGCTGCCGTGCCTGGCCACTGCCCGTCGGAGCTGTGTGACGGGTCGGGGGGAGGGTGAGCTCCTGTCTTCTCCTTGACCAGCCCCTCTGTAGGGTCTGTAGATAGGCTGCCCCCCAAGTCTTAGCCTCAGAGCCCTAGGACCAGTGTGGCTGTTGGGCTCTCGGGGCAGGGATGGGGAGGCAGGCAGGTCTGGGCCCTGGACCAATGTACCCCCAGATCCAGGTAGGGAGCCCTTAGGAATGGCAGTGTCCCCGGTGTAGGCCTCAGCGGCCATGGGCGGTCATCCAGCCCCGGGGCTACTCCGTGAGCGGCTGGCCCTCTCCTCTGGGTGTGGCTGACCCTCTCCCCTGGGAGTGGCTGACCCTCTCCCCTGGGTGAGGCTGGCCCTCTCCCCTGGGTGAGGCTGACCCTCTCCTCTGGGAGTGGCTGACCCTCTCCCTTGGGTGTGGCTGGCCCTCTCCCCTGGGTGAGGCTGACCCTCCCCTCTGGGTGTGGCTGGCCCTCTCCCCTGGGTGAGGCTGGCCCTCTCCTCTGGGAGCGGCTGACCCTCTCCCCTGGGAGCGGCTGACCCTCCCCTCTGGGTGAGGCTGACCCTCCCCTCTGGGTGTGGCTGACCCTCTCCCCTGCGAGCGGCTGACCCTCTCCCCTGGGTGAGGCTGGCCCTCTCCCCTGGGTGAGGCTGACCCTCTCCTCTGGGAGCGGCTGACCCTCTCCCCTGGGAGCGGCTGACCCTCCCCTCTGGGTGAGGCTGACCCTCCCCTCTGGGTGTGGCTGACCCTCTCCCCTGGGAGTGGCTGACCCTCTCCCCTGGGTGAGGCTGGCCCTCTCCCCTGGGTGAGGCTGACCCTCTCCCCTGGGAGTGGCTGGTCCTCTCCCCTGGGTGTGGCTGGCCCTCTCCCCTGGGTGTGGCTGGCCCTCTCCCCTGGGTGTGGCTGGCCCTCTCCCCTGGGTGTGGCTGGCCCTCTCCCCTGGGTGTGGCTGGCCCTCTCCCCTGGGTGTGGCTGGCCCTCACAGGAAAACCACAGATGTCCACTGTGGGAGAAGGGAGCCCACGCCCATCCCTCCCCACCAGCCCTCCAGGCAAGAGGAGGGCCGCGGGCATCACCCCCTCCCCCCGCAGGTGTTCCATGTGGCCTACGTGCTCATCAAGTTTGCCAACTCCCCGCGACCGGACCTCTGGGTGCTGGAGCGCTCTGTGGACTTCGGCCACACCTACCAGCCTTGGCAGTTCTTCGCCTGTGAGTCTCTCGGAGCCCAGGGCTGGCAGGCGCGTCCCGGGTGGCATTACTGCCCGCTCTGTCACACCCAGCTTCTGTTGGGTCAAGACTGTGGGGGGCGCACCCCAAAGGCAGGTGGGGCTGAGTGGTTCCCTTCCCTGACGTGGGACCAGTTCCACTTCACAGACTAGGCCACGAAGCTCTGGGGAGCTCAGGCACACAGGGCAAGGCCGCTTTCCTGGCCCTGCACCCTCACCCCCCCTCACCCCGATTCCGCAGCCTCCAGGAGGGACTGCCTGGAGCGATTCGGGGTGCCGAGGCTGGAGCGCATCACGCAGGACGACGATGTCATCTGCAGCACGGAGTACTCCCGGATCGTGCCCCTGGAGAACGGCGAGGTGGGCCAGGCGGGTGCGGCGGGCCCCGCGGGGGGTGGCGGCAGTCAGGTGCCGGCCTGACTCCATCCTGTCTACAGGTTGTGGTGTCCCTGGTGAACGGGCGTCCGGGGGCCATGAACTTCTCCTACTCGCCATTGCTGCGTGACTTCACCAAAGCCACCAACATCCGCCTGCGCTTCCTGCGCACGAACACACTGCTGGGCCACCTCATGGGCAAGGCCCTGCGGGACCCCACCGTCACCCGCCGGGTGAGCACGCCGGCCGGGCGCCACGTAGGGGTCTGGGTCACATGGGGGGTCTGGGCCATGTGGGGGTCCTGGTGGGTGGGCCGGGCTGGTGTGGGGGCCTCGACACTCACAGCCAGGTGTTCAGTACTATTACAGCATCAAGGACATCAGTATTGGCGGGCGCTGTGTCTGCCACGGCCACGCGGATGTGTGTGACCCCGTAGACCCTGCAGACCCCTTCAGGTGAGATCGTCGGCTCCCTGCCCACCCCCTTCATCCCCTGCCAGCCTGGGGGGAGGAGGCCTGGTTCTACTGCCTGCCATGTCCCTGGCCCCTGTGAGCTGCACTGGCTGCCATGCTGTGGTGTCTTTCCCATGTGCACAGCGAGGGGAGGGGCAGTGCCCTAGGCCCTGCTGCCAGTGGAGGTGAAGTTCTTGTCCAGACCCCAAGCCCAGGGCCTGATGGACGGGAGTCGCCGTGGAGGCGTCAGCCTGCGGCTGCACATTCCTGTCCTCTGCCAACCCCACAAACACACTCCCTCCGCCCCCCACCCTGACCTTCACCTCCCACCACAGGCAGGCCCAGGGCCTGGACGGGGAGCTGAGGGTGCCGAGCCCCCACAGGCACCCCGCACAGTGCAGGCAGCAGCCTTGGGCCTGAGTCAGCCAGTAAGGCAGGGCCCAGGCGTCTGCATCTTTAACAAGCGGTCAGTAGGTGTGTGCCCTGTACCTTCCTTGCCTCAAAATCACGCAGCCCCCACACCACGCTCTTGGATTTGGGGTCTTCTCTGTGCCTTCTGCTGGGGTTTTATTGCTTTGTCTGTACCCCAATTTATAGGGAGACAAGTGAAGCCCAGACAGCATAGAGGCGAACCCCAAACCAGTCCTTTGCAACCAATGGGTCTAAAGAGGGAGGGACAGGCAGGCCCTGGGGACCCACCTGCTGTCCAGGCTCCCTGCCGCCCCGGGCTCCTGCCTGCCGCTCTCAGGCAGCCATTGCTCTGAGGAACTTGGTGCCAAGTAAGAACTTGTGAGGCCTGGGAGGGGCGCACTGGAAGAGAGGCAGGTCTGCCCTTGCCCACTGGGCGGCACGGGCACTGCACGTGGGCGTGGGCGAGCTCAGCTCCCAGGCGGGGCACAGGGCTGCACAGCGTGCCCAGGCCCAGGCGCCAGCACCCAGCACACACCAGTGTCTCCACTCCCCCTCCCTGACCTGGAAGGTCGTGGAGGCTGCTGCCAGTGTCTGGCTGCTCTGGCTGCCATAACAAAACACCGATCATGCTTCACTTCTCACAGTTTTGGGGCTGCTGGGGGCCACTTCCCGGGTCCCAGAGGCGTCCTCTCACTGCATCCGCACATGGTGGGCAGAGGGCAGGGGACTCTCTGGGTGCTTTTATAAGGACAGTAATCCCTTGAATGAAGGCTCCACCCTCATGACCTGACCACCCCCATAGACCCCCAGGCTGTCTGGGCGTCAGGTTTCACATGGGAACTGGGGGGGACACGTCCGTCTGTGGCAGCTGGTGAGTCTCCCGGGTCTGTGTGTCGTCGCCTACAATGGCTGTTTGCCCTCACTCTTGGGTGAAACTTTAACTGACTGAAATTCTGGCTGAAGGTCATGTCTCTCAACACTTCGTGGTCTCTCGGCATCTCTGGAAGCTTGGGAGAGTCCCCCATCCTGCTCATGTTGCCTGGGCATCTTCTGGAAGTTTCTGTGTCTTGGTGCTCTGCTGGTCCACTCTGGTGTTAAGGGGTGGACATGTTTTCTCTGCCTCAGGACTCATGCTTTTTTTTTTAATTGTGGTTTTTATTTTTTATTTTTTGGTAGAGAGAGGAAGGGAGAGAGAGAAACAACGATCGGCTGCCTCCCGCACATGCCCCAACTGGGGATCAAACCTACAGCCTGGGTGTGTGCCTTGACCAGGAATCAAACCTGCCACCTTTCGGTGCACAGGACGATGCTCCCACCAATCGAGCCACTCGGCCAGGCCAGGACGCAGGCCTTTTGACGCCCTTGGCTGACAGCTCTCTGCCTGCTGGGCTCCTCATCTGCCCCCTTTCTCCTTCTGGAATTCGGTTATGGTTTCCTTCTGTCTCGGGACGTCTGGATCCTCGCCTGTCTCCAAGCTGCCTTCTCCGCTCAGTCTCCTCCCTGCGTCTGACCTGCGCAGCCCACCCATTGAGCCTTAAATGCAGTCATTTTGCTTTTTGTTTATAGGAATTCTGACTGGTTCTTTAGTCACACCACCTATTTTTCTTTTTAATTTAATTTTCCCACCTATTTTTCATGAATTTTAGCTGCCTCAGGTGAGTCTTTAAGCGTCCTCGTTTCAGGTGTCTGCCCATTGCTCCGTGAAGCTTTTGGGTCAGCCCTGTCTGCTGCGGTGGCGGCCCTGCTTCTCTGTGACTCCCGCGTGCCCTGGACCGGGAAGGAGCCTCCAGAGTGGCTTTGTGAGGGCTTTTGCCAAACACGCTGGGTATCACCAACCTGGCACAGCTCTACGCGAATTCCTTAGCTTAGGGGTGCCCTGCCCATGTTGACCATTGGAAAGTCTAACAGCAGCTGCAGCCTGTGGTTGCCTCCCTGCGGCAGATTGTCCTGCCCCCTCTCCCACGCAGGCCCTCCAGGTGTCCCTGGACGCCGAGGGACACCAGTGCTGACGCCCAAGGCCCTGCGGACCCTCGTGGGGACGGGGCTAGGGTGGTGGGATTGGAGCTCTGGGTCATGCACAGCACTGGCCCAGGACCCAGAAACACACAGCTCAGATGGGGCCCACTCTGGCCCCACCTTGGTGGACATATGGCCTAGGCTGGGTGGGGCTTTGGCATGAGTGTCTGCAGGAGGTGGCCACAACCTCCGTTCCCAGCTGCGGCCAGCTGTCCCCTGCCACTGAGCCAACAGGAGCTGCTCTCTAGGACAGCAGGCAGGGTTCCAGCCCTCCCACGGGTGTCTGCCCCCGGCTGGAAGGGGGAGCTGTGCTTGGCCACCTGCCTCTGGGGAGTGCCCTGGACTCACGGGCTTCAGACTGAGCTCAGGGCTGCCTGCTGAGCAAGACCTGGGCTTCAGGGCCTGGCCTGGTGGGGATGGCATAGCTCCCGGCCCCAGGGCTCCGGCTGACCGCTCAGCACCCCACGCACAGCTCACCCACCCGCACAGCCCCTGCGCCTCTGCTTCCTCCTGCTCTTCCTCTGCGGGTCTGAGCCCGCTGTGCCATGTGTCCCACAGGCTGAAGTGCGCCTGCCAGCACAACACCTGTGGGGGCTCCTGTGAGCGCTGCTGCCCCGGCTTCAACCAGCAGCAGTGGAAGCCAGCCACTCCTGAGAGTGCCAACGAGTGTCAGTGTGAGTGCCCCCTCGTGCACACATGCTTCTGCACAAGCTCATACATGCACATCTCTCTGCACACTTACACACTGGCAGTGCTCACTCACATGCACACACAGTGCTCATGGATACACTCACACACGTGCTTACACATACACGCCTGAGCACACACATGTTCGCACATGCATGTACAGTACACACATGGACACAGGTGCTCGCCCGCTCGAGTGCGGACACTCACATGCATGTTCACAGCTGTACTCACACAAGCTTACACACTGACAGTGCCTATGCACATGTGTGTGGTTGGCCACATCTGAGGTTGTCTGGTTTGTGGGGTGTAGCCTGGGGGCCCTGCTGACAGCTGGGTGCCTGCCCTTCCCTCCAGCCTGCAACTGCCACGGCCATGCGGACGACTGCTACTACGACCCTGAGGTGGACAGGCACAACGCCAGCCAGAACCAGGACAGCGTCTACCAAGGCGGGGGCGTGTGCATCGCCTGCCAGGTGGGCGGGGCTCCAAGCGGCACTTGCGGGGTGGGCGGGGCCAGGTGCTGCTGGACCAGACACCCTGGACTCAACGGCCCTCCTCTACCCCCAGCATCACACCACCGGCATCAACTGTGAACGCTGCCTGCCCGGCTTCTACCGCGACCCTGACCAGCCCCTGGACTCGCCCCACACCTGCCGTCGTGAGTGGGGTCAACCTGGCTGGGGTGTCCTGGGGACGGGTGGCTGGGAGCAGGGTAGCCCAGGGTCCCCGGCCCCCTGCCTCCCCGGGGCCCGGCCACAGCTCTCCCCCCACTGCCCAGATTGAGGAGAGACTGCCCGTCCTGGGCCCGAGTCCTGGGCTTGGGTCTCATGACTCCCGGCCCCCACCCAGGTTGCAACTGCGAGTCAAACTTCACTGACGGGACGTGTGAAGACCTGACCGGCCGCTGCTACTGCCGGCCCAGCTTCGCGGGGGAGCGGTGCGAGGCGTGTGCCGCCGGCCTCGTGGGCTTCCCACACTGCTACTGTGAGGGTGCTGCCGGGGGCGGGCCGGGGGCCTCTGGTCCTGCCTCCTCCCTCCATGTGCTGAGCCGACCTGGCTGACATGCGTGTCTCCTCCCCAGCTGTGTCCGCCCCCCGAAACTCCTCCGTGGCACAGGTGCAGCAGGCCGGACAGATTGTGAGTAAGTGTCGCTGAGGTCCCCGCTCCGCCGGTGCCCCTGGAGCAGGGGGCAGGAGGGCCACACAGAAAGGTGGGATATTCACTTTAGTCACATTAATTTGGGTTCTTTTCATTTTATGCGAACAATACACATTGATGCTAGAAAACCGTCAAAAATCTAAGTAAGCTTACCGTCGAAGGAGACATTCCCCGCGTTGCAGCCCCTCTTCGCGCCGCGGGACCTCTGGGCATGCACACTGGCGTTCACTCACACGGATGTGTGCTCTGCCTCCTGTTTCAGAATTGCGTTCCCACCCACCGCCACCCTGCAGACGTGTCGCTTCTCGTCCTGTGTCACACAGAACGATGTAGCGTTTCTTCAACCAACACGCAATTGCTGGGGTTTTAGGCTCTTTCCAATTGTCTTTTTAAAAATAATGTTCCGGCCGAAACCGGCTTGGCTCAGTGGATAGAGCGTCGGCCTGCGGACTGAAAGGTCCCAGGTTCGATTCCGGTCAAGGGCATGTACCTGGGTTGCGGGCACATCCCCAGTGGGGAGTGTGCAGGAGGCAGCTGATCGATGTTTCTCTCTCATCGATGTTTCTAACTCTCTATCTCTCTCCCTTCCTCTCTGTAAAAAATCAATAAAATATATTTAAAAAAAAAATAATAATAATGTTCCGATAAACATCCTTGCAGCTCAAGCTTCCCATAACTCCTCAGTTCTTCTGTAGGAAGGTTTCCCAAAGAGGGTTCTGCCCAGGCTGGGGCGCCAGCTGGTTCTCAGGGTGAAACGACCTGCCAGCGTCAGGCGTTGGCACACGCATTAATCAAGTCACTGCTTTGGGACACAGCAGGTTTATATTGACAGCCTGGTCCTCGCCACGGGCGACGCTCCTCCGCGGGAGCATGTCTGGGATGGGGACCTGTCTTTGGCTGAGGGCACGCCACAGTCTCATCTGCAGGCACCGTCCATTCGTGGCCTCGGCCGTTATGAGGAAGGCTGCAGGATCGCTGGGGCCAGACAGCTTTCCCAGTTAGCGTTTTCATTTTCTTTGGATAAATTACCCGACGTGGAATCACTGGGTCAAATGGCAGATCCATTTTTAATTGTTTGAGGACCCCCACACTGTTCTCCACAGTGGCTGCGCCGTCTGCATTCCCTCCAGCAGGGCACGGGGGCCCCCTTTCCCCCGCATCCTCGCCAGCACTTGTCGTTTGCTGATGTGTTGATGGTAGCCGTCCTGGCAGCTGTGAGGTGGTACCTCACTGTGGTTTGATGTGCATCTCTCTAGTGATTAGCGATGTGGAGCATGTTTTCATATGTCTCTTGGCCTCTGTATGTCCTCTTTGGAGTGGTGTCTATTCAGGTCCTTGCCCAATGGATTATTTGGCTGTGTGTTTTTTAATCTTCACCCGAGGATATTTTTCATTGATATTTTTGTTGTTGTTGTTAGAGAAAGAGAGAGAAATCCTGGCCAGGGCTGTTTGGGTTTTTTATTTTTATATTGAATTGTATGAGGGGTTTTTTTAATACATATTTTTACTGATTTCAGAGAGAAAGGGAGAGGGAGAGACTGAAACATCAAAGATGAGAGAGAATCATCGATCGGCATGCCCCCTACTGGGATTGAGTCCACAACCAAGCATGTGCCCTTGACCGGAATCAAACCTGGGACCCTTCAGTCCACACGCTAACGCTCTGTCCACTGAGCCAAACCGGCTAGGGCTATGAATTTTTAATATATCTTGGATATTAGCCCCTTATCAAATGTAGTGTTTGCAAATATCTTCTTCAGTTCAGTAGGTTCCCACCCAAGCATATTTCACTTTTAACCTGTGAATTATATGACAAATTCTGTTAACATGGACCCGCCATGAACATAAGGCTTCATTAGCGAGGCTGGTTGAAAGGGTTCTTGCCTGTTTGTGCCATCTTGCTTTGGTTTGTAAGTCGCCTTGTAAAGTACTTGGAAAGGGGTTCACAGGTAGGCACCCTTGATTGGGAATCAAACCCGTGACTCTTGATGGTCTATTTTTATTCTTTCTTTCTCTTTGCCCCTTCCTTCATTTGACTAACAGAAGTGCATTGAGTCTATTGCTGCTTTCAAAGGACAGCCCACGGCTGCAGCACAGGATTGGGCTTTTCTCTGGCTCATGGGGGGCAGAGGTCTTGCTCCCTTACATGGACGTTTTGGAACTAAAACCTCTAATTCCTTCTCTACCCTTCCTTGTGGTTTATTACTGTTTTTGATAGCTTCTTGAATTATTTCTTTACAGGAAAACGTCTAAAATGTCTTTTTGGATGTTGTAACTGGGGGTGCTGTTGTCATCCAGTGGATGGAGGGAGGCTAGGGGTGTACAAAATATCATACAATGCCCAGGCAGCGTGGCTCAGTGGTTGAGCGTTGACCTATGAACCAGGAGTTCACGGTTCGATTCCCAGTCAGGGCACATGCCTGGGTTGCAGGTTCGATCCCCAGAGTCGGATGTGCAGGAGGCAGCCAATCAATGATTCTCTCTCACCATTGATGTTTTTAGTTCTCTCTCCTTCTCCCTTCCTCTCTGTTATCAATAAAAATATATTTAAAAGAAAATAAGAAGAGTACATCTTAAAAAAAAAAAAAAGTATACAGTGCATAGGACGGCCCCACCCCTCTGATAGTTGTCCAGCCCAGAATGTCAGTGGTACTGAGGTTGAGAAACCTGGGCTAAAGCTATCAATTTGCCTCAGAGTATAACTTTGGCTAGGTGTATCCCACAAGGTTGATTGTTGTGTTCTCACTATTGCTTTTTTCTTTTTCTTTTTTTTTTTTAATTAAATCTTTATTGTTCAGATTATTACATTTGTTCCTCTTTTTTCCCCCCATAACTCCCCTCCTCCCAGTTCCCGCCCCACCCTCCGCCCTCACTCCCCACCCACTGTCCTCATCCATAGGTGCACGATTTTTGTCCAGTCTCTTCCCGCATCTCCCACACCCCTTTCCCCCCCAAGAATGGTCAGTCCATTCCCTTTCTATGTCCCTGATTCTATTATAATCACCAGTTCATTCTGTTCATCAGATTATTTATTCACTTGATTCTTAGATTCACTTGTTGATAGATGCATGTTTGTTGTTCATAATTTGTATCTTTACCTTTTTCTTCCTCTTCCTCTTCTTAAAGGATACTTTTCAGCATTTCATATAATCCTGGTTTGGTGGTGATGAACTCCTTTAGCTTTTCCTTATCTGTGAAGCTCTTTATCTGACCTTCAATTCTGAATGATAGCTTTGCTGGATAAAGTAATCTTGGTTGTAGGTTCTTGGTATTCATCACTTTGAATATTTCTTGCCACTCCCTTCTGGCCTGCAAAGTTTCTGTTGAGAAATCAGCTGACAGTCGTATGGGTATTCCCTTGTAGGTAACTGAGTTTCTTTCTCTTGCTGTTTTTAAGATTCTCTCTTTATCTTTTGCTCTTGGCATTTTAATTATGATGTGTCTTGGTTCTTGGTGTGGTCCTCTTTGGATTCCTTTTGTTTGGGGTTCTCTGCGCTTCTTGGACCTGTAAGTCCATTTCTTTCACCAGGTGGGGGAAGTTTTCTTTCATTATTTCTTCAAATAGGTTTTCAATATCTTGCTCTCTCTCATCTTCTGGCACCCCTATAATTCTGATGTTGGTACGCTTGAAGCTGTCCCAGAGGCTCCTTACACTATCCTCGCATTTTTGGATTCTTTTTTCATTTTGCTTTTCTGGTTGGGTGTTTTTTGCTTTCTCGCATTTCAAATCATTGACTTGATTCTTGCGCTCCTCTGGTCTGCTGTCGGGAGTCTGTATAATATTCGTTATTTCAGTCCGTGTATGCTTAATTTCTAGTTGGTTCCCCAATATAACATCGAGGGTCTCATTAGTTTTCTTGTAGACCTCATTAAGTTTATTGGCGGCTTCTAAACAGTTCTTGAGAGACCTTAAAAGTGTGGTTCTGAACTCTATATCTTCCATTGACAATTTTGTCCTGTGTCTTTGTCTCCGCATTTTGTTATGCTTTCTTGGTGCACCCCCTAGTGGTCTTTGTGCACAGTCTTGTAGTTAAGCCTTGATTGTTGTAGCTAATACCAGGAAGGGTTTGACCTCCAGGCCAAGTGGCTGTGAGAATCAGCTGTGTCTGCAGTGAGAGAACTTCTGTCCTCTAGGGAGGTGCTAATCTAGCCTTTGCCTGAGGCTATCTGGCAAATGCCTCTGAGCAGGGCTTGGGCGGGGCGGGTCGCACAGGATCAACAGGGTGGGCCGGAGAGAGCAGTTATGGCGGCTCTCAGTCCTGTCCCCAGGGGCTCTGCCTCTCTGAGTCCCAGCACCCGCTGCAAACCTCGGAGAGAAAGCTGCACTCGCTCTGACCGAAGCCAGACAGTCCTGCTTCTCCCGTTTGAGTCTGGGTCCCTAAAGACTCGCCTGTATCTGGACCTCAGAGTCTGCGACTCCCTCCCGATTGAAAACGCCAACCGCGCCCTCCGCACCTCAGAATTTGACTTCAGCACTGTGCCTCCTCTGAGTGTCCGTATGCGTTTCTCTTTCCTCCTAGTTGTAGGACTTCCACTCAGCCAGCGTTCCTGTGGTTCTGGGTGATGTCCATTCCGTCTTTTAGTTTCACTTTTGAAGTAGTTGTTCAAGGCAGCAAACTCCGGCGTTAACCTAAGCTGCCATCTTGGTTCTCCTCACTTTTTTCTATATACTCGGTCATTTCAGTTTTTATTTGCTTTTGACCAGAGTTCTTAGAAGCATGTTTGTCATTCTTGGTGGTTTGATTTTCTTTCTGCCCCCTTTTTTTTTAAAAAAAAAATCTCTTTATTGATTTCAGAGAGAAAGGGAAAGGGAGAAGGAGATAGAAACATCAACAATGAAAGAGACTCATCGATCGACTGCCTCCCACACACACCCCACACTGGGGATCAAGCCCGCAACCCCAGCATGTGCCCCAACCAACCAAACCATGACCTCCTGGTTTGTAGATTGACACTCAACCACTGAGCCACACTGGCCAGGCCCCTGCCCTTTTTTTGTTGGTTCAGTCCTTGTTTGACTACATCATAGTCAGATTCAGTAGCCTGACGATTTCTGCTTTTTGTGTTTGAAATTTAATATTTTGTTTTTTACTGTTTTGGGTTGTTCCATGGACATGTGGCAGGAACACGTGTTCTCTGTGGGATACAGATCTCTGTGTGCACCTGTTCCCACACGCGTGTTAATTATGCTGTTAAATCCACTCTGTCCGAGCGAGGTTTTCGCCATTCTGAGAACAGCCTATTCAGTCTGTCTCTATAGGAGTCTGGTTTTGCCAAACCCTTGAAGTGTTGGTAGTTCATTTGGCTTTCTGCACCTTAAGACCATGTTTATTCTGTTCTTAGTGACTTGGGTTTGCTGCCTCTCTTGGGGTGAGGAGGCACAAGTCCACTTTCTCAACACACACCCCTTTTGTCCCCATTAATGCTCGTGGCCTTGGATGGCGTCCCTCCTCTGCACGCTCCCCTCTCTCCGCCCGCACTGGCCGCGCTGCGTCATCAGCGTCGTTTCTGTTGAGTAGTCCAAGGTGCGTCCTTTCAGGAGGACGGACCGGATTGCCCTTTTAGAGCCAACCTGGTGCCTTAGGGTTTTGTCTCGGACGGGAGTTGGCCTGGTACAGGGGTGGTGGCGTGTCTCCTTTCTGCTTAATTTTTCCTCTCTTGCCTTTGCTGGTCAAGCAACCAAACATGTTTTGGATTTGGTTGGTTGGTTTGTGTTTTCTTCTCCGAGGGTTTGTAAATTCTGGTCCATGGTCACCCTTATACTTTGGACAAATATTGAGCTGTTTTTCTCTCTCAGTAACAAAATCTAAATTGTACGTATGGCCCTCTTTTTATGCACAAGTTAACACTTTAACACATTTTTTCTCCTTTCTTCCTACCCCCGGGGTTGCTCAGCGTTGGCCTGCACACCGCAGGGCCACGGGTTTGATTCCTGGCCAAGGGCACACTCTGGGTTGCAGGTTTGATCTCCGGCTCCAATCGGGAGGCAACCAATTGATGTGTCTACATCAATGTCTCTCTCTCTCTCTCTCTCTCTCTCTCTCTATCTCTCTCTCTCCCCTTCCTTCATCCCTTCCACTCTCTCTAAAAAGCAATGGAAAAAATATCCTCTGGTGAGGATTAATAACAACAAAAAAGACTAGAATTTTCTCCTGGCGTGTCGTGATTCTGAGTTTAAATGTTTTGTGGTTGTGTGAACGCCCATGGTTGACTTGGTGTCTACATCACAAACGACTAAGAGTCCACGTGTGTGTCGTCACCTCATCTCGTCACTCACCAGTTTTCCCTGGAACATGACTTTCCCTTCTTGGGATTTTTATTGTCATTTATTTGTTTGACTTAAAATTTAAAAATATATTTTTTCAATTACAATTTTCATACAATATTATGTTAGTGTTGGATGTCCAACATAGTGGCTAGTTGTTTATACACCTTACGACGTGATCTCCCCATAAGCCCAGAGCCACCGCCTGGGACGGGCTTTCAGTCTGGACGTGTGCAGAGTAGAATGTGCGGATCTGGGCTTGTGGGGAAGGGAGGCCTCCCGCGGAGGGGCCGGTCGGCAGGGCCTCTGAGGCCTCCGTCCTGCCCCCACCCAGGCTGCGACTGCAACGCCGGGGGCACCCAGAACAACGCCTGCCAGAAGGACCCGCAGTTGGGACGCTGCCTGTGCAAACCCAACTTCCAGGGCATCTACTGCGAGCTCTGTGCCCCAGGGTTCTACGGCCAGGACTGCCACCGTGAGTCCAGCCCATCCCCGTCCCCGTCCCCGTCCCCGTCCCCCCAGACCCTGACCAGGTGTGGCCTCCCCTCCCGCAGCATGCCAGTGTTCCAGCCCCGGAGTGGTGGACGGTGACTGTGACCGGGACTCCGGCCAGTGCACATGCCGGGCCGGCTTCCAGGGGGCCACGTGTGACCGCTGTGCCCCTGGCTACTTCCACTTCCCCCTCTGCCAGTGTGAGCAAGGCCTCCCCAGTGGGCACGGTGGGCCTGGGCCCGCGGTCTTGTCTGCCCTGCTCAGCAGCCTGTGCCCTCTCCCCCGCAGTGTGTGGCTGCAGCACCGCGGGGACCCTGCCCCAGGGCTGCGACGAGGCTGGCCACTGCCTGTGCCGGCCTGAGTTCGATGGCCCTCACTGTGACCGCTGTCGCCCCGGCCACCATGGCTACCCTGACTGCCGAGGTGAGCAGAGGGCGGGACTGGGCAGAAGCCTGGAGGTGGGGTGTGGGAGGGCCACCGCCGGTGCCCATGGCCTGCCCCTGTCTCTTGCAGCCTGCGACTGCGACCCCCAGGGGGCCCTGGATCAGCTCTGCAGTGTAGGCGGGGTGTGTCGCTGCCGCCCTGGCTACGCAGGCACCACCTGCCGGGAGTGCAGCCCTGGGTTCCACGGCTTCCCCGCCTGTGCCCGTGAGTGTCCTTGCAGGAGGCAGGGAGGGGGGCGCATCCCACCGCATGCCCGAGCCCACACCCCCCGTCCTTCCCCAGCCTGCCACTGCTCTGCCCACGGCTCCCTGGATGCAGCCTGTGACCCCCGCAGCGGGCAGTGCAGCTGCCGGCCCCGAGTGACAGGGCTGCGGTGTGACACGTGTGTGCCCGGCACCTACAACTTCCCCTACTGTGAAGGTGAGGCTGGTGCCATTTGCAAGACAGGCTCACACATCCTGTGCTGGGCGTTCATGCCACCGTCTGTGTGCTCTGTGCCCATGCGTGTGTCCATGTGGTTGTTCTTGCATGTGTTCATGTGAGGTTCGTATGCTGTGGGTGCGTATCCATGTGCCTTGTTAGTGTCCATGCACATCTCCGCATGTTTGTTCCTGGATGTGTGTTCATGTGTTGTGGTTGTGTCCATGTGTGTTCAGATGCGGTGCATGTGTCCATGTGCTGTGCATGGGTCCATGTGTGTTCACATGTGTTCATGTGCTGGATGTGCTTGTTGCATGTTCATAACCATGTGCTGGGGAGGGGGAAGGGCACATGCCCTTGTGGTGTGGGGACCAGAGCATGGAGGTGCACGTCTTCATGCATGTTTACACGTGTGGGAGCCGAGGGGCCTGGCCAGGCCTGGGGAATTCTTTGCCGTCAGGGTCAATGACTAAGGAATGACGGAGCGGTGTCTCCACAGCTGGCTCCTGCCACCCTGATGGCCTGGCCCCCGCCGACCGTGTCCTTCCTGAGGTGAGCCCACGGCAGCCCTTGGTGGGGCTGAGACGTTGCTTCCCCTGCTAATTGGTCACTGTGGAAATCTCCAGGCGCATTTGTTCCCCTGCTGGTCCTCTGTCCCCACTCCAGCGGATGCCAGAGATTGTGCAGGGCCAGGGCTCCAGGGCTGAGAGCTTGTGGATAGGAGGGGAGGGGCCCACTCTGACCCTCAGTCTCAATCTCTCCCAGGCACAGGCCCCATGTACATGCCGGGCACATGTGGAGGGGCCAAGCTGTGACCGCTGTAAACCTGGGTTCTGGGGCCTGAGTTCCAGCAACCCTGAGGGCTGCACCCGTGAGTCTGCCCAGAGTGGATGCTGGGGCTGGGGGAGAACCCTGGAGGGACAGGGAGGTGAGGGTTGGCCCCACAGGGTCCAGGCCCTCCTGCTCCCTCCCCCACTGTCAGGCCTGCTCTTCCCCTCCCCCAGGCTGCAACTGCGACCCCAGGGGCACCCTGGGTGGAGCTGCCGAGTGCCAGCTGGTGAGTCTGGGGGCCAAGGTGCTGGGGGTCTAGAGGCAGATGCACTGGGACACCCATCCCTGCCTAGTCCCACCTCCGCCCTCCACCCGCAGGGCAATGGCCAGTGCTTCTGCAAGCCCCGCGTGTGCGGCCAGGCCTGCGCAGTGTGCAAGGACGGCTTCTTCGGGCTGGGCCAGGCTGGCTACTTCGGCTGCCGCAGTGAGTGCCCGCCTCCTGGGCCCTCAGACCACGTCCTGGGGAGGGCTGCGGCTGGGGGGACAGAGGAGTCAGGAGCCGGGTGGGGTCTGGGCATGGGGAGGCCCACACATTGGACTGGGACTCACTGAGCTGTGCCTGATGCCTGGCCAGGCCTGAGCTGGCTGTGGAGAGGCTCTGCTCTCAGGCCCCTCCCTCCAGTCCTGCACCCTCAGCAGACATCACCAGTCATTCCTAGTTCCCTTGCCCTGGGCCTGGACTCAGAACCTGCCTGTGCAGAGTCCCAGGTGGCTTCTCAGCCCCTGTTGCTCCTGACAAGGCGGACGGAGGCCCAGGGCCTGTCTCCGGAGCCAGGCTGTGAGGAGCACTGAGGCAGGTGAGGGCCAGGCAGCACCCACCTCGCTCCCCCCTCCTGTACAGGCTGCCGGTGTGATGTTGGCGGTGCGCTGGGCCAGGGCTGTGAACCGAGAACGGGCGCCTGTCGCTGCCGCCCCAACACGCATGGCCCCACCTGCAGCGAGTGGGTACCCTATTCCGATTGGTTGGGGGGCAGCAGCCTGTGGGAGGTAGCTGGTCTTCTGGATTTGTCCCTGGGGATCCTGGGGGCTGTACCGGCCCAGAGCCCGCCCCACCCAAACAGCCTGCGGGCTGCTCTGACGCCCGTGCTGTGGCCAGGCCGGCGCCGGACCACTACCTCCCGGACCTGCACCACCTGCGCCTGGAGCTGGAGGAGGCGGCCACGCCCGAGGGCCACGCTGTGCGCTTTGGCTTCAACCCCCTTGAGTTTGAGAACTTCAGTTGGAGGGGCTACGCACAAATGGCGCCCATCCAGGTGGGTGTGGGCTGCCCTTTCCCCGGGCGCAGCTTACAGGGCGCAGTGGGGCGGGCAGGCCTCTGAGGCCACAGGACCCAGCTGTGAATGGCGGGAGGGCGCCCCTGATTTACCATGTCCCTCCAGCCCAGGATTGTGGCCAGGCTGAACGTGACCTCCCCGGACCTCTTCTGGCTCGTATTCCGATATGTCAACCGCGGGCCCTTGAGCGTGACCGGGCGGGTCTCTGTGCAGGAGGAGGGCAAGTTTGCCACCTGTGCCAACTGTGAGTGCATCGGAGGGCCACTCCCACACCTCTCTCCCCTCCCCACCTTGTCCCAAACCCCTGCATCCACCTACACCTCCATCCCACCCAGCCCCAGCCCCAGCCCCGACTTGGGCCATGCATAGGAGGGGAAGCCAGCCTGCCCTGCTGGCCCTGGGGAGTGTGGACAGGGTGGGTGTGTCCATTCTTACTGCCCCGCCCCCTCCCCAGGCACGGAGCAGAGTCAGCCTGTGGCCTTCCCGCCCAGCACTGAGCCCGCCTTTGTCACCGTGCCCCAGAGGGGCTTTGGGGAGCCCTTCGTGTTGAACCCTGGCACCTGGGCCCTGCTCGTGGAGGCTGAAGGGGTGCTCCTGGTGAGGCGGGGGCTGAGCAGGGTAGCGGGGGGCTGAGCGGGTGGACGGGCCGCAGCACCGACTCCCCCCTCCCACCTACAGGACTACGTGGTTCTGCTGCCCAGCGCCTACTACGAGGCAGCCCTGCTGCAGCTGCGGGTGACCGAGGCCTGCACGTTCCGGCCGGCCGCCCAGCATTCTGGGGAGAAGTGAGGGCCGGCCTGGCGAGGGGTGGGGGCCTGACCGTCACTGTACTCAGGCCTCTGGCCCCATGCTGACCGAAGACTGTGTCGCCCACACAGCTGCCTACTCTACACCCACCTGCCCCTGGATGGCTTCCCCTCGGCTCCTGGGCTCGAGGCCCTGTGTCTGCGTGACAACAGCCTCCCCCGGCCCTGCCCCCGGGAGCAGCTCAGCCCCGCGCACCCCCTGCTGGCTGTCTGCCAGGGCAACGACGTGCGTGTCCCGGGACCCCACGGCGGGCAGGCGGGGCCGAGGCCTGTGGGGAAGGGTACCCTTGGCCTGGGGGACGGGGTCCGTGTTGCAGTGAGAGGACACAGGTGCAGGACACCCTCAGGGCCTCATCTGTATTGGGCCCCAGCCCTTGGGGCTCACTGTGAGGACGTGGCGGGTGGTGGGTTCAGTCTCAAGGCTCAGGCTAGACCTCTGGGCACTGCTCTGCGGAGATGAGGCTGGGGGGACGGGAGGCCAGAGTGAGCAGAGGGCAGAGGGCAAGTGACTGCAGTGTTGGGGGGGTACCCAGGCAGCAAGGGTAGAAAGGACGTGTCCCAGGGAGCATGTGGGGTCCTGTTCTCCAGGTGGGGGCTGGGCAGGCCTCTGATTGCCTTGCCCCCCAGGTGGACGTCCAGCTGCAGGTGGCGGTACTGAGGCCAGGCCGCTATGCCCTGGTGGTGGAGTACGCCAATGCGGAGGCCCCCCAGGAGGTGGGTGTGGCCGTGCACACGCCCCAGCATCTCCCCCAGCAGGGGGCGCTCACTCTGCTCCCCTGCCTGTACAGGTACTCAGGGAGGAGGTGGGAGGATTTGGGCCCCAGGGCTGCTCACCTGCTGACTGCCCCTGCCTCACCCCAGCACCCTCTGCCGGGGCACCGCTCTGGACGAGCAGCACCACCTGGTGGCCTTCCACCTGGGCACAGAGGCCAGCGTCCGGCTCACGGCCCAGCAGGCACACTTCTACCTGGTAAGGCCCTGACACCTCACCTCATGGCCCAGGACCTCCATGGTGGCAGCTCTCTCAGAAGATCTTAAACCCGCATAAAGGGTGGAGAGAAGAGCCCTGGCCTGTGGCTCAGTGGTTAGAGCGTCAGCCTGCACACCCAAGGGCCTCGGGTTTGATTGCTGGTCAAGGGCGTGTACTTGGGTTGTAGGTTCAATCCCTAGCCCCGGTTGGGTGCATGCAGGAAGCAACCAATCGATGTGTGTCTCACATCTATGTTCCTCTCTCCCTTCTCTCTCTCTCTGTCTTTCCTTTCTCCTCCTCCCTCCCTCCATTCCACTCTCTCTAAAAATCAATGGAAAAATTATCCTCAGGTGAGGATTAACAACATCAAAGAAAGTAGAATGTAATGAGCCCAGGTGCCCGTCACCAGTGCCACCGTTAGCTCGTACCCTGTCTCTGTTCTTCCAGAACCCTCTCACCTGCAGGGTTTTTTTCCTGGGGGCATAACATGTCTATTTACTTACTAATAGCTCCGTGGCCACATAAGGAAGTACGATGCAGTGGAGTAGGAGAGGAAAGAAAGGTGATCTTCATAAAAGTCCATTTTCCGGTATAATTTACCAAAGCAGATCCCCGTGTGAACAGGGCCCCTCCCTGGCGTTGGGAAGAGTCTGTGACGGGGTCCTGAAGCTTAACACCCAGCAGCATGGTGGCCGGGCCGACCAAGGGCCGACCCAGCGCCTCACAGGGCCGACCCAGGGCCTCACAGTGCCTCACAGGGCCGACCCAGGGCCTCACAGGGCCGACCCAGCACCTCACAGGGCCGACCTAGGGCCTCACAGCGCCTCACAGGGCCGACCCAGGGCCTCACAGGGCCGACCCGGTCGTTGTAACTGAGCCGTCATCACAGAGCACTGCAACCCCCATCACTGTTTTGGAGCCAGAACCAAGCGTCAGGGTTTATTCAACACAAGGCCAGACACGATGGCGTTTGCCTCTGCGAAGTATCATAAGGTCTGTTGCGTCCACTTCCCTAGGCCTTTAGGACGTTTTCAGAGCGATAGATGCACCATTTTTATATAAGCATCCAATACCAACGAGAGCCTGGCCACGCGAGGGACGGCCTGTGGCCGTGGCAGGGCTGCTCGTCCCTCTTTGTGGAGCCGTGTGTTTGCCGTGCTGAAGGCAGGGACGGCTGCGGCTGCTCCTGGGCTGTCTGCTGGGGCCCCGTGCATTTCCCAGCCGTGGACTGGGGCGTGTCCAGCTTTCCATGCACATGGGAGAGCGCCCAGGGCAGCCACCCCCCAAAGGGGCAGCACCCTTATCTGCCTGTTCAGGGACTTTCTGTAACAATCACAGGGCGCCCTTCTGCTGACCCTGTGGGAGACCGACGTGTGCGTTGCCGTGGTCACGCCGCCTTCCTGCCTCTGCTGCGATGTATCTGCTTGGTCATATTTGTCTCGCTTGCACTTCCAATCGCAGTGGGCGGCACTGGACAGAAATGCCCGCCGTAAACCCATCCCGGGAGTTGGGGGGCAGGCGGTCAACCTGCGGGTGGCAGTGGGGTGGCTGGCGGAGAGGACCGGCCTTGGGGACCACTGGGAGGTGCCCAGGCCCCAGAAACTGCACTCAGGGGCTGAGGTTGTGCAGCCAGAGGAGGAGCTGGTGGAGCCAGGCAGGGACTTGGTGTCAAGAGCAGGACTCGGGTTGGACACCAGTGTGGACAGACTCCACCTGCGCGCCCATGTCCACGCCTGGCCCTCTGCCCACAGCACAGTATCACCCTGGTGCCCATGGAGACGTTCAGTTTGGAGTTTGTGGAGCCCCGGGTCCGCTGTGTTAGCATCCACGGGGCCTTCAGCCCCAGCAGGTAGTGGGGCTGGGAGGGGCTGAGCGGCCTGCTGGGCACACTGGCCAGGCCGGCACTCATACCCGTGCCCCTCACAGTGCCGCCTGCCTGCCCTCCCGCTTCCCGAAGCCGCCCCAGCCCACCATCCTCAGGGACTGCCTGGTGCTGCCATTGCCGCCCGGCCTCCCGCTGACCCACTCGCAGGAGCTCACGCCGGGTGCACCCCCGTCTGGACCCCGGCCACGGCCCCCCACTGCCGTGGACCCCGATGCCGAGCCCACCTTGCTGCGACACCCCCAGGTGAGGACCCGGCCCGCAGACGGGTGTGGGCGAGGCAGGAGGCGCAGGGGAACCCGTGTCCACACACCTGCCCACTCACGGAGCCTGTCCCCGCAGGGGACGGTGGTCTTCACCACCCACGTGCCCGCCCTGGGCCGCTACGCCTTCCTGCTGCACGGCTACCAGCCCGCCCACCCCACCTTCGCCGTGGAGGTCCTCGTGAACGGGGGCCGCATCTGGCAGGGTGAGCGCATCTGGCAGGGGGGATGGGGGCGGGGGGTGCGGGGCTCCCTCGTCCACACAGCCCCGTGTGGTCACCACGCCATGTGCACAGATGGTGTGTGGCTCCCGTGGCCCGTGGCACGGTGCCTGTCACTTGGCTGTGCGTGACAGGTCTGCACACCCCTCCTGTCATCAGTTCTCAAACGAGATGCCCCCGGGCCCACCCAGTGTCCAGTGCCGGCAGCCCCGCCTCCCAGCCCCTCCCTGACTGTTCCTCACGTCTGTTTTAGGAATTGGGGGTCACCCATCACCCACAGGCAATCGGGGGTTTGCTACGGGGCACTTGTTGATGATGTGTTCTATGTGTTTGCCTGTTTTGTTCCCGCTCAGTCAAGCCCAGGGGCCACGGCTGGTCCGAGTAGCGTGAGGGCCTAGTCCCTCCTCCCTGGCGACTGCAGGACGGCCCTGCCCGGAGGAGGCCTGGGGCCCAGGGTTCTGTGAGTGTTGGGGATGACCTGCCTTTTCTTGCCTCTCCAGGGCATGCCAATGCCACCTTCTGCCCACATGGCTATGGCTGCCGCAGCCTGGTGGTGTGTGAGGGCCAGGCCATCCTGGACGTGACCGACAGCGAGCTCACCGTGACCGTGCGTGTGCCCGAGGGCCGCTGGCTCTGGGTGGTGAGTCCGAGGCCGGTGTCCCTGATGTAGATGTCCTGAACCTGCGCACACCTCGCTCCTCACACCCGGCCTCACACTTGTCACACCACCAGCAGTCATTCAGCCAGGATGCTACCCCTGCCTGCCATGGCCTAGCCCAGTGATGGCGAACCTTTTGAGCTCGGCGTGTCAGCATTTTGAAAAACCCTAACTTAACTCTGGTGCCATGTCACATATAGAAATTTTTTGATATTTGCAACCATAGTAAAACAAAGACAACATTTTTGATATTTATTTTATATACTTAAATGCCATTTAACAAAGAAAAATCAACCAAAAAAATGAGTTCGCTTGTCAGAGGTTCACCATCACTGGCCTAGCCCCATGCCAGGGGTCAGGGGCCAGCAGCCTCTGGGGACTTCCAGGTCCCCCACACAAGACTCCAGAGGGGGCCTAAGAACACAGATGGTGGGCCCAGGTCCTGCTGGTCAGAGTGGTCTCCCTGGAGGAGGTGGGGCCAGGGGGTGGAGAGGAAGGGTGCCGGGCAGAAAAGAAGGGAGGGGCCCCGGGAGGCTGGGTGCTCTTCCACGGTGCTGCCTCCGAGCTCCCCAAGCTCCCATTAGGCCACGGAGGCTGGCCTCCCTCTGAGCAGTCAAGGTGGGGGCCCGGGCTGGGGTGTGGTGCCCCCACTGTCTCAGCTGCCTGGCCAGTGCAGAGGCCCCCGGAATTGAGCTCCAGCGGGCGGCCTGTGGCACAGTCCCCTGACCCGGGCCCTCTGCTGGGCCCATGGGAGGTGACCAGACCCTGGTTCCCTAGGAGTACGTGCTGGTGGTCCCCGAGGACGCCTACAGCTCCAGCTACCTCCAGGAGGAGCCTCTGGACAAGTCCTATGACTTCATCAGCCAATGTGCTGCCCATGGCTACCACATCAGGTGGGCTGGGCTCAGGGCGGGCCGGGGGGCAGGGCAGGGGTTCCGGGCAGGGAGACGGCCTTACCACCTGCCCCTCATCCCAGCCCCACCAGCTCGTCCCAGTTCTGCCGAGATGCGGCCACCTCTCTCTCCCTCTTCTACAACAATGGGGCTCGGCCTTGTGGCTGCCATGAAGTAGGTGCCACCAGCCCCGCATGTGAGCCCTATGGGGGCCAGTGTCCCTGCCGCCCTCACGTCATTGGCCGAGACTGCTCCCGCTGCGCCACCGGCTACTGGGGCTTCCCCAGCTGCAGACGTGAGTACTTCTGTCCACGGGTCCGCCAGCGAGGGGGTGGTGCCTAAACTCAGAGGGGCTTCCCACCAGGAAGTGTGGACATTGGTCAGCAAAGCATTGAGCCTGCAGACCAGCCCAGCCACCTCCTGTCTTGTGGGACCTCAGGCAGCAGCTGGCCCAGGCTTTGCAGGGTCGTCCAGAAGGTTCTAGGATGGCGATTCCAGGTGGCTGACCCCACATCAGAGCAGCTGCCTGAGGCCAGGGCCCAGAGCTGGGTGGAGCAGGACCGGGAGGTGGGGAGGGCTGTCCTGGCCTCGAGCCCAGGGCTGCCATCTGGGGCCTCCATGAGGGGCAGAGGGCCACCAGCTGTGCACGCTCCCCGCAGCCTGCGACTGTGAGGGGCGCCTGTGTGACGAGCTCACGGGCCACTGCTTGTGCCCCCCGCGCACCGTCCCGCCCGGCTGCGTCACCTGCCAGCCCCGGACCTTCGGCTGCCACCCGCTGGTTGGCTGCGAGGAGTGCAACTGCTCGAGGCCCGGAGTGCAGGAGCTGGCAGACCCCACCTGTGACAAGGACAGTGGCCAGTGCAAGTGAGCCCGGCGGGTGCCCGTCGCCCAGGTGGTCCTGGGGCCCAGGGTGGCATTTCTGGTCCAGAGGGTTCTGAGCCCACACGCCCTCCTTGGTCGTAGCGCCCTCTCCTTCAGTTCTGGGGGGCAGGGGTCCTGGCAGACGGGAGGCCCAGTCCGCTTCTGCGCCCTCCGGCAGGTGCAGACCCAACGTGGCTGGGCGCCGCTGCGACACCTGTGCTCCTGGCTTCTACGGCTACCCCAGCTGCCGCCCCTGTGACTGCCACCCGGCCGGCTCTGCGCCAGGCGTGTGTGACCCCCTCACGGGCCAGTGTCACTGCAAGGTGAGGGACAGGAGGCCGGGGGGGCAGGGCGGGCTCCCCAGAAGCTTTTGGGAGAGTGGCCCGTTGGCAACGGGTTGACAGTGAGCCGAGGCGGCTGAGGGCCAGGACATCGCTGGCCAACTGCCTTGCCCTGGCCTCCTGCCCAGGAGAACGTTCAGGGCCCCCGATGTGACCAGTGCCGCCTGGGAACCTTCTCCCTGGACGCTGCCAACCCCAAAGGCTGCACCCGCTGCTTCTGCTTCGGTGCCACGGAGCGCTGCGGGAGCTCCGCCCACACCCGCCAGGAGGTGCGTGAGCCGGGCCGCCAGAGGCTCCCCACTCCGGAGGGCACACGCTGCCCCCACCGCGGGTTTGCGTGTGGGGTGGGCCCTGTGACATGTGGGGGCTCACGGGGTGCCCCGCCCGTGCGCCCACAGTTCGCGGGTTTGCAGTGTGGGTGGGCCCTGTGATGTGGGGGCTCACGGGGTGCCCCGCCCGTGCGCCCACAGTTTGCGGGTTTGCAGTGTGGGTGGGCCCTGTGACGTGGGGCTCACGGGGTGCCCCGCCCGTGTGCCCACAGTTCGCGGGTTTGCAGTGTGGGTGGGCCCTGTGATGTGGGGGCTCACGGGGTGCCCCGCCCATGCGCCCACAGTTTGCGGGTTTGCAGTGTGGGTGGGCCCTGTGACGTGGGGCTCACGGGGTGCCCCGCCCGTGCGCCCACAGTTCGCGGGTTTGCAGTGTGGGTGGGCCCTGTGATGTGGGGGCTCACGGGGTGCCCCGCCCGTGTGCCCACAGTTCGCGGGTTTGCAGTGTGGGTGGGCCCTGTGATGTGGGGGCTCACGGGGTGCCCCGCCCGTGCGCCCACAGTTCGCGGGTTTGCAGTGTGGGTGGGCCCTGTGATGTGGGGGCTCACGGGGTGCCCCGCCCGTGCGCCCACAGTTCGTGGACATGGAGGGCTGGATGCTGCTGAGCAGTGACCGGCAGGTGGTGCCCCACGAGCTGCGGGCGGAGGCGGGGCTGCTCCACGCGGACCTGCAGCACGTCCCCGAGACAGTCCCAGAGCTGTACTGGCACGCACCGCCCTCCTACCTGGGGGACCGGGTGAGCGGGCACATCGGGCTCAGGAGGGTGCCGGGTCCTGGGAGGCGTGGGGCTCCGTGAACCCGCAGGACCGGCCCAGTGTTGCTCAAGACGCTGGCCTGTGGCGAGGGCCTGGCAGGTCACACTCCTCTGTCCCCTCTCCAGGTGTCGTCCTACGGGGGAACGCTCCGCTATGAGCTGCACGCGGAGAGCCAGCGGGGAGACGTGTTCCTCCCCACAGAGAGCAGGCCAGACGTGCTGCTGCAGGTGGCTGCGGGCGGCGCGGCGGGTGGGGGCGGGCACAGCCGGGCCAGGACAGTGGGCAGCCCTGACCACGCACGTGCCCACCTCCCCAGGGCAACCAGATGAGCATCATGTTCCTGGAGCCGGGACGCTCGGAGCCCGGGCACGTGCACCAGGGGCAGCTGCAGCTGGTGGAAGTGAGTGGAGCTGGCTGGAGGCCACGTCCCTTCGGAACCCAGCATGGCCCAGAAAAGGCCAAAAGGGGCCAGGACTGCTGTGCCCACTCATGTGGAAGGTGGTCCAGGAGCAGGACAGGGCTGGTCCCACGCTCGCTTTTGTGGTTGCCCGTGGGCAGCGTGCCCAGCCCATGCTGGCCCCTCATCCCTGCTCCCAGCTGGGCCCTGTGTGTGTCTTGGCCCATCTCTCTCGGCCTGTTGTCCATCCTCCGGGAGGAGCTCTGAGTCATTCCTGTCTTTGGAGACATGACTGTTGCCGCCCAGCGGCCGGCTCACCTGTCTTTTGCTAAGATGTCTTCTGAAGAACAGTTCTGACATTGTATGTGCTCAGATTCATGGATTTCTCATTGGCAGTTAGTATTGTTGTGTCTCTCTTAAGGAAGTATCTGTCGCTCTGAGATCAGGAACACGCACATACGCTTTCTCTGAAAGCTTAGACTACCTTTGTGTGTTTAAAATCTCACATGCCCCAGCTGGCTTTTGTGCATGGCGAGGTAGGGACCGACGCCGCTTCCCCCAGGACGGGTGGTTCCAGCTTCGAGTGTAACCGCCTCCGGGCCAAATGACCTGGGAGCCCGTCCCCACGGGAGGGTCTGTTCTGGGCTCCTGGTCTGCCCCCCTGAGGACTGTGGTGACCCTGCAGGGTAACTTCCGGCACACGGAGACCCACAGCGCCGTGTCCCGCGAGGAGCTCATGATGGTGCTGGCCGGCCTGCAGCAGCTGCAGATCCGCGCCCTCTTCTCCAAGTTCTCCAGAGCCGTCTCCCTGGGCAAGGTGGCACTGGAGGTGGCCAGCAAGATGGGCGGGGGACCTCTGGCCAGCAATGTGGAGCTGTGCATGTGCCCTGCCAATTACCTCGGGGACTCGTGCCAGGTGAGGTGGGGAGGGGCAGGCACCGTCAGTCTGCCCCACCCACGCACATCTGCCCCCCCCCACCCCCCGCAACGTCCACTCTTGCCTTCCATCCCCATTGGTGTCACCAACCCTTCTCTCCACCCGCTGGGTGTCACCCTCCAAGCACCCGACCTTCCCACCGCAGGCTGAGCCAGCCGCTTGCTCTTCTGTCTGCTAATCTACTGTCACCCCGTGTCCCTGCCAGCCCTTAACCATCCACTGCCCCGTCCACCGCTGGTCTGAATCTGACCTGTGAGCCTCCTTTCCTGACCACCGATGCCCCCCCCCAGGAATGTGCCCCTGGCTACTACCGGGACATCAAAGGTCTCTTTCTGGGTCGCTGCATCCCCTGTCAGTGCCATGGCCACTCAGACCTCTGCATCCCAGGCTTGGGCACCTGCATGGTGAGTGGGACTCAGTGGAGGGAGCCACTGGGGACCTGTGGGTCAGCGCCCTGGGCAGGGCCCCCAGCGGGTTGGGGTGGGAACTGGGGCCTCCACCGTCAGCGCTGACCTGTCCCTCCGCCCAGGACTGCCAGCACAACACCGAGGGCAACCACTGTGAGCGCTGCCAGGCTGGCTTCGTGCGCATTGGGACAGAGGACCCTGCAGCCCCCTGCGTCAGCTGCCCCTGCCCGGTGTCGGTGCCTTCCAACAAGTAAGCTGGCTGAGTCGGCACTGGCCCCCGGGAGGTCCGGGCGGCGGCGGTGGCCCAGCCTGGATACACAGGTGCTCCCGCGGGGTGTGCAGGTGCGTGACAACCCTCTGTTTTTGTAGCTTCGCGGTGGGCTGCGTCTTTCCAGGCGGCCGCCCCCAGTGTCTCTGCAAACCCGGCTACGCAGGAGCCTCCTGTGAGCGGTGAGCCTGGCAGGGGCGGCTGGGGGCAAGCTGGGCTGGGGGTGGGGGCGGGACTCTGCTGACCCCGCCCTCGTCTCAGGTGTGCCCCTGGCTTCTTCGGGAACCCGCTGGTGCTGGGCAGCTCATGCCAGCCCTGCAACTGCAGCGGCAACGGGGACCCCAACATGATCTTCAAGGACTGCGACCCCCTGACGGGCGCTTGCCACAGCTGCCTGCGCCACACCACCGGGCCCCACTGCGAGACCTGCGCCCCAGGCTTCTATGGCAACGCCCTGCTGCCTGGCAACTGCACCCGTAGGCCCCAGGGGAGAAGTGGTCCAGTGTGTGGGGGGGCGATGCTGGGTGTCCCCTGGGAGCAGGCTGTGTCCCATGCTGGGCCCAGCAGGAAGAGGGTGGACCCAGCCAGTCCTCCCCCATAAGACCCACGGCAGCTTGGGGCCTGGCCTCTGCTGAGGCATCCCGTGAGGCTCCTGCCAGGCCTGGCTGAGCCTGGGCTGCAGGGGAGGAGGGCAGAGTGGGACGTAAACAGCAGCTGTGTGATGGGAGCGGAGGGCCTGGCCGTCTGGAGTGGCCTGGAGCAGGGGTGGAGTAGCTGGGTACAAAGTGAGGTCCCGGGGTTCCCGTGGGGGCAGGAGGAGATGGAGGGGCAGGAGCTCACGAAGCTTGGTGAGGGCAGGAGGAAGCTTGGCGCAGGGAGGGCTGCTGTCACAGCCCGTCTTCTGCAGGGTGCGACTGCTCCCCGTGTGGGACGGAGGCCTGTGACCCCCATAGCGGGTACTGCCTGTGCAAGGCAGGTGTGACAGGACCTCGCTGCGACCACTGTCAGGTAGGGCTGCCTGGGAGGGGCAAGCTTTGTTGTACGAGGGTGGATTCTTGGGACTGGAGGGGGGCCTGGGGCTGCAGGGGTGGGGCCTCAGTGCTGAAGGCGGGCCTGGGGCTGCCAGGGCAGAAACTTATGGTTGAAGGAGTGGAGGAAGCCGGGTCTTGAGGGCTGGGCAGAGCTGTGACCACACCTGTGCCTGCAGGAAGGACACTTCGGCTTCGAGGGCTGCGGGGGTTGCCGCCCGTGCGCCTGTGGACCAGCCTCCAAGGGCTCTGAGTGCCACCCCCAGAGTGGACAGTGTCATTGCTGGCCAGGGGCTGGGGGGCTCCAGTGCCGAGAGTGCGCCCCCGGCCACTGGGGGCTCCCCGAGCAGGGCTGCCGGCGTGAGTGCGACAGGCCGGGCTCCATGGGGTGGGGCCCTCAGGGTGGCAGGGACCCAGGTCCCTCTGCCAGCCACACACCCTATCCTACCCTTCCCCCACCCCAGGCTGCCAGTGCCAGGAGGGCCACTGTGACGTGCACACGGGCCGCTGCACGTGTCCCCCTGGGCTCAGCGGGGAGCGCTGTGACACCTGTAGCCACCAGCACCAGGTGCTGGTGCCTGGCGGTCCTGGGAGCGGTGGCGTGCACTGCGAAGGTGAGTCCCCACACTCACCTCCACCCATCTGACCACACCCGTCTCACCCCAGCTTGGCACTGCCCTGGTGACCACAGCACTAACTTGAACTTGCAGAGGAGTCCTGTGGCCTCAAATTTCCCTCTCAATTTTCCGAGGGACCCCACACCTGTCCTTCCATTGACCCTCGGACCCCCTCCCAATGAGACCTCTGGCCCTCACCAGCATTGTCCCCGTAGCCCAGCTCAGTGCCCCCATGCCAACTCCATGACCCCTGGCTGACCCATCCCCACCACGTGGACCCCGAGACCTCTCTGCCCATGGCCACCCCACGCCCTGCACTGACCTGCCGCCTGCCCGCAGTGTGTGACCACTGTGTGGTCCTGCTCCTGGACGACCTGGAGCGGGCCAGCACCCTCCTCCCCGCCATCCGGGAGCAGCTGCGAGGCGTCGACACCAGCTCCCTGGCCTGGGCCCGGCTGCACAGGCTGAATGCCTCCATCGCGGACCTGCAGGTACTGAGCTGTGGCCCCTGGCCTCCGCATCCCAGGTGGCAGGCCCTCACTGTCCCTTCCCCCCAGAGCCAGCTCCGGAGCCCCGCAGGCCCCCGCCATGAGACCGCACAGCAGCTGGAGGCACTGGAGAGACAGAGCGAGAGTCTCGGGCAGGACGCCCAGCGGATGGACAGCCAGGCAGGACCCGAGACCCCTCCCCCTCAGCAGACTCCTCCCATAGGCCCCTCTCCCTGAGCCCCAAAACCATCCATTGTCACTCCCGACCCTCAGCTCAGGCCCAAGGCCACTCCCCAGGCCCCTGGCCTTTCCCCACACCCTCCAGCCAGCAGAGGCTGTGGGCTGATGGGGTACTGTGTCCACAGGCCACAGGGGCCCGAGTCAGGGCTGGACAGCTGCTGGACAGCACGGAGGCCACACTGGGCCGGGCACAGGCGCTGCTGAAGGCCATCCTGGCCCTGGACCGAACCCTGAGCGGTAGGGGCTGGCCCAGGCAGGCGGGGCACGGGTGAGCAGACGATGCTCAAGGCTCAGAGCAGGGGCTGCCTCCAGGCGGCTCGACCTTGAGGAGCTGGCAGGGTCCAGATGCTTCAATGGGGAGATGGTGCTCCCCCAGGGAACAGCAGGGCGGTCGGGAGGTGGGAGCAGTGGCGGGTGTGGCCAGAGCGCGAGGGCGGGTGGACACTGCAGAATGGGCCTGAGCATTGCTCACAGGCACCCTACCTCTCTGGGAAAACTCAATGGTGAGCACCGTCACTACAAACGGAAATGCAACACCAAGAAGAGATCAGAGGGGACCTGGCCCAGCCCAAGAGTCCGGGAGAAGTGCAGTCAGCTGAGCGCTGGACTGGAGGAGGGACTGGCCAAGGGAGTGGCTGAGCAGAGGGATGGGGCTGTGGGGCTGTGGAGTGAGGGGTGTGGGCCAGAGGGCCAGGCTGGCAGGGAGCTTCCTGGGATGTGCTGATGATGCCGGGGCAGGGCCTCGGCCTGGGAGCCAGTGGGCCGAGGTCTGCCCTGGGCTTGATGGCACCTTCTCAAACGCTCAGAGCTCATGACAGACCACCTGTCACCGGGCAATGCCTCGGCCCCATCCGGGGAGCAGCTGCGTCAGACACTGGCCAAGGTGGACCGCCTGCTTGGGGAAATGCGGGCCCGTGACCTGGGGGCCCCACGGGCAGTGGCTGAGGCTGAGCTGGATGAGGCCCAAAGACGTGAGTGGTCGGCCCACAGGGCAGAGGTGGGGAGGGGAGGGGCGAGGACTCAGCCAGAAGTCCCGGGGCTGAGGTCAGCATGGAGTGGTCACTGCCCAAGTGACCATCCCCGTATTGGGTCTCTGCCAGTGCTGGCCCACGTGCAGGAGCAGCTGACCAGCCGCTGGGAGGGAAACCAGGCGCTGGCTGCCCGCACGCGTGACCAGCTGGCCCAGCATGAGGCTGGCCTCATGGACTTGCGAGAAGCCCTGAACCGAGCAGTGGGCACCACACGGGAGGCCGAGGAACTCAACAGCCGCAACCAGGAGCGCCTGGAGGAGGCTCTGGTGCGGGACCTCCCTCCCTCTCCCCTCCTTTACCCCCCTCACTTCCTCTCACCCTTTCACCCTCCCTGCCCTGAAGCCCCACCTCTCCCATCACCCTCCTTCACCCCTTCAGCCCTCACCCAATTACCCACCCCCTCACCCCATCCTGCCTCTGTGTTTCTGTCCCCTCCTGTTCACTCCTCATCCCTCCAGCACTGGAAGCAGGAGCTGTTCCGTGACAATGCCACTCTGAGGGACACTCTGCGGGCTGCCAGCGATACCCTGGCCCGGGTCTCTGAGCTTCTGCACGGCATGGACCGGGCCAAGGAGGTGAGCACTGCCCCTCCCAGGGCTGTACCCCAGGCGAGGTGGGACGAGTGTGCATGCAGAGTGTGACCCCTGGGGTCCCAGATCAGGATAGCGAGAGGGGCTTGGTGGGGACAAGGGTCTCACCAAGCCCCTCTGCCCCCAGGAGTATGAGCACCTGGCTGCCAGCCTCGATGGGGCCTGGACACCGTTGCTGGAGAAGATACGTGCCTTCTCCCCTGCAAGTGGCAAGGTGGACCTGGTGGAGGCTGCTGAGGCCCACGCGCGGCAGCTGGACCAGCTGGCACACAACCTCTCCAGGTGCGGGGCCCAATGAGGGCTGCCCTAAGGACACAGTCGGGTCCCTGCCAGGGGAGTCAAGGCCTTCAGGGGGCACAGTTGGTCCGGCGGATCCTAGAGGGAGAAGTCACTGTCCTCACAGGAGGCTGGCCCCACAGGCAGGCTGGCCTAGCAACTGATGGTGGAGGCCCATGTGCTGGCCTGAGGATATCTGGGCCCCTCCCCACAGCATCATCCGTGGAGTCAACCAGGACCGGTTCATCCAGCGGGCCATCGAGGCCGCCAACGCCTACAGCAGCATCCTGCGGGCTGTGCAGGCCGCCGAGGGTGCAGCCGGCCAGGCACTGCAGCAGGCAGGCCACACGTGGGCGGTGAGGCCCTGCCCCTGCCCCTGCCCCTGCCCTGCTGCTCCCACTGCGTGGGTATGAAGTGTGCCCTGTCCCCATGTCTGCAGATGGCGGTCCAGCAGGGCCTGGCGCCCCGAGCCGGGGAGCTGCGAGCCAACAGCAGTGCCCTGGAGCAGGCTGTTCTCAGGGAGCAGCAGAGGCTGGGCCGCGGTGAGTGCTGGGCTCTGCAGGGACCCTCAGCTTCTGGGCACGTGTGTGGTTTGTGCATTGTTCCAGTGGCAGCTGCCCCTTATGGGGACCCTGCTCCCCACTGGCTTGGTGTGTCCACCCTGGGGCTGTGGAGGGCAGAGGGCACGGGACCAGCTGATGGTTCCTCCTGCTGCCCTGGCTGGAGGCTGTGTGCATGGCAGACTTTTGGATGAGAAAGGGCAGGCGGGGAGTGGGAAGGGTCCCCCTTTAGCTAGAATTGTGGGCAATGGCTTGGCTTTTCTGAGCCTCCATGTTTTCGTCTATAAAACGGGGAGGATTACATATTTGCTGTGGGACTGGGAGGCAGCCCTGAGACTCGGGGTGCTCTCACCCCTCTCCTTGAGCCAGAGCCCTGCTGACTGGACGCCTTCATCCATTAGTGGGCAGGCCCGCCTTAGGCCTCTGTGGTCAGGGGAGCCAAAGTGGGCTGCACACGTGCACTGGGGGTGGGGGCTCCTTGGTGCTATGGCTGCCTCCTCTGCAGTGAGGGCCACCCTCCAGGGCACTGGGACCCAGCTCCGTGATACCCGGGCCAAGAAGGAGCAGCTGGCAGCCCGGGTGCAGGAGGTGCAGGCCATGCTGGCTATGGACACAGGTAGGTTGCGCCTCCTTCCTGCCCTTGCCCTCACTGCTTGTCCCCAGAGGTGAACAGACACCTGCCCGGCCACTCCAGCCAGCCCAGCCCCATAGGGCTCTGTGGTGGGGGCACATCCCCCCCTGTGCCATGCAAAATGGTGACCAGGACAGCTGAAGAGAACCCCGAAGGAGGCGACCTGGACCTGGAGACCCGCCTCTGGTCGGGAGACCAACACCAAACAAAATAGACCCAAGTAGCAAGTGAAAACTGGGAAGGGACAGGAAGTGCTTTGGAGAGAAATTATGGGGGAGGGAGGTCAGGATGCTGGGACATCGGGGAAGGTACAGTCTGTAGGCAGGCATGGAGGTGGATGGGGGTGCAAGGGGACTGGTGTGGCAGGAGAGCCAGGTGGAGGCTCGGGGTGGCAGAGCCCAGGCGGCTCGCAGCAGGGGAGCCATAGCTGACTGGCTTTGGAGGAATCCCTGTGGCCGCCCAGGGCGGAGCATTATCGTGAGCGTGGCCATGGGGCGCAGGGGAGATGAGCATGGCCTGGGGGTGGCAGTGGTGGCTATGGGGAGACAGGGCTGAGCGGAGGCTCAGGGTGACCCTGCTCTGGCCCAAGAGGCTGGCACGGAGAAGCCATCGGGTGGGCGAGGGAGGGTGGGTTTCCACGTCCTCGGCACCCCCGGTGCTAGTCCTAGTGGAGGGGACTTGGTGATGTCCCTGAGGGGAGGGGAGGCCAGGAGGGTCTTCTCTTGACCCTGCTGAAGCCTGCCCACGGCCTGCCACAGACGAGACCAGCAAGAAGATTGCTCACGCCAAGGCTGTGGCCACCAGAGCACAGGACACGGCTGCCCGAGTGCAGTCCCGGCTCCGAGACATGCAGAGAAACCTGGAGCAGTGGCAAGGCCAGTACGGGGGTCTGCAGAGCCAGGACCTGGGGCAGGTGGTGCTGGACGCCGGCCGCTCAGGTGGGCCCCCCAGGCACACAGCACCCGTGAGAGCAGGTGGGCCAGGGGAAGCGAGGCTCTCAGGCCACATCCCCCTTCCCCCTCCCCCCTGCAGTGTCTACCCTGGAGAAGACGCTGCCACAGTTGCTGGCCAAGCTGAACCTGCTAGAGAACCGTGGGGGGCACAACGCCAGCCTGGCCCTGTCCGCCAGCATCGGCCGCGTGCGGGAGCTCATTGCCCAGGCCCGAGGAGCTGCCAGCAAGGTGGGCACCAGTGCCAGAAGAAGGGGGGCGTCTGGGGGACTGGGTGGTGGATGCTGATGGGCCATGTACCCTGCACACAGGTCAAGGTGTCCATGAAGTTCAACGGGCGCTCGGGGGTGCAGCTGCGTGCCCCTCGGGACCTCACTGACCTGGCTGCCTACACTGCCCTCAAGTTCTACCTCCAGAGCCCAGAGCCAACGTCCGACCAGGTCTCTGAGGATCAGTTTGTGCTCTATATGGGCAGCCGCCAGGTACTGGGCCAGCTTGGCAGGCTGGGTAGAGGTGGGCACCAGGTTGGAGTGGGTGGGCCACACTGGGTTCCTGTCCCACTGAGTCTCCCACCTCCACAGGCCACTGGTGACTACATGGGTGTGGCTCTGCGGAACCAGAAGGTGCACTGGGTGTACCGCCTGGGGGGCGCAGGCCCCGCGACCCTCAGCATCGACGAGAACATTGGGGAGGAATTTGCAGCCATCAGCCTTGAGAGGTGGGAGGCCTGCCCCGCTCCCCCGCCCCCCGGCAGGCTGCATGTCTGCCCCAACCCCTTCGCTCTGCCCTCAGGACCCTACAGTTTGGCCACATGTCTGTCACTGTGGAGAAACAGATGAGCCACGAGACCAAGGGCGACACAGTGGCCCCTGGGGCCGAGGGGCTACTCAGCCTGCAGCCTGACGACTTTGTCTTCTATGTGGGGGGCTACCCCAGCAACTTCACGGTGAGCCTCGCAGGGCCTGCCACGCGGCCACCCCTCTGCACTCTTGTCCCAGCGAGTCCTGCTGGGCTTCTGGCTTCAGTGGGTCTGAGCAGCCTGAGCCCCTCCTTGGGGCCTGCCTCGAGTGGGGTGGCGCCCTAACCAGGTGCTGTGCCCGCAGCCCCCGGAGCCCCTCCGCTTCCCCCGCTACCGGGGCTGCATTGAGATGGGCACGCTCAACGAGGCGGTGGTCAGTCTCTACAACTTCGAGAAGACCTTCCAGCTCAACACAGCTGTGGATAAGCCTTGTGCACGGTATGTACGGCCTGGGCCCGCCCTTCACCCTCCTCGGCCCACTCCCCACTGACTGACCTCTGACCTGCAGCACCAAGTCCACTGGAGACCCATGGCTCACTGACGGCTCCTACCTGGAGGGCTCTGGCTTTGCCCGCATCAAAGTGGAGAGTCAGATCAGCAACACCAAGCGCTTCGAGCAGGAGCTGCGGCTGATGTCCTACAGTGGGATCATCTTCTTCCTGCAGCACCAGGCGAGCCCGCCGCCCCCCCACCCCTAGTCACCCACCCTTCGGCCTGCCTCGCTCTGGCCCCGCCCCTGCCTGCTGGGCCCGCCCCCGCTGCTGGGCCTGCCCCATGCTGACCCACCCGCTCCACAGGGCCAGTTCCTGTGCCTGGCTGTGCTGGAAGGCCGCCTGGTGCTGCTCTATGACTTTGGTGAGGGTCTGCAGGAGGCCAAACCGATTCAGCCCCCTCCACCCCTGACCGTGGCCAGCAAGGCGGTAAGGCTACAGCCGGAGGATCGGCAGGGCGAGGCGGGGTTGGGCTGGCAGCAGGAACACCGCAGGTGCTGAGGATCCCCCGACCTGCCATCAGATCCAGGTGTTCCTGTTGGGGGGCAGCCGCAAGCGCGTGCTGGTGCGCGTGGAGAGGGCCACTGTGTTCAGTATGGAGCAGGAGAATGTACTGGAGCTGGCCAACGCCTACTACTTGGGGGGTGCGCCTCCGGACCAGCTGCCCCCGAGGTGAGCACACGCAGGGCAGGCAGGGGTCCCACGCTGTCTCAGCACGCCCAGCCCCCCTTCCCTCCCCAAGACCAGTGCCCCAATACTTGCTTGCCCGACAGCCTGCGCCAGCTCTTCCCATCCGGAGGCTCCGTGCGTGGCTGCATCAAGGGCATCAAAGCTCTGGGCAAGTATGTGGATCTCAAGCGGCTGAACACCACGGGCATCAGTGCCGGCTGCACCGCGGACTTGCTGGTGAGCCCCCCACCCGCTCCAGCCAGCAGCCCCCTCTCCAGCAGGCTTGCTGGGGCCCTCACAGTCCGCTCCCTGTAGGTGGGACGGGCCATGACGTTCCATGGCCATGGCTTCCTGCCCCTGGAGCTCCCAGAGGTGGCCCCCCTCACCAGCAGCGTCTACTCCGGCTTCGGCTTCCGCAGCACCCAGGACAGCGGTCTGCTGTACCACAGAGCATCTCCGGTGTGTCCACCCAGTCTTGGTCTGACCGCCTGCTGCTCCCCAAGCCTGACCTAGCCCTCCCTCCCCGAGTCTCACCTCTGCCCAGCCCTCCCTGAAACTAACTGCAGCAGAGTGTGGGGCCCACGTGGCTGGAGGAAGTCTGGGCCCCTGGCCTGGTCCGCTGACCTGACCACTGTCCCCAGGTTGGGCCATGTGAGGTGTCACTGCAGCAGGGCCACGTGAACCTTCGGTTTGTGACGACCGAGGTGAAGACGCCAGGGGGCTTTGCCGATGGTTTCCCCCATTACGTCGCTTTCTATAGCAACACCACAGGGTGAGCCGGGGACAAGGTGGGGTGGCAGCGGAGCCGGGGTCTTGGGTGCAGCTGCTGCAGGTGTGCGGACAGGGTGGCGAAACACTGCTCTGCTCACAGGGTCTGGCTCTACGTGGACGACCAGCTTCAGCAGATGAAGCCCCACCAGGGGCCGCCCCCCAGGCCCCAGCCACAGCCACAGCCTGAGGGGCCCCATCGGCTCCTCCTGGGAGGCTTGGGGGCGTCCAACACCATCCGTAACTTCAGCGGCTGCATCACCAACGTGTTTGTGCAACGGTGCGCTGAGCGGTGTCAGGGGGGCTGTGCTGACCCCACCTGCTCAGGTGCCTCCAGCTGCTGACTGCCCTTGCTGTCCTCACAGGCTCATGGGGCCCCAGCGTGTGCTCGACCTGCAGCAGAACATGGGCGGTATCAACGTGAGCTCAGGGTGTGCCCCAGCAGCCCCTGGCACCCAAACACCAGTGCAGGCACCTCGAGGACTACAGGCCACAGTGGCTCAGAAGGTGGGCACCACAGGCGTTGGGGGAGAGACAAGGGCAGGGGGTGAGGTTAAAGGGCAGGAGGCAGGTGGAGCTGGGGGTGGGCAGAAGATGGCCCTTCAGCACCCCTGCATCCCCATCTGACCCCACAGGTCTCCCGGCACACCCGGCAGCCCGCCCAGGACTCTGCCTGCACGCCTCCTCGGCCCCTTGGGACCGTCCACGGCACCTACCAGTTTGGAGGTCCCCTGTCCAGTTACCTGGAGTTCACAGCCGTCCTGGCACCCTTTGAGAACTGGTAAGACCAGGCCAGGTGGGGGCGGGGTGAGGGCTGCCCAGGCTGACACCCGCCTGGCTGCTGGCTTCCAGGTCCCACTTCTCCATGGTGGTCCGCCCTCGCACCCGAAGAGGACTCCTGCTCCTCGCTGTGCCCCTGGCGGCGGGCAGCCCCTCCCTGGCGCTCTTCCTGAGCCACAGATACTTTGTGGCTCAGACACAAGGCCCAGGGCCCGAGCTCCGCGTCCTGAGTCACCAGCGTTCAAAAGCTGACCGGTGGCACAAGGTGAGGGACTGAAGAGAAGGGATGTGGGCAGGGCCCTGGGGGCTCCCGCCTGATGTGCCTCCCCCCCCCAGGTGTCTGTGCGATGGGAGAGGACTCGGATCCAGCTACAGGTGGACGGAGTCTGGACTCAGAGCCAGGAGCAGCCTGGCCAGGAGCCTGGCCAGCAGTATCAGGGGGCAGAAGGCCCCCAGCCCTACACGCTCTTTGTGGGGGGTCTTCCTGTCCACGGCCCCAAGCTCCCAGTGAGAACTGCCTCTCCCCCGCATTCCCTGCCCGGTCCCAGCCCAGCCCACCCTCCTCAGCACCCCCTGAACCTGACCCCATGTCCACCCACCTGTGCCCCCACAGATGTTTATCAGCAGCTCCTGGTTCAGCGGTTGTGTGAGGAGACTGATGGTGGACGGGCAGGCCCTGAGTACCCCCAACCGAATGGTGGGGGTCACACCCTGCTTGTCAGAACCCCTGGAGATGGGTCTGTTCTTTGCTGGCAGTAGGGGAGCCATCACTCTAGGTCTGTCTGCTGTCCCCCACTCCCTGCATGTGCCCTGGGCTGTGGGGTTGAGGGAGCCATGGCCAGGCCCTCGTCCCCTCACAGGCCCTCCCCGCAGACACCCTGGGAACCACCCTTCCTGACGTGAGCCTGAGGCTGGAGGTGCGGCCCCAGACAGCCGCAGGCCTCATCTTCCACCTGGGCCAGTTCCAGGTGCCCCCCTACCTAGAGCTGCAGGTGCTGGAGAAGCAGGTAAGTCGGGGTGGGGGGTTCATGGCCAAAGGGCAGGATTGGGGTTGGCAGGGCCCTCCTGATGCCCAGCCCCCACCCAGGTCCTGCTGTGGGCAGACGATGGTGCCGGCAAGTTCTCCACATCGGTGACACTCTCCAAGGAGCTGTGTGACGGGCAGTGGCACCAACTGGCAGGTGAGCTGGGCCCCCTGTCCCATGACCAGATACTCCTGACACCCCGCAGCCCTGCTTCTGCAGAGCAGAGCCTGGGAGGGACTCGGGAGGACGAAGCTGCAGAGGCCAAACCCCGGTGGGCCCTCTCCCTCTGCGGCTGCCGAGACGCCCTCCCAGTCCAGCCACAAGGAGCCTGTGCCCCACAGTGACCAAGAGCAGGACCGCCCTCCGGCTGGAGGTGGACTCCCAGAGCAACCAGACCCTGGGTCCCATGCTGCAGGCCTCAGATAGCGCCCCAGTGCCTCTGCACTTGGGGGGCCTGCCCGGTGAGTGTGACCTCAGCCCAGGTGGGGAGCTGCCCCTCGGGGACCAGGCACTGGGGTCACCTGCTCTCACTCCACCCTCCACGGTGGGAATCTCTGCTCCAACCTGTCTCCCTTCCTCTTCTCCTGCATCCCAGGACCCTCGGACACACAGGCTGGGCACCCCACCCCCACACACCCTTGGCCTCCATTCTACCAAGGCTGCATGAGGAATCTGATGGTGAACCAGGCCTTTGTCACCTTGCAACGCTCTGCGGGTGTCCAGGGCGCGGTGGGGGCCAGTGGCTGCCCGGCCACATAGGGCCTTCAGGGCGCCTGCTGTCCTAATAGCTTGCTGACACCACCACCTTCCGCCAGTATCCTAGATGAAGTTTGTATAAACTTACCTAGACTTGAGTCTACAGGAAATGGTTTAAGTTATGTCTGACTTTTTAAATGAAACTTTACAATAAAATGGGTTTTTTTGTATTTTATAATTGTGAGATTTTCCTTCCACCCATTTAAATGAGAAGTCTGTAAATCACTGGTCCCTTCTCTTGAAACAAAAATTAAAAAGGAGCTTATGTAACTGAGTGTCTTTTTTTTAACACCTGTTTTCATTCTTTATTGTTTAAAGTATGACATGTCTCCTTCCCCCACTGACTTCTCCCCATTGTTCCCACCCCCGCACATGCCCTATGAGTGTTGACTTTTAAATGTAGAAAGAGGGACAGCACAGGACAGGCGGGGAGAGCCTGGTGGTGGGGGCTCTCATGGCCCACCTCCCCAGGCCTTTCACCTCAAAGTCACAATACCAAACACTGCAGACCAAGGGACAGCTTGTCACAGGGGACGGGGCACAGAAACACCAGAGTTGGCAGATAAAAGAAAAAAGTTTTATTTATTAGCAAGTTAGAACAGAGGTGTGAGGGTGTGCGACGGCCCACAAACACACTGCTCGCCCACACAGCCAGGAGCCCTGCCCGTAAAAGACAGCAAATAACTTAATCCAAGCTCATGTCCTCCTCTTCGTCCTTCTTGTCCTTCCCATCGCCCTCCTTCTGCTCCGGTCTGGCACTGTTCTGCATCGCTTTGGCAAAAGCTTCCACATCTACAACGCATTGAAAAGCCTGAGGCCAACTTCCTGGGCCTTGGGGACAGCCAGCCCTATGTTGTGCAAACAAGGAGGCTTGTGCCTTTAACCACAGGACCCCAAGTCCTGCCATAGCAGCAGGCGGAGGAGCAATACTTACCACCCTTGTTGGCGGCCTCCACGGCCTCTGCAGGCAGGCCAAACTGGCACATGAGGGGGCCCAGCTGCCCTGAGGCCAAGGCCGCACTGAACATGCCCAGGGCCTGCAAAGAAGAGCCAGACGTCTCTGAGCAAGCACGGGGCGGGGCCACGGGCAGCAGGCCAGGGACTCTTGGTGATGGGCGCCGAGGTAAAGACAGGCAGCTGGGCCGCGGCATTACCTGCTGGAACTGGGGGGAAGTCAGTGTGTTCTGGATCTCCTCTGCGGTCTGTGGCAGTGACTCCCCAGAGGGCAGGTAGGGTAGCAGGCGTTCCTGGACGTCCGCATTGGCGAGGATAGGTGCCATGATCTCGGGCGTCAAGACACTGGCCAGGTCAACTAGGACGCAAGCACACGGCCATGAGGGCTGAGGCCGGCCCAGGTGCCCATTCGGAGGGCTGCGACGAACTAGGCTGTGCTCTGCTGGGTGTGGTGTGACGAGAGGAGATGAGGGAGCCACGGCAGCCCATGTGTAGGACGGCAGCTCGGCCCAGGGACACGCTCGGCTGTGCCTGGGGAAGCCAGTGGGCAAGGGGCAGCGGGCACCTTCACCCCTGGAACCGAGGCGCGTTACCTTGCTGGCTGCCTCCTGGCCCGGCCGGCACGTTCATAGTGGCTAGAATGCTCTGGAGGTCGCTCAGCTGGATGGGCTGGGTTGGGCTGGCTGCCGTGCTGGCTCCATTACCTGGATTGGGCGTGGGGCTCGGGCTGGTCACCGAGGCAGCTGCTGGAGCAGAAGGGGCTGGGGTGGCTCGGGCAGAAGAGGCGGTGGAGGACGGGGTCACCGCTGCTGACTGGCTCCGGGAGCTGGGAAGAGCAGGGCAGGTGGAGCTGCCAGGCGCCCACATAGGTACCCTCACCACGTTGGTCCTGCCCCAAAGGCCCTGCACCGGGAAGAGCCTGGGCTATGAAAGGACCCTCCCAGAAGCCCACTTTGTCCGGCATCTCCTCGGTCCAGTCTTCTTTTTTTTCAAAAGCCACTCAGAAAGCATTCTCTCCCTCTGACTCTTCCCTCAGGAAGAGAAGAACGATCCCCAGTGGCTAATGGCAGCTGCAGAAGCAAGCCAAGAGGCGGCTTCACGCTCAGGAGAACGCTGCGCCTCCTCATGGTTTCGGGTGCTCTACACGTTCAGAGAAACTTCTCCAGTAACAAACTAGGAGCGAACTCTGAAAGCACAGTCTTGTGCCCAGTCCTCTTGAAGAAGGGCACTCACTCCTGGTGGCACTCAAGGGTGCAGCAGGGGCAGGGGCAAGGCTCACCTGGATGAGGAGCTGCTCGCCGGAGGCCCTCCACTCCCCAGTAAGCTGGCCAGGCCTGGCCCAGTCAGGGCCCCCAGCCCACCTACGAGGAGCAAGGAGACGCACGCTCAGACGCCACTCACCTGGAGCGCCTGCCTCACCCACCAAAGCAGCAGAAATGCCCCGCATGGAAGTCAAGGGACGAGCAGGGGGAGGTGTGGACCCTGTGAGCGGGTGCCTGCTCAGATCAGTGTTCTGGAAGCCAATTCCTAAGTCAATGCCCCTGTTCCATTCGTTACGCTTGGGGTCAAGGTAATAGCAGCGCAAATCCAGTAGAGAAGTGCATCCTCGCTGTCTGAGACACACACCCACCCAAACCCCGAAGGTGGCAGCAGGCCCCTCCTCAGCCGGCCAGGCTCTCCTGAGCCGCACAGCGGGGTCCTCACTGGGGGCCCTGGAAGGCCTTGCCCACTCGGCTCCCGCTCAAACCAGAAGGCTCACAGGCCCTCCTCCAGAGAAGGCAACACTCAGCCAATTAGGAGCTTAAAGGAAACGGACTCCAAGGCAAAAGCAACCACAAGCTGAAGGTTGTCCGAATTAAAACAAAGGCCCCGGGGCCAGAGGGCGTTACCCAGTCCTCCGAGGCCGGCGGGTCCGATGAGCTGCATGAGCTGGCTGTGGCTCATGTTCCCCAGCAGGCTCTGCAGGCCGCCCTCGCCTGGAAGACAGAAGGTGCTCAGGCTCAGGGCCCGCCTGCGCCCGCCCCGCAGCGCCCTGGGCAGGTGCTCTCGGAAGGGCTCATACCACTGGCGCCTCCAGGCGAGGAAGGGCCCCCGACAGCCCCCAGGACTGCCCCTCCAAGAGTTGCATGAAATGAGTCGGTGGGTGAGTCTCTGACACTGTTCTCGCCTGAGGATGCGAGTGGGGACCTGGGAAGGGTTTCTACCTGGGATTCCTCACTTGCACTTAAAACAGCTGGTCTGGGCCACGGCCAGGGACTCAGTGGCTAGAGCACCACCCCACGAGGCCAAGATGGCGAGTGTGATCCTGGTCAAGGCGCGTGCGAGGACCCACCAGTGAGCGCACCAGTGCAGCAGCAAGCGATGCTTCTCTCCCCTTCCCCCGCTCCCTCAAATCAGTTTTAAAAAACCACAACTGGTCTGCATCATCGAGGGCCACCTGATACCTCCTGGGGCCTCTGAGCACAGCCAGGGGGAGGGGAGCATTACCGCCCAGTGCAGACAGCTCGTGGCCTCCACTCCCGCTCGCCCCCAGTGCTCCAGGCATCGGTGGGTTGTTCAGATACTCGTTGACTTTCCGGCAATGCTCCTCGTCCTGGTCCGTCTTAGGCTCCTGTGGGAGGACAGGACAACAGCCGCAGCTGAGCAGCCCGCCCACCACAGACCAGACTCACAGAGGAGGGACCTAGGCTCAGACAGATGAAGTCACTGTCCATGTTCCCATGGCACCAGGGAGAAGACCCAGTAGTCCCCTACGACGGACGTGCCTGTTAGAGACAAAAGCGCTAAGAACGCGAGTCGTGCCAGGGCAGGTCCCGTCCTGCAGGCCTGAGGCTTCCTGCGACCATAGACAGTCCCAGGCCCTTCCTTCAACACATGCACTCGATGCAATGACCTCTACCACGGCACTGCCCACACACCACACCCGGCCCAGGCCCCTCGGGGTCCACAGGGCCCCACAATGAGCCCCTCCCTGGGTGTGATGGGGGTCATCGGGCATGCCACCCTGTCAGTGCCCAGAACTGCAAGACGAAGCGCCCAAGATGGATCCGTCCACCGTCACCGAGCATGGGCTTGTGTGGGGACACAGGGACGTGACAGGCGCGCAGGAGGAGAGAGGTCAAATGAGCAGAACTGGTAAACAGCTTGTGTGAGGCGAACCTCTGACAAGATTTCTTGGCAAAACTGGAGAAACAAGCTCTGCCCCAGCGGCTGCAAACCTCAGCCCCACCTGAGTCTGCAAATGAAGTTGGACTGGAGCCAGGCTGCACGCCCAGGCATGCTCTCCCTGTCCCGGCCACGTCCCCGCTACTTCGGCGCAAGTGAGCAGCTGGGCCCCCCAAGAGGAAACCCTTTCCCACCGGCTCTCCACGTCCAGACTCTGGGGGGGAACATGTTGACACCTGTCAAAACTGCACACGTGAGTCCACTATACCAGCAAGCCATTCCTCCATTTCAGCACACACATTATCCTCACACACGCAGTAACCGGCACAAGGCGACTGTTATGGCACTGCCTGGAGTAGAAGCAACCAAGACATGGCAACCGCTTGACCTGATGGAGGACTGCCCACAGCCGTGGGGGCACGCGTGTGTGCTGACCCCAAGACTCCAGAGCGCTCCATTAGGGGAGCGGCAGGGCTCAGAGAGCTCGGAGAGAACACTGCTTTGGAGACTATACACCGTCATCCTGGCTTCTGCCCTGGGGTCCTCGTGACCCTTGAGGGGGCACTGGGGACAAGCAAACCACAGGCCAAGTGCCCATCAATGCCCTGAGATGGAGTCTAGCCTGGAGCACCCATCTGCCTGCCAAGGCATTCCACCCCTTGAAAGGCACTGAGGGCCACACAGGGGACTCCAGGCTCCGCAGCAGCAAGCTGGTCAGCCCCAGCTGGCTGTGGAAGCCAATTCTACCATCTGGCAAGCAGGTTTCTAACCTAGCTCTAAGACGAGGAGGAAAAAAACATACAAACAAAACCTACACACCTGCATCCAGAAGAAGAGCCGTTTGGACCCTGCCTTGAACTTGAGCACGTAGACCCTCCCGCTGGGGCACTGCGGCACGCGCTTGAACTCACAGTCGTCAGGGAAGATGATCAAATCCTGCAGCCACAGGAGGGGAGAGTCATGGTCCCGTGACACATCGAGCCCCTGAGCCTCCCAGGAACACATGCTGGGCTGTGTCTCAGCGTGGAGGGTGGGGAGGAGGGCACAGGGCCCAGATCACCCTCCTCACCAGCAGGGCCTCTCAGGGCGGCTAAGCCAGGGGCAGAGGCACCCAGCAAGGAGAAGGGCTTCCGGGCCAGGCACAGGCCTGGTGCTGAACAGGGAACGCAGGCTTGTGAAGGATTTTTTAATAGAAACATTGTGGGAACATTCCCAGATGAGTCAAAAAGCCAACTCTGACCTGCCCTTGAACCTAACACAGAACAATTTAGTCTGAAGGACAAAGAACACTAGGTAGAATGACCACTGGAGGGAGCTGTCTGGTGGGCTGGAGTAAAGGTCAGGATTTTTACATGGCTTCACCCATTCTAGTACCTAATCTTCAAAGTTCAAAGTATATAGAGTGACGCCCGGCTGGTGTGGCTCAGTGGTTGAGCATCGACCTATGAACCTGGAGGTGACAGTTTGATTCCTGGTCAGAGCACACGCCTGGGTTGAGGGCTCGATCCCCAGTGTGGGGTGTGCAGGAGGCAGTCGATCCATGATTCTCTCATCATTCCTCCCTCTCTCTCTCTCTCTCCCCCTCTGAAATCCATAAAAATGTAGTAAGTAAATAAAACATATACAGTGACACAGTGACGGGAGAAACCATGTCATCAGTGGGACTGGGAAGACCGATAAGCAAATCAAAACAGCTCATGGGGCAGCCAAGCAGCAATGCCACACACCCACCCACGGCCTCACGGTGATGCTGCCACCGCCAGTGGCCGCCCAGAGGGCAGAGACTCACGTCTTCCACGTTCCCAGACGTCCTGTCTTTCCAGCAGAAGTGAATGAGGGAGTCATCCGTCTGCTGAATGTACACGAGCCCTTTTCTTTTGTCTGGGGTGACAGTTGTTCCTTTTAACGACATTTTTCCTGCCCGAAACTCCACCAAATACTTGTTGGAGGACCCACGGGAGCCTGGCACCAGGCTTGGAAACAGCGCGCCTGAAGTCGCCATCCTGAAAGAGGGGCCAGCAGTCACCACTCAAGTGCTGGTCGGCGCCGACCCGGTGAACGCGCCCTCGCCAACCCTCCGGTACGCTGGGCGCCAGGGAGCACCCCAAAGCTGCCAGAACCCGCTCAAAACACGGCGGGGGGGGGGGGGCAGGCTCGGAGCCTGCGGGCACCTGAGCAATGGAGCCAACACCCACGTCTCACGTTTCTCAAAGAAGAAATTACTCTCGGCACGCTCGGCGCTCGCTGCGCGGCCACTTTCTGTACTTGCAAACTTGTTCCTTACTGGGACCCCCGCCCCCAAGAATTTAAAAACTTGGACGGGGACACGCTAACATCAGATGGGACGCAAGGCTTTGCCTAACGCCGGATCGCTGTCGGACAGGCCCGCGGAGCTGCAGGTGTGCTCCCTGCAAACACGGGAGTCTGCGGGGTGCACGGCCCGCCCCACCCCGCACACCTGGCAGCCCGACGCCCTCGGCTCCGCGCTGGGCGGAGGGGCCGGGGCGGCTCGCAGCAGGGCGGGGCCCCAGGCTGGCCCGAGAGTCCACGCCTCGGTCCCCGACCCCAAAAGTCCTCGCCCCGTGCACGGGCCCTGGGGCCCCCCAACCCTCGAGAGCGCCGGACTGCTCACGGACCTCGGCTCCCAGGCCCCCGGCTCTCTCAGCCCCCGGGCCCCTCTACCTCGAACCCCCCCCCCCGCCCCTCTGGCCTCCGCGGACCCGGCGCCCAGCTTGGGGGGTCTCCCGGAGGCGCAGGCCCCGCCCCCAGCCTTCCCGGTAGCCGTCTCCGCCCCGGGTCGCCCCACTCAACCTGGCCAACGCGGAGACTAGGCTGAGAGATGTACCGTGCGTGATCGCTCTTCCTCCTCGGCGCCTGCCGGGCCCCGCCGGAAGCTTCCGCTCGCCCCGCCTACCCGCCGCTCTCTCCGCCGATTGGACCTTGTCAGAGGCCGGGCCGGCACTGGCCCGCGAGCGATTGGCAAGGGCGGCCGTCCATCACCCCGCCGCGGCCCGCCCCCACGCCGGCGGCTCCCTTCCGGCGGAAGCGCGGGCCGGCGGCGCGCGGGCCAGAGAGGCCCCTATTGTTGCTGTGTCATAGGGGTGCGGCGGCGGCCCCTGGCGGCAACGCTGGGAACGGCGGGGCGGGCGCGGGCCGGGCAGGGGGAGATGGACTCCGGGACGGCCCCTGGCGAGGCGGCGTCTCTCAGGGTCACTGTCGGGGCGGGGCGCCAAAACGTAGAGGAAGCCGTCACCGGCTCAGGGGATCGGGTATCTTAGGACGCGGGGCTGGCTTCGGGTCTTCCGGGGAATCACTGAACCGCAGCCCCGGACTCGGTTTGTGGCCCGCATTGCCCGTGGGACCTGGAACTCATGGGGCGCGTGGTCCCGCCCGCGGTGCCCCACGCCCACCGATAACAGTGCTGACAGGTGGTCTCCCCCTTTCTCCCAGGGTCCCCTAGACCCCACCCTGTAAGGGTGCTAACATGCGGCCCCCCTTCCCACCTGCGCCGGGAGGGTCGGAGGCTCCTGTGCAGGTCAGAACGGACTTGAGGCGGACAGACCCTCCCAGGAGCGGAGGCCGCCTGCACGGCCCGGCACCTGTTCCGCCCGGAGCCCTGTGCTCCACCCGAGCCGCCTCGGCCCCAGAGGAGAGGCCGTCCTGCCCGGGCCTCCTCCCGCTGCTTTGTGAACATCAACTGTGTTCTGAGCCTTTTTATGAAAAGCATAAAGGTGAAGGTGTTCTCAGTCACTGTTGTGGTTTTTTAATTTTATTTTATTTCAGAGAGGAAGGGAGAGGGGGAGAGAGAAACATCAATGATGAGAGAGAATCATGGAATGGCTGCCTCCTGCACGCTCCCCACTGGGGTTTGAGCCCACAACCTGAGCATGTGCCCTTGCCCAGAATTGAACCCAGGACCCTTCAGTCCCCAGGCCGAGGCTCCATCCACTGAGCCAAACCGGCCAGGGCTCACTGTTGTTTTTAAGATGCCCATTCCCGGGACTCCTGCAGCACCACAACTTCTGTTCCACTATCCCCGGGCTAGTCACAAACTGTTTTAGAAAATATAGCTGTTTTTCATTGAAAATATAATTTATGTTCATAAGTAATGGGCTTGTTATTTTTAACTAGTTAATACTTTTATTTCATTTAAATGTCTAGTATGGTAAATACTCGTCGATAAAACCCACATGCAGTGTTTATCTAGTGCAGCGGTTCTCAGCCTGTGTGTCGCGACCCCTTTGGCGGTCGAACGACCCTTTCACAGGGGTCGCCTAAGACCATCCTGCATATCAGATATTTACATGACGATTCATAACAGTAGCAACATTACAGTTATGAAGTAGCAACGAAAATAATTTTATGGTTGGGTCACAACATGAGGAACTGTATTTAAAGGGCCAGAAGGTTGAGAACCACTGCTTAGTGGCTGGTTTATGTCACTGAGCAGTGTCCTCAGCCAATCCACGCTGTAGCAGGTGTCAGGGTTTCCTTTCTACAGCTGAGTAACTCTTTGCTCATCCATTTCCATCCATCGATGGGATCCACATTTCAGCTACTGTGAATAATGCTGGGGACACGACTGTGCATATCTCTCCAAGACCCTGCTTTCTTTTTTCTTTTGCATCTTTATTGTTGAAAGTATTACATATGTCCCCTTTTCCCCCCATCGACCCCCTCCAGCCCACCCCGGCCCAAGACCCTCACCACCCCACTGTTTGCGTCCATGGGCCATGCATATTCGCACACAAGGTCTTTGGGGATTACCTCCCTTCCACTATCCCTCCCCCACCTTCCCTCTGAGATTCCGCACTCTGTTCCATGCTTCCATGTCTCTGGATCCACTCTGTTCATCAGCTTATTTTGTTACTTAGATTCCACAGGAGTGAGATCATGGGACACTTGTCTTTCTCTGACTGACTTATTTCACTCAGCATGATACTCTCAGGTCCCTCCATGCTGCCTCAAAGGGTAAGACATTCTTATTTTTTACAGCTGCATAGTGTTCCATGGTATAACTGTACCACAGCTTTTTTATCCACTCATCTACTGATGGGCACTTGGGCTGTTTCCACATCTTAGCTATTGTAAATTGTGCTGCTATGAACATAGGGGTGCATACATCCTTTCTGATTGGTGTTTCGGGTTTCTTAGGATGTATTCCCAGAAGTGGGATCACTGGGTCAAATGGCAGTTCCATATTTAATTTTTTGAGGAAACTCCATACTGTTTTCCATAGTGGCTGCACCAGTCTGCATTCCCACCAGCAGTGCAGGAGGGTTCCCTTTTCTCCACACCCTCTCTAGCTCATGTCATTTGTTGATTTGTTGATGGCAGCCATTCTGACAGGTGTGAGGCGATACCTCGTTGTTGTTTTAATTTGCATCTCTCCAATGATCAGTGACTTTGAGCATTTTTTCATATCTCTCAGCCACCTATATATTCACATTAGAGAAGTGTCTATTTAGGTCCTTTGCCCATTTTTTAATTGGGTTGTCTTCCTTTTGTTATGTTGTATGAGTTCCTTATATATTCTGGATATTAACCCTTTATCAGATGCATCATTGCCAAATATGTTCTCCCAAACAGTGGGTCCAAGACCCTGCTTTCAACTCTTTTAGGTGTCTATCTAGAAGTGATGTTGCTGAACCATATGGTAATTCCATTTTAATTTTTTGAGGGACCACCAGACTGTTTTCCATAGTGGCTGCCCCATTTTACATTCCTGCCAAGAGTGCACCTGTTTTGCCGCATCCTCACCAACACCTGTTGTTTTTCTGGCAGGAGCCATCCTAATAGGTGTGAGGTGGCATCTCTCTGTAGCTTTGATGTTCATTTCCCTGATGTTTAGTGATGTTGAGCATCTTTTCATGGGTTACTGACCATTTGTCTATTTAAGTCCTTTGCCCATTTTTGAATCAGGTTGGGGGTGGGGGGATTGTTGTTGAGTTTTAAAGAGTTCTCTATATATTTAGATGTATGATTTACAAATATTCCACCCTATTTTGTCAATTGCCTTTATACTCTAGTGATAGTGTCTGATGCACAACATTTTTTAGATTTTCATGAAGTCCAATTGGTCCATTTTTTCTTTTATCATCCAGGCCTTGGTGACATAGCCAAGTCATTGCCAGTCTGGTGTCATAAAGTTTGTGCCCTAGTCTTCTTCTGAGAGTTTTACAGGGTTTGCTCTTATATTTAGGGCCTCGATCCATTTTGAGCTCATTCTGTATATGATGTGAGGTAAGAGTCCATTCTTTTGCAAGGGGATGTCCTGTTTTCCCAGCACCATGTGCTCCCTGCACCTTTCCCCTTGAGTGGTCTTGACGCCTGTCACTTGACTATATATGTTGACACAGTGGTGGTTACAAGACAGTGTGACTGTCAACTGCACACACGGTTTCATTGTAGGGCTTGAAGCCACTTCCTCCACTTACCTGCTGTGAAAGGTGGGGCACACCCACCTTCCTGTACCTCCTTTCCCTGTGGCCTGGGTTGTACTGTGGGGAGTTAGCACTGTGACACCAGGCTTGGGCTCCACAGGGCTGGGTGCTCTGTGGCCCCATCATCAGATGTGGTGCTCGTGGCAGCGGCCCAGACCTGTGAACCTGAGCGTTCTGAGGGCACTCACACCTGTGACTGTCTGTCCCTCTGCCCAGAGCCATCTTGGCTGTTAGCATGAGTGTCCCCACTCAGCTCAACCTCCCGGGAAGCACACAGATGCTGGGCAGCTAGGACAGCGGTCAGACGGTGGGGACCTTCGAGTCAAAGTAAAAGTACTCTGGGCATTTAGTTGCTTCACGGTCTCCAATGCCTGGAGAGGAGAGACTAAACCAGAGCTCCCGACACGCAAAGACCCAGACCCCCACCCACTACGTGCGCCCTCCCAGGGATGCCACAGCGTCCCTGGCGCCCTTCTCCAGTGACCAGCAGTCTTCTGAAGCAGTCCACTCGCTGGGCCAACCCTACAGAACGCATAGTCCCAACCTGACACGCGGCACAAGGGCTCGTCTGCAGCCCTTTCCAAGGGGCCAGAGGAGCTGAGACAGTGAAAACTGCTCGGTGCAAAAATGTCAGCAACAACTATTTTTAAAGGACCTTTTTATCCACAGCTAGGGTTTAACTTGGATCTTTACGGGTCAGTACCAGTCCTCCAAAAACTCTACAAGCAGTTGGTTGTAAAATGAGCCCGTCACCAGTGTGCTGGTGTGCTGCAGTGCCAGGGGAGCAGTGGAGACCAGCCCAGCACAGGCACCAAGAGGGATGAAGGACCCGTATCTGTATGTTGTCACCCTGCCGGGACCAAGCAGCCCCTTCCTAAACCTTCGACCCAGGACAGTTTGGTTCTCAAATGGGAAGGAGCCGTGTATCCAGTGAGGGGCTGATCATCGCGTAAACTGATCCCAAGAGACACTGAAATGCTGTCTTCATTTTGCAGGATGCTCCTCGCTTGGACGGAGGAGACAGTGAGGGGAGGGGTTACACACACAGGGAGCCGCCAGGGGACGTGCCCAGGCCTGGTTACTTGCTCTCTCACCCAGGAACCCAACCTTTGCACCACTGGACACAGCAAGGCCCCTGGAAAGATGCTTCTAAGTCCCAGTGTTGGGCCAGAGCAACCAGAACTAGTAGGAATTATTGAGTCCACTCTCCTCGGGGCCCAGCTTCCTGCGCAGGACACAGCTCTTCGCCACCCCACCCCTCAGGATAAGGCTGCCAGTACTTCTGCATTTTGGATCTTATTAGCATTTTTAACCACGTCATTACCTCATTGTTCCTCACACACATGTGGGACCTGTGAGGTTTGTGAGCCACCACCTCCACTAGGAGCACGTTTCCCAGAGGTGGTGTCCTGAGAGGAAGCGTTTCACCAGGCTGCCCGGAGGTGGCAGGCTCGTGGGGAAGCACCCGCAGCATTTCTCTCATCCTGTCCCAGGTCCTGATCTCGTGACCCAACAAGGACCCAGCACGCAGGCGGCTGTCCTCTGATCCTCAGCATGTCTCCTGGACAGCTCCAAGCCCGTCAGGCTGCCCTTGGCCCATCTCCAGAGCGGCCGGAGTTGGGCCAGGTGGTATGTGGCCCATCCTCAAGCACAACAGCATGAGCCTTGGGGACAGTTTGAGAGAGAGACGGGGCCAGGACAACCATGGGGCCCTGCTGGGGCCTCTTCCGTTCCATGAGAAGGGCTGTGCCGGCTCAGTCTCGCACGGCACTTCCCCAGAGAAGCGACACGGAGACAAGCAGCCCCATGTGGCAAAGTGCTGTGATGCCGTGTGGGACCAGCCCTGCTTCTCCAAGACCGTCTCAGGAGCAGGCCACACCCTGTAAGAAGCCCGAGGTCCTGGTGACACCCTGACCTTGATCCCCCCTGGGAAGGCAGCACCTCTCCTGGGACAGAACTGCACCAGCTCAGTAACCCGGATGCGACCATCCAGCCCCAACACTAGGCTCCCTATTAGCCCCCTGGCACTGGTGGGTCCCTTCACATTATCTACACTTTACACAAGACACGCTCATCAAGGTTGGGCTGTCTGCACAGCCAACTCCCCGGGGCTCTGGGGAAAACAGGCACTGGGTCAGTGGGCACATGGCTGCACCCAGGACTGTTACAACACGGGGCTTCCAGTTGCAAAGCTACAAAATCAAGTCTTCAGAGCAAGTCTTCGCTTTCAAAAGTTTTAATTACAAATGTGATTCTGAAGCCTGGACACACAACAGTGACACCCTCTCAGAGGGAACCCACCACTCCATACAACTGTGTGTGCATGTGTGCGTGTGTACATGTGCACACATGTGGGTATGCATGTGAGAGCACGCATGTACACACATGCATGTGTGCACACGTGTGAGTTTGTGTGTGTGCGCCCGCATGCAGCAGATTGTCTTCCATTCAGAGAGTGGTACCATGATCTACGTGTTGATATTTCTACAGAAAGAAAACAGTCACCTGATCAGGACATGTGCAGAGATGGATGCACACCTGTGTTCTGTACAATAACCCTAATTCACCTGTAAGTAGCCTCTGCTCTGACCCCCCAGTGCACACCAGGTGTGGCCTCCTGTATCCTGTGTTTCAAACACGCATGCTGGGAAAACAAGGACACAGTGCTGTGGTTACAGACCAAATGTTCTAATGAATGACTTGTTTTGTGACATGGTTTGGCCTGCAGTGACAGTGCAGCCCTGGTGAAAAGAGCAGACAGGGTCAGAGGCAGGGCTCCCTTCAAAGCTGGGAGCCGTCTGGGGACTTGGTCAACAACTTGCCATGTTTCTGGACCCCTGTCATGGCAATGCTTCCTTTTGCGTATACAGCTGGAGATTAATGCATGTCTTGCTCTTCAGCAAATCCTAGTCAAGCAGCTTTAACTTAAATATATAAAAGTTATCTTTACATCATTGAAAGTTGGCAAGAAAACACAGAACCCGACAGCGACCCATGTCATTTAATCCGACGCTCTGAAACACTCACTTTGTTCCCGGCGCAGACAGCGTTCCTGGCCGCAGAGAGCTCACTGCAGGGTTAGTTTCAAGATCTGTCTTTTCTGTTATTGGTTCCAATTTAAACTACTTTTGGACACTCGTAACGCTGCACTCTGAGGAGGAACATGGCCCCTCCTTGCTGTTCCTTCCGCTAGTTTCTAATTGGTCATCAGGCTGCTGCCAGTTGAGATGCCCCAGCTGGCACGTCACATAAAGGAGCTGAAGAATGTTCCTTCTCAAATCTTAATGAAAACATGATGATCCCAAGGGAAGCTTTATGAAGAGACGGCAACAGTAATGAATGGTTGGCAATCAAAAGTTAATTAGGATTGAGTCCTCAGCCGGGATGGCGCTTTCTCCGTGAACATGGTCCTTAGAAAGGCTGGTGCTGCCGTACCCAGAGCTCAGAGGAGCCCGTGGCGGGGTCCAGCCTGGCAGGGGTCTGGGTCCCAGGGCACATCAGTAGATGTCCGGGCAGCCTGAGAAATCCCGCTCGAAGTAGCCCCCTGAGTACAGCCAGTCGGGGGTCCCAGTGTGCGGATTCCTGCCCTGGTGGAACCACCTGCAACACAGAAGAGGGTCAGGGAGCGGCTGGGCAGTCACTGTCGCCGGCCCTCTCAGGAAGGACAGAGAACCCTCTAATTAGCCATCACCCAGCAACATGCATCTCTAAAGGCAGCCACTTCAACTTGGGCTGTCATCACACTTTCACACATACACTCACCCTACACACATCCCCAATGTCAGCCTCACTTCCTCACAAAAACCTTATGGAGTAAACAGAAAACACTCAGGCCGGGCCGTCACCAGAGAAGGGGCGCTCACCCCCAGGTGAGAACAGTCACAGTGCTGTTTCCATCCTTTCGAGCTGGCCAGGTCTGCATGGTCTGTTAACTGGGAGGGGCGCGATTGAGGACAGAGAGGGTCACAGTGGCCTCTAGCTTGTCTATGAGCCAATCCAGTCACTGTCACCAGCTCCCATCAGGATCCCAGCACCTTGGTCACCCACCCTTGACCTCTGCGCGGTGGGAGAGGGAGCGGGTGTAGAGGACTCGCGAGGTAGAAGTAATTGTCTTCCCAGGATAAAATGTCGTTATTTTCACAATTAAAAAAAATACAACAAAGGAACATTGGCTATTTTCAAACTATTGTTTTCTGGAACAGCAAATTCCACATATCAAACTACTAAGAGCATAATAATAAATTATATTGGAAGCCCAACCTTCAAAAGTTAGTTTTAAAAACGACAGCCACATAAAAGTCACCAGGTGACTTCACTGGGCCCTGAACACAAAAGACAGGCAAAAATATCCTGGTCAACAACGCTGAACCACCAGTTTTCTAAGACTAAAATTGTAGCTTACATGTACCTTTAAATTTTGTTTAAACATTACAGTACTTAATCAAGTCCTTATTAAGTGGACTGTTGTCACATCTATAACAATAAAAATGTAATATGCTAATTAGACTGGATGTCCTCCGGACGAAGCCGGGGCTGCCTGCGGCCAGAGGGAAACCGGTGCTGGCAGCCGGGGGAAGGAAGGCCTACTCCTGCACAAATTTCATGCATCGGGCCTCTAGTTATGACTATAAAAGAACAAATGACAACTGATTTGAGATACTCCTCCCGGACAGCTCCCTCTGGGTCAAGGCCTGTGCAGACACACGCATGTGCATTCCACTCACATGGTGCACACCCATGGTCACATGATGAGTGCTCCCAGACATGGGAAAGACAGCCGGCCCACTCCTCATCATGGCCTCTAGGGTGCTGTGTCATATGGATGGGGAACATGTGGGGACAGCAGGCTGCTCCCAGCAGCACCGGGGACTTCCGGGCGCACAGTGGCTCTTCTCTGAGAACTGTGTTTTCCCTCATTTAGTGGATTAGCTCTGGCTACATTTTCTTTTCTAATTTACTATACTTGAAAAAGTTCAGGGTCAAATACTCAGGGGCCAGGATGGAGAGGCTGGTCTCAGGTGATCTGCCTCTCACCAGCAGGTGGCACTACTTTTGGGAGCATCGGCCTACAGCCTGGTGGGTACAGCCTGCACAAGGAGCTGTTGCCACCATCATAGCAGAAGCAGAGATAGCTTCTCAGCCCCAGGTGTGTGCAGTCCTCTTCACTGTCCCCAGGTGTGTGTAGTCCTCCTCACTGTCCCCAGGTGTGTGAGTCTCTCCTCACTGTCCCCAGGTGTGTGTGGTCCCTCCTCACTGTCCCCAGGTGTGTGTGGTCCCTCCTCACTGTCCCCAGGTGTGTGTGCTCCCTCCTCATTGTCCCCGGATGTGTGTGCTCCCTCCTCACTGTCCCCGGATGTGTGTGCTCCCTCCTCACTGTCCCTGGGTGTGTGTAGTCCTCCTCACTGTCCCCGGATGTGTGTAGTCCTCCTCACTGTCCCCGGGTGTGTGTGCTCCCTCCTACTGTCCCCAGGTGAGTGTGCTCCCTCCTCACTGTCCCCAGGTGTGTAGTCCTCCTCACTGTCCCCGGATGTGTGTAGTCCTCCTCACTGTCCCCGGGTGTGTGTAGTCCTACTCACTGTCCCCGGATGTGTGTAGTCCTCCTCACTGTCCCCGGGTGTGTGTGCTCCCTCCTCACTGTCCCCGGGTGAGTGTGCTCCCTCCTCACTGTCCCCAGGTGTGTAGTCCTCCTCACTGTCCCCAGGTGTGTGTAGTCCTCCTCACTGTCCCCAGGTGTGTGTAGTCCTCCTCACTGTCCCCGGGTGTGTGTAGTCCTCCTCACTGTCCCCGGGTGTGTGTAGTCCTCCTCACTGTCCCCGGGTGTGTGTAGTCCTCCTCACTGTCCCCGGGTGTGTGTGCTCCCTCCTCACTGTCCCCGGGTGAGTGTGCTCCCTCCTCACTGTCCCCAGGTGTGTAGTCCTCCTCACTGTCCCCAGGTGTGTGTAGTCCTCCTCACTGTCCCCAGGTGTGTGTAGTCCTCCTCACTGTCCCCGGGTGTGTGTAGTCCTCCTCACTGTCCCCGGGTGTGTGTAGTCCTCCTCACTGTCCCCGGGTGTGTGTAGTCCTCCTCACTGTCCCCGAGTGTGTGGGTCCCTTCTCACTGTCCCCAGGTGTGTGGGTCCCTCCTCACTGTCCCCAGGTGTGTGCAGTCCTCCTCACTGTCCCCAGGAGTGTGTAGTCCTCCTCACTGTCCCCAGGAGTGTGTGGTTCCCTCCTCACTGTCCCCAGGTGTGTAGTCCTCCTCACTGTCCCCGGGTGTGTGTGCTCCCTCCTCACTGTCCCCAGGTGAGTGTGCTCCCTCCTCACTGTCCCCAGGTGTGTAGTCCTCCTACTGTCCCCAGGTGTGTGTAGTCCTCCTCACTGTCCCCAGGTGTGTGTAGTCCTCCTCACTGTCCCCAGGTGTGTAGTCCTCCTTACTGTCCCCAGGAGTGTGTAGCCCTCCTCACTGTCCCCAGGAGTGTGTAGTCTTCCTCACTATCCTCAGGTGTGTGGGTCCCTCCTCACTGTCCCCAGGTGTGTGTAGTCCTCCTCACTGTCCCCAGGTGTGTGGGTCCCTCCTCACTGTCCCCAGGTGTGTGTGGTCCCTCCTCACTGTCCCCGGGTGTGTGTAGTCCTCCTCACTGTCCGCAGGTGTGTGTAGTCCTCCTCACTGTCCCCAGGTGTGTGTAGTCCTCCTCACTGTCCCCGGGTGTGTGTAGTCCTCCTCACTGTCCCCGGATGTGTGTAGTCCTCCTCACTGTCCCCGGGTGTGTGTAGTCCTCCTCACTGTCCCCGGATGTGTGTAGTCCTCCTCACTGTCCCCGGGTGTGTGGGGCCTCCTCACTGTCCCCAGGTGTGTGGGGCCTCCTCACTGTCCCCAGGTGTGTGGGGCCTCCTCACTGTCCCCAGGTGTGTGGGGCCTCCTCACTGTCCCCAGGTGTGTGTGTGGGGGGCCTCCTCACTGTCCCCCGGTGTGTGGGGCCTCCTCACTGTCCCCAGGTGTGTGGGGCCTCCTCACTGTCCCCAGGTGTGTGTGGTCCTCCTCACTGTCCCCAGGTGTGTGGGTCCCTCCTCACTGTCCCCAGGTGTGTAGTCCTCCTCACTGTCCCCAGGTGTGTGGGTCCCTCCTCACTGTCCCCAGGTGTGTGGGGCCTCCTCACTGTCCCCAGGTGTGTGTGTGTGTGGGGCCTCCTCACTGTCCCCAGGTGTGTGTGTGTGGGGCCTCCTCACTGTCCCCAGGTGTGTGTGTGGGGGGGCCTCCTCACTGTCCCCAGGTGTGTGGGGCCTCCTCACTGTCCCCAGGTGTGTGGGGCCTCCTCACTGTCCCCAGGTGTGTGGGGCCTCCTCACTGTCCCCAGGTGTGTGGGGCCTCCTCACTGTCCCCAGGTGTGTGGGGCGTCCTCACTGTCCCCCGGTGTGTGTGGGGGGGGGCCTCCTCACTGTCCCCAGGTGTGTGGGGCCTCCTCACTGTCCCCAGGTGTGTAGGGCCTCCTCACTGTCCCCAGGTGTGTGGGTCCTCCTCACTGTCCCCAGGTGTGTGGATCCCTCCTCACTGTCCCCAGGTGTGTGGGTCCTCCTCACTGTCCCCAGGTGTGTGGGTCCTCCTCACTGTCCCCAGGTGTCTGGGGCCTCCTCACTGTCCCCAGGTGTGTGGGGCCTCCTCACTGTCCCCAGGTGTGTGGGGCCTCCTCACTGTCCCCAGGTGTGTGGGGCCTCCTCACTGTCCCCAGGTGTGTGTGTGGGGGGCCTCCTCACTGTCCCCAGGTGTGTGGGGCCTCCTCACTGTCCCCAGGTGTGTGTGGGGGGGGCCTCCTCACTGTCCCCAGGTGTGTGTGTGGGGGGCCTCCTCACTGTCCCCAGGTGTCTGGGGCCTCCTCACTGTCCCCAGGTGTGCGGGGCCTCCTCACTGTCCCCTCATCCATGCAGGGCCTCACCTTGTCTGCCACTCTGTGTCCTCCTTGGCCCGCTCCCTCCGGGCTTCCCTCTGCTTCTCCTCCAGCCGCTCCTTCTCCTGGCTCGCCAGATCTAGGCCCAAGCACACATGGCTGGGTGAGGAGTCAGGTGGGTGGTGACCCTCCTGGTCTCCCTTGTTCAAAAACCCTGGAGAGTTAACTGTCATCAGGAAACCAAACCCAAAGGCCCAGGCTTCAGGTGGCGAGGGACAATGGTGTCCTAGTGCAGTACCAGCCACAGGCAGGTGCTCAGCTCCTGGGGCCATGTCACCCACAGGGGCGGTGTCAACAGAGCCCCAGCATGGGTCCCACCCTGGAGCCATTTCCCTCGCACAGACAGTTACATTCAACCTTAACCTTCAGGGACAGCAGCTGTGCTGTTCCCAATGACTGAGGACCCTGACCACAGGTCCCCGCCTACCGCCCTGCCATCCACACTCATCCCTGAGCAATTTGCTGACCCCACGAACTGCAGCAGGCGCACCCTGCATGGGCACTGGGAGTCCTGCTGCTGACCTGGCCCAGAGTGATGGGTGGTGAGCAGGAGGCAGCCGCTCGTCACACTGACCCCTCCTGCCGCCCTGCACAGCGGTCACCCAGCGAGTGCCGCCAGGTGCCGGACCCAGGGCTGTCTCATCCCACCTGCAGCAGGGCCCCACACGCCGGCCGTGGGGCTTTAATGAACAGCACGGGGGTTCTGAAAGGCAGCCCTACATTCTACCTATGAATAGAGTATTGGGACTTGACTTCTGTGTGTATTCCTCTTCATCGCATTTTCTAGTAACTTAACCTTACTGTTATTTACAAAAGGATTGGTCTCCTACAGGCTGCAAACTCTGAAACCGTCACCCGGGCAGTCCGCACGCTCTGTGCTGGGGGACCTAGTGCCTGTTTGCTCGTGAAAGGCCACCGCATTCCTTCCGCTCGTCCCCGGGCGGCCACCCAACTGCCCCCATTGCTCAGGCACGCACCCATGTTGCCGTTCTCCATGCTGCGGATGTCGGGACGCAGACGGCAGTCTGTGGGGGCCAGGATCTTCTCCATGCCCGTCTGCAGTTCATTGAGACTAACAGTGAAACTGGTGAAGTTATACATCTGAGGACAGACAGAAATCTGTGACCGCCACAGCGTTCTCTCCTGGGCCCCACACAGACACGCTCCCTGGAGACGCCCCCGTCAAGGTCACGCAGGGGCATGGTTCCTTCCCGGGCTGAGACGCACCAGCCTCGGGCTTCTCTGGGCCACCCCACTTGATGCCCAACTTGTAGGTCTGACTCCCCAACATCTCTGAGATGAGTGGTTTATTTTTTACATGCTCTGCTATGTTACTGGACATGGTAATACAATAAAAAATTATAATACATTGTATATTTATTCTATATATAAATAATTCATAATATGAAAAATAAAATTTATTACATATTTATCATGTAATTATTTTTATATATGTCATTGTATGTAACATTTATATATAATACAAATTGTAAGTTTAATTTTCAAAAATAAATATCAATCCTAGCCGACTTGGCTCAGTGGATAGAGCATCAGCCTGCGGACTAACGGGTCCCAGGTTCGATTCCGGCCAAGGGCACATGCCTGGGTTGCAAGCTCAATCCCCAGTAGGGGTTGTGCAAGAGGCAGCCGATCAATGGTTCTCTATCATCATAGATGTTTCCATCTCTGTCTCCTTTTCCCTTCCTCTCTGAAATCAATATATTTTTAAAAAATAAATAAATAAATAAATAAATAAAAATAAATAAATAAATAAATATCAAAATGCACTGAAGCATTTAAATTGACAGGCTGGGAAAACAACCCCTGCAAGCCACTCTGGAAACTCCTTTGGGTAAAACGTGGTTGTATAAACCTTCCAGGGCACACCGTGTGTCCCGAGGCACCTCTACCCAGGAATATCCAGGGCCACTGTGACACTGTGATGTGTGCAGACACACATGTCAGCTCTGTGTCAACATGCCACCACGACTCATGTAGACAGAGCACTGCTGTGTCGCTGGGAGGGTAGGCTGAGGATGGGGCTGGTGGTGGCTCTGTGGGACAGGAAGTCCTCAGAGGCTCACACTGAGAGCGCCATCTGACCAGGGGACAGAGGGTCCTCTGTCTGCTCTGGGACAGAGGACTGAGGTAGCAGGTGTACACATGGGGTTGGAGGGGCAGGTATGGGGGAGCACTGACCTGGGCAGAGTTGGGGGGCCGGGTATTGATTCTCCAGAGGAGCCTGCTGCCTGGAATGACCTGCACAGTGTCCTGGACCTCAGGCACGGCGTCCACCACTTCAGTGTCAGCGTCCTCCATGCTGATGCCCTGAAACACAAAACACGCTGGTTGGCTGCCGGAGGGAGTGGCTCTTGGAGTGCCTTTCAGCCTTGTTCTGATCCCAAGCAGAGCAAGATGCGCTGCTAAGGAAGGAGACGCCACTGCCCCAAGACCTAAAGGCTGGGCTCCTGTGTCTGCCATGCTCACCTCCCCCTGCACAGGCTCCTGCGCAGGGGTCCCCCCAACAGAGGGTGCCAAGTCAGTGGCAGGCACAGCTGTCCTCCTGGGAGTGCAGGCACCATGAAAGGATGAGCTCCTGACTCTGACGGCAACTAGCCAGGTGGCACCATCAAAAGTACATTCATCTAAGCCAAGGGGACTGGAACAGCTCATTTCTGAGAGGGGCACTTCCCTCCATAAGGACGTGTCCAGATGGGTGATCACATGATATCCCAGCACTTCGAGACCAAACCCACTGGAGACCAAGCCCTATATGAGATATGCCACCTGCGGTTACCTTTCAAACCCAAGGGGATGGAGATGGAGCAGTGGTTATTCATGCAGCTGTTGGGGACAGTGTGCTGGTGTGACAAGCGTCAGTGTGACCACGCAGCTTAAGGGCCTGCCACCTGACTGCAGGCTACACGGTGAGGTCCAGAGCTAAACGGGACAAGCCTGTCCCTCCAGGTCACCCAGGACAGCGAAGCTCAGCGCACACACCGAAGGCATCAGCCATGGTCTAACGCGCCGGTCTGCACAGTCTCTAAGTGGAATTTCATTTCTCTGAGTGACACAGTCATTGGAAGCCACACTGACAGCACGTGGGAGCTACCACAGGAAGACACGGAGCAGCCAGGAAGGCACAGCACTGCCTGAGGGGCGTGTCATCTAGAACACGGACGCCTCTGTAAGCGCACTTTCAGGCCCAGCTCTGAGGCCTTAGGGCAGCGGGATGCAGAGCTCCAGGGAGAAGCCTCCCTGCCTGGCACAGCCCTCATGTGGGCGTCATCTGGACTCAGAACTGAAACAGCAGGAAGGACACTCACTCACTGAACAGGTCTAAGCTAACAGGGGCAGGCAGACAGGAGGTTTGTTAAGAGCCATCCAGAACACGGCATTTCCAGAAGGAAATGGAGGTGCCTGGTTCTACCCTGCTTGACTTGGGGGACAGACAGACACTGCGACACGGGACCCGCGCCCTCCGCGCTGTGAGAGTGCAGATAAACCCTCCCAACCCAGAGGCCCACAGACAGCAGCTTCACTGACAGGCGGATTCTGTGCATCGTCTTCCCACAGGGCCCTTCTGGGGGTCATGGCTGGTTCCCGGGGCCTCTGCCCAGCAGTGCCAGGAGCGGGGCAGGTGCCAGGTGGCGCCTTACCGACTGTGCCTTCCTCGGGGGCTCGCCCCTCCGCTCCTGCTTCCTGAAGGACTCGTACGCCGCAGGGTCAATGCCCCACAAACACTCCGTCCACTTGCCGTAGATGATGAACAGCTTCTTTTTGCTGGAACAAAGGGGTTTAGAAACCAAGCTAAGATAGACCACCCACCCCAATGCAGCACCCCACTTCAACCGTGGAGTAAAGTCCCGCCTGGCTGTCTTCTTACCAATCTTGGGCTACCTCTGCACAGAAACGCAAAGACGAAAATTTGCATTTTAGGATCTCTGCTCCTGCCATTTGACACTGATGGTCCTAACTACCGAATACACCGAAGCAAAAGAAAGAGGGAAGGGACGAGGGTGGAGACAAGGAGGTGGAAGAGTCCGTGTTCAGATGTAAAACCCCATGTGCCGATCTCTCCGTGAGCACGCTGACTTCAAGCCCTTTATAAACCACGGGAACAGGCCTCCTCCTGATGAGTTTGCTTTATCCTCAAGGCCACATGTCAGAACTTCACTGACAGGCAGATTCTGTGCCGTCTGCCACCTGCTTCCTCAGGTGGTAACAACCTCTGGGGACCTTCCCAGATGGGCCACCTGCTGGCTCCCGAAGGAGCAATGCCAATGTTGGGCTGTTCCTTCTGCATCTTCTGGGGGAGAGCACAGTGGGCCCTGAGCTCCTGGGGATACTGCTCTGCCAGGGCGGGACCCTGGGGCACCCGTGTCTCAGCGGCCCCGCCTAGAGGGCCCACTCCTCAGGAAACACAGCTCGGTTGACGTGCACTGTCACTAACAGGCCCAGCGTCAGGAAATCGCTCACTCGAATTTGGGGTGGGAAACAGAAAAGCAGACCAAAGTTCACACACGCTCACAGTGGGTGCTGCCACCCACACCCATGGCCGTTCCTGGGCCTCCACGGGAGAGGCTGCTGTCCTGAGGTGGAGTGGGTGGAGTCATAGTGGAACGGTGTTCCCCAGGCTGAGTGGGGCTAGGCAGACCTGCTTCCCATAGGAGCTTGTTTCTGTTGACAATGTACAGATTCTGGGAGCTGGAAAGAGCCTTGGCCACCACATGGCCCAAATCACTTCAGGGGAAAAATGAGAAAATTGAGACCCAAAACAAGATTACTAAACCAAAGGGGGGAAAAACTCAAAAAATTTGTTAAAATGATACTAACCATTTCTCTGCTCACAAAACCTTTAAACTTCCCTAGTTTACGGCCTGAAAAGAACCAATCTCATGCAGATGACGCTCATACAGCCACGTGCGAGCTTCACCGACCGCCTGCCCGTGTGGTGCGGGAGGAGGACACGTGGTCCGATTTCCAGCCGCGCCCTGCCTGCAACATTGCAGCCGCGTCTCAGGGGGAACCTACTTCCTCGTGTCCATTTCATCTTTACCCTTGAGAGAGGGTGACACGGGCCCACTCACTCCCCACCCTAGAAGTGACACCAAAGCTGCTTTTATCTCCTGTCATGCTCAATCATGAAATGTTTTTTCTCAGTAAAAAACAGGTATAAAAGAGCCTGATTTTTTCTGCCATGAACAGACATCACTGGTTTAACGACCTTCTTTGAAGCGCACGCATGCTATCTGAGCCCACCCGCACGTGGACCTACTTTTTGTCTTGAATGTGTCCTTCCACTTTGTGAAGCTCTTTTCCAAACAACCCGCACGGTCTGAAGTGAAGCACACACTTGTCTCCAGTCCTGCGGGAGAAGCACAGGCTCGGCTGTGGGCCGTGGGCCGTCAGAAAGTGAGAGGGCAGGAGAGGAGGCGAGAGAGTAAGAGCAAGAGCGGAGTGGGAAGGGAAGAGGAAGCGAGAGGGGGGCGGGGAGAGAGAGAGAGGAGAAGGTAGGGAGAGCGCAGACAGAGGCTGCCGGGGCTGGGGTGCCATCAGGGAGTGACGGCCAAGGACACAGGGCCCTTTCCGGGGTGATGGGAAGGCTCCGGCCATGCCCGGGGTGACAGCTGCACAGCTCAGTAAACTTAGTACATATCACTCTGCCACTCAGGGGCCCACTCTTACCGGGTGGGCTTTATGACATGTGAGCTGCATCTCAATGAGGTTGTGGGAAACAGAACTGGTGTCACAGATGTCCAGGAAGAAGGAATGACAGGCCGCAGTGTGGACAGGACAGAGGATGGTCACAGCATTGTTTAGAATTTCAAAATAAGTTAACTTGTGATCAGAAAGAAAATTTTCAATACAGAGCGTGAATGGTGCCTCACACTGGCCAGAACCAGTTCCCACCAACACGGGCCCTCCCTGTCTGGACACCGAGGGTGGACAGCGCGGGGCAGCACACACAGCAGAGTGAAAGCGAGTCCCGCGATCACAGCCAGTGCTCCAGGGCAGCGCTGTGTCGGCCCCCGCCCAGCGTGTCGTACCTGTGGTTTAGGATTTCCACCGTCCCGTACTGCTCTATCCAGAGCTTCCCGATAATCACGTTGTGCACACAGCAGGTAGGGTTGGTCCAGGTGTAGGCCTCATTGTGTCTGTCAGAGACCAGAAAACACGCCTGTCAGAGCCAGCAGACACCGCGGGGTGGGGTGGGGACAGGAAAGCAGCAGCGGGAGTAATTGCCCTAATACCGCAGCAGAGAGCACTGCTTTGAACTCCCTCCAACAGCGGCTCCTTACTTAGCATTCGTTTGAAATTTATTTCTTCTTCCCTTTGTAGCAACAACAAAGCTTTCTACTTGATATCAATGAGACTGAGCCAAAGAGCTCTCCTGTGAGGATGTGAGAGCCACCACCGCCCGCCAGGTGCTCCCAGTGGGATGCGTGGCCTGCAGTTCGAAACAACACTGCACACACCTTCCCTTTTGTTCCTCATCTCCTCCCTGCCCCCCGCCCCCCCCCCCCCCCCGCCCCGTGACCTGCCCCAGAAGAAAAGGCCCCACAGACATGAAGTGAGCAGACGCCAGGGAGGCTGTGACAACCAGCTCGGTGCAGAATATCTAATGACAAATATTTGCAATTCCTTGCATCTCCCAGTTGGACCCAAACACCTGAATCAACAAGGTTTGCAACCTTTCAACTCTACCTGCCTTGTCCCAGGAAAGTGAAGACCACCGACAGTCTCCCTAAAGCGCTGCCCCCCCCCCCCCCGCCCCAGGTCCCCATGCGCCCCTGGCAACCAGCCAGGCGGGACCAACAGGGAACAGATTCCATCCAATGCTCCCCCACGGTGCTACCACAGCTCAGAACCCTGCCCGCGGTGGCCTGGACTCTGCGACAGCTCTGGGAGTCAGGCAGATGCTACAGACTCTGCTTTTGAGCTTTTGCTTTGAGGTGTTGTGGACGAAAAGAGGCCACATGCTAATCTAATTCAGGGAAGGCCTGCATGTTGGTCTTGCAAACTCAGAGACCCAAAGTAACCTCAAAGGATGGTCTGAAATTAAAACCTTTAATTAAAAAGCAGTTTATAGTGGGTAGTCATGTCCTAGGCCAGTATCTTCCCTGACAATGATCAACTTCGATCTTTACTGGGCCTATTGTCTTTTTGCTTCTACGACAGTTGTTCTCAACCTTCTGGCCCTTTAAATACAGTTCCTCATGTTGTGACCCAACCATAAAATTATTTTTGTTGCGACTTCATAACTGTAATGTTGCTACTGTTATGAATCGTAATGTAAATATCTGATTGCAGGATGGTCTTAGGCGACCCCTGTGAAAGGGTCGTTCGGCCGCCAAAGGGGTCGCAACCCCCAGGTTGAGAACCGCTGTTCTAAGACAACATATCACTGGAATGTCAAAGTAATTTCCCTTTTTCTGGACCCCTCAAAGCACAGGCACCACTCTGTGGGGACCACAAACCCCCCGTTGTTATTAATTGTTGAGTGTTAACCATCCTGCACCCACCTGTGGAACAGAACCATGTGTCCATCCTTTTCCTTTTTATCCAATCCGGTGTCCCGCTTGGCTTTGTCCCCTCCCTCATCCTTCACCAATGGGTTCCCTGTGACCCGCCTACGTCCCTCCTTGATTGTCCCGTATAAACAAGGTGCAGAGCGCTGTGCTCCACGATCTCCCCACGTGGAGGTTCTGCTTCCCGGCCACTGTCCAGTTTGGCTCAAATAAACTCACAAAAACTCGCCACAGGTTTGAATGTTTCTTACGTTGACAGTGTTTTGATCGACATCAGATCGGGGGCATTTAGATTTAGGCTGAACTGGGTGGGGCAGCCTCGAAGGTGCCCCTCGCTGTGTCCCCCGGAATCCACCCCTCCTGCACTCAGCAGGGTGGGTCTGTGTGACCAACGCACACGTGTGGGGCGGGTCGCAGTTGAGTCATTCCTGGGTTAGGTCATAAAAGACACCGTGGCTTCCCTCCTGGTGGCTTCTCCCCTTGCGCCCCCGGCTCTGAGCGATGTCAGCACCAACTGCCAGGGAAACAGGTGCTGTGCCCAAGTCCTGACGCCAACTCCCAGAAGCCCGAGCATAACCCCCTGCACAGGTCCCAGCTGCTCAGAAACCACGTCCTGAGCTGCTGAGTGTGGGGTCTTCACACAGGATAGGTCACTGCTACAAGCAGTGCCCGGAGTATGTCCAGGCCACGTGGGAGCACGCCAAGGCCGAGTGGGGCAATCCAGGTCGGCACTAACAGAGGGAACAGACTCGGGAGGGCTCTGCTGCTGGCAGGCAGCCCCCCGGCCCCTCCGCACGTGGTGACCTCCCTCCAGAGAAGAGCCCCCCGGAAAGAGGTTTCCTTCCACAAACAGCTGCATGGCTGGCGCTGGCGGAGGCGGAGGGAGGCGGCTCAGGCCCAGGGAGGCTCACCTGAGAAGCTCCAGTGTGATGGTGCCCCGGGGCTCCGCTTCCACGCTCTTCCCCCAGAACTTGAGCTTCGGGTAGATGGAGCCGTGGAACAGGAAGTCCTGACAGAGACCTTCGGAGTAAAATGCACTCACAGGGGGGTGGTGGCTGACCTGCTCAGATATGAACCTGAACCCTAGGTCTTCCCTAGGTACGAAAACAAGAGAGAAAGAAGCGGAGCCCATTAGTGACAGCAAAACCCAGGAAGGCAGCGCAGCGTCCCTGTCAACTCAGTGGCCAGGTGCACATGTGACTGCAGGGCTCTCATGTCCAGGAGAGGCACTGGGAAATGGGGACCACTCCATGCTGCCACACGCGGCAGAAATATGCAACAGTGCTCTGATGTCACACTTGCCTAATGCTGACAACACACGCACCACACACATGCATTAAACTGTGATCCACGGGGCCACCCCAAGCACACGGATGTCTGCAAGCATCTCTTAGAGCAGCAGTCGCCAACCGGTAGTCCGCAGACCACTAGGTGGTCCGTGAGGTTGGAAAGGTTGGCGACCGCTGTCTTAGAGCCAGTGCCCGAGCGCACCCGGGGCAGACGCCGTGCCAGTGCTCAAGGGCCGCCCACTGCCCCACGCTAGGAGCCATGACTCTGGCCTTCCCAGGGGGCTCCTCTCGGCTCCTGTAAGGTTTGTGATGAGATGTCTCAAGCTCCAAGTTATTTCAGTCCAGGAAATAGGATTTTTAGTACACTCTCTTGTTCGAGAAGAATGTCATGTTTTAATTGTTCCGGAACTATGAATACACCTACAGTTGTAGTTTAATAATTATAAAAGCTAAACCTCATAATTACTAACTTAACTGGAATCTGAATTTCCAACCATTACAGAGGGGAAAAAAGTTGAAAAATTAGATTTTTAAAGGTTGCCTGCCAAGGCATGTAATTTACAAGATGAATGCCTGTCTAAGCAAAGCAGTCTTTTCTCGGCAGCAGCCGGGAGGTTCTGTGGCTCCCAAACAGGAAGGCTACTCAGGTCCCAGGGCCCTGGGGCTCTGGACGCACAAGGAGCCACAGACACGGGCACAGGGGGACCTGGGACTGAGATGGGAGGGTGAACTGGAGTTTAGAAAGAGCGTGAGTTCTGTCAGACGTGGAATGGTGGTCCTGCCCGGGTCAGGCCCGGATGGGGTGCCGATGAGGTGTTCACCCAGCACTCAACACTTGTCCATGTTCCTTCAACCCATGCAGCTTATTTCCACCGCCAAAGCTCTGTTCACACTGTGCCTTGACTCCCCTTTTGTTGAGGGCATTTTAATGATGCTCTGAATGTACTCAGATACTAACCCTCTGCTGGCATCTAGATGAGGCCGGAATCCCGACCACGGGGGCACACACACCTGCAGACAGAGGTGGACACCTGCTCAGCACAGGTATCAGGACAACGCTACTAAATTCAAATAAAAGATCCCCTTAGTGGTGACTCTCGGGCAAATCTTTCTGGCATCAGGGCCTCAGTTTCCCAGTGTCTAAAATGAAGGCACAGGGCTGCTCACTGTCCCTCTCGCTGTGACATGCTGTAACCCATGGTCATCTGCTGCACCTGTCATCTGCAAAGAAGCCCTGGGAGGCACACTCCGTTGCTTTCTATTAGCGCATCCAGCTTTCTCCATTTTGCGAGACTTCGAGACCAGCCTCTCACCACCAGCCAACACAGCCCCACCAAGAATCCAGATGGCATTCCCACACCAGTGGAGCCAGGGGAGGGGCAACCACTGCACCAGCAGGCGAGTCAGACACCGGTCAGCCTCGGGCGTGACCACTAACCCACTGTCGCATCGCGGGAGCGGGGGGCCTGCAGGTGCTCAGGCATGCCCGCGTCTCCACGATGATCCCGCCCCACGTGGTCTGCGACCAGAGCTGACACACAGCTGCACACACCGCAGCCTCTACTCACCTGAAGAGTGCCACTGTAAGCAGACCAACACCCCAATTCCCCCAGCCACTCACTCACCTGATCATCACAACACACGTGCAGTAAAGGGCTGGCAACCACAGTTAGAAACTTCGAAGAAACTACACTTCTTTGAGCCCAAGATGCCATTGACCACATAACACATCATTATTTTATTTTATAAAAGAAAGAAAAAATGTTGCAAATTAAACTAGGACAGAAATGCTAGAATATGAAAAATGTCTTACCATCAATGAAATACTAAATTTAGAAAAAGTTTTAGTTATCGTGGGGAAATGAATGTGACCTGAAGTTCAATGGAAAAGGATCTAAACAAGCATTGTTGCACTCTGGAAACGCGCGCGCGCACAGGAAAGGAACTCAGCCCAAACATCAGCCAGACTCTTTCACAGGACTGTCCAACTCACCTGCCTCCCTTTTCTTCATTTTGCACATTTCCTAAGCAGAGCATGCTATCATAACTAAAGACAAACTTGTATTTAATAAAAGAGTACAACAGACTCCCCCCGGGACCCAAGGATGGGCGAAACAGGAAATACCGTACATGCACCAAATGCTCCGGAGCCCCGCCAGGCTGTGACCCCTCTGACCTGGGGGCCCACCACACTGCCTGTGGGCTCTGGCTGGCACTCGCAGCCAGGCCGACTGGACCATGGCTCATTCTGAGCGACTGCACAGCCCGAGAGACAGGGGCCCTGGTCCCGTCCCAGGCATGTATACAGCTCTAGGACCAGGCTGCGTGATGGGCAAGATGGGAGCAGCCAGGGGGCCGCTGAAGCTGCCTGAGAGAAACTCCATCGGAAAGAATTTCAGCTGCACTTGAAATAAGGTGTGGCCTTGGCCAGGTGGCTCAGTTGGTTGGAGTGTCATTTGTACAACAAAAGGTTGCAGGTTTAATTCCCAGTCAGGGCACATACCCAGATTGTGGGTTCAATCCCCAGTCAGGGCACATACAAGAGGCAACCTATTGATGTCTCTCTCTCTCTCTCTCTCTCTCTCTCTCTCTCTCTCTCTCTCTCTCTTCCCCTCCCACTCCCTCTAAAATCAGTAAAAACTTATCCTCGGGTGAGGATTATAAAATAAAATAAGGTCTGGTCTGGTCACTGCATTGCCAGTGCTGGCCAGGCCTTTGAGCCCAGGGGCAGTGGCATGGCAGTCGGCAGTGGCCGGGAGAGAAGCCCTCCGACAGTCACTCCTCTCTAGGTCACCTGCTCCCTGCACAATGGCTCCTGAGATGCTCGGTGAGTGGGCGAATGTGCTTCCAGGACCCATCTCTATTTCAGGCCAAAGCTAACAAGCCATTCACAGACACTCCCTCTCTACTCCTGAATCCAACACAGGATCCCATTTCCAACTCTACTTCACAGCACTAGGGTTTTGTTACAGACCGACCCGACATTCCCCATATGCGAACCGTCCTCGCCCCGGCGGTGCTCCCGGCCCCTCAGTTAACCTGCCATCCACAGGGTCGGCTGTCAGAGGCAGAATCATGCTGCAGGAAGAACCACACCCTCCGTCCTCCACAGCACCGCGCCTGGCACTCAGGAGGCCTGGCCTTACCTGATCAGCTCGTATGTCTCTCCCAGGAGTGGGTTGAACGGCTTGCCAGTCCTCTCCCACTGGGAAGCCACCGCCGACACCGCAAAGGCAGCCACACACTGCAAACAACACACAGGCCATGAGCAGTCCCCACCAGGAAGGGGGCCCAAGGCTGTAGGGAGCTGCAGGCACCTGGCATGTCTGCGTCAGGATTCACTATCTGGTGACTGTTCAGTCTTCCCCTTGTAACACGTCCAAGGTCACAGAGATTCCAGGAAGCGCCCTCTGTCACCACCACTTCCTCAAAACTACAGACAGCAGGAGCCCTGATGCTTTCCAGTCCCAGTCTGTTCTTCAGCAGGCCCTGTGGCAAGGGCCATGTGTTTGTCCCCTTTCAACACACATGGGCACACGAATGCACACAGCACACATGCTGTATACATGCACACGGGCAAGAACACACACAGGCACATTTATGCACACATGCGGGAACACACGTGGACATATGCACACATGTGGACACACACACACATGCACACACACAGGTGTGGTGCTGAAAAGACTGGGAGGAGCCAAGGCGCAGGCCCCATGCATTCCTGTGGAGGACACCCCCCAGCACAAATGTCTCAGCTGCTGGCAGGATAGCACCGAGTGCGTGTGCACTGTACAGCCTCCGCCACTGGAGAGGTGCCAGGTCCCTGCCATGACATGGCCAGTCAATAGGGTCCCATCCATTCACTGCTGTGGTCTGGCTCCCCCCAGCGCAGGGCCCGCCCACCTGCATCCTCTCCAGGGCCTGGGGCTGGCGGGAGGCTCTGTGGACGAGGTAGATGTGCTCCATGTACTCCGTGATCCGCTGCAGGAAGCTCAGGGGCTCGTTGAAGACAATGGGCATCGTGATCTTGGACAGCTCCTGGAGGGACAGCGAGGACATCATGGGGTTCCCAGAACACAGCCTCTTGCCTGCCCCACGCAGACAGTCCCTTCTTGGAGCAGCAGAGGCCTGGGAACGAGACCTGAACCCCTGAGCCAGAGAGCCGACCTGAGGGAAGCCGGCCCTCCCGCTGCACAGTGAGCTCCACTGCCTCCCGGGGGACGGCGCCCAGTCCTCCGTGCCCCTGCCCTGTTCCAGGCCACGTGCACACCGAGGTGGCAGGGGCCGCCACGCTGGCCACCTCCAGCGGCCCTCCCCCCAGATGTATGCACCCCTATGTTCACAACTTACAATAGCTAAGATCTGGAAACAGCCCAAGTGCCCATCAGTAGATGAATGGATAAAAAAGCTGTGGTACAGCCCTAGCCAGTTTGGCTCTGTGGATAGAGCAACAGCCTGCACACTGAAGGGTCCGGGGTTTGATTCCAATCAAGGGCAAATGCCTGGGTTAGGGGCTCGATCCCCAGTACAGGGTGTGCAGGAGGCAGCCGATCAATGATTCTCTCATCACTGATGTTTCTATCTCTCTCTCCCTTCCTCTCTGATCAATAAAATATATATATATATATATATATATATATATATATATATATATATATATATATATGGCCCTAACCGGTTTGGCTCAGTGAATAGAGCGTCGGCCTGTGGACTGAAAGGGTCCCAAGTTCGATTCCGGTCAAGGGCATGTACCTTGGTTGCAGGCACATCCCCAGTAGGGGGTGTGCAGGAGGCAGCTGACCGATGTTTCTCTCATATTGATGTTTCTAGCTCTCTATCCCTCTCCCTTCCTCTCTGTAAAAAATCAATAAAATATATTAAAATATATATATATTTTTTAAAAAGCTGTACATTTATAGCATGGGATACTATGCAGCAATAAAAAAGAATCTCTTACCCTTTGAGACAGCATGGAGGGACCTGAGAGTATCATGCTAAGTGAAGTAAGTCAGTCAGGGAAAGACAAGTATCACAGGATCTCACTCATATGTGGAATCTAAGTAACAAAATAAACTGATGAACACAGAGGATCCAGAGACATGGAAGCATGGAACAGAGTGTGGAATCTCAGAGGGAAGTGGGGAGGGCGGGAGGTAATCGAACAAAGACCTTGTATGAATCTATGCATGGCCCATGGACACAGGCAATGGTGAAGCCCTGGGGGTGGGAGTGGGCTGGAGAGGGTCAATAGGGGAAAAAGAGAACATATGTAATACTTTCAACAATAAGGATTTAAAAAACAAAAACAAAATAAAAAACAAAAAAATCACTAGCCTCCCATCATGTCCAGGGTGACTGGATGCCTCAGGCAGGGAAGGGAGACCACCACTGATACCTGTTCCCAGGCATCCTTCGGGAAAGCGAGCAGTGCAGAAGCCAGGGCTCTGCAGGGACACTAAGGGAGGAGGTCTGAGAGACTTAGACAAGGCAGAGCCGTTCCAGGAGGAAGCGGCTGACAGGGAGGGGCTAGAGAAGGGAGGAGGGATGAGAGGAGAGGTGGAGGGAAAGAAACGCAGATAGTAATTTCAGGAATGCTGGCCTGGCTCACGTCAGGAGAGGAACAGTGACCATGAGATGCTACTGCTCACCTGCTCATCAGAACCTGACATCCACTGTGGGCGTGGTGATGGGAGGAAGCCCCACACCTGCTGGTGGGAGGGCAGTGGTGCCCGCCCCCCCCCCCCCCAGATTTGCTGCATGGGCAGAACTGCACGTGCACCACCCTGGGTCCAGAAATGACCCTACACCCAATAGCAGTCAGGGCAGAAGGAGCGGGAAGCAGCTTGGGAGCCCTGGCACTGGGGGTGGGTAAGGTGGTGGGAAGCCTACAGTTAGTTACCCAGGAAAATGGAAGGAGAGACACAATGTCACTTTCTGATTCCTGGAAAGATGGGCCACAGAATTTTTATTGGTTGCCTCTCGGGGAAGGGCAGGGACAGGAAGCCGAATGTGTATATAGAGGGATACTCTTGTTTGAGAGCTTTGACTTAGGATTTACAATGTTAAAACAAAGTGCAATCTGCACGCATGGAAAAGAAAATGAAACAAAGCCCTGGGCACACCACCCGGAGGGAGCCCCGCCCCCACAGCAGAGACAGATGCACCCTGAGGATGGGCAGAGCTAGGGGCACCAAAGGACTTGGATTTCGAGGCAAACATGCTGTTGGGTGAGTTGATCCTGCTCCCAGAACTGCTGTGCTCATGGGATAAAGTGAGGGAGTCACTGGTTACATGCTAGGCTCAACCCATCAGCACTAGTCAGCACTAGCATTCACACCTGGAAGTGTCAGTGTGTGTGGGAGAAAAGACACATACATGAGCCAGAAGAGGTCAAATCAATCCTGTCATCCCTGAAACAAATCAAAATACAGCTGCTGTCTCCCATAAAATACATAATACTTCAAAACACATAGAAAAGACTGGGAACAGAGCAATCCAGCAGCTCCCCAGGGCCCAGCATGGTCCTGAGGCCTCTCTCCCTGCATGAGTGGCTGGCTGCAGGCCAGGACAATAAAGGTACAGGGTGAGCCGGAGCATCTTTTGTAAGAGATTAGGGGCCTTGAAGAGGCTCTCACAGCCACAGATGGAACAACCTGTGCTCTGGAGCATGTCCAGCAGGCTAAATCCCGTGCGCTTAAAATACATAAAAAAGAGCCCAGTGTGGCTCAGTGGCTGAGTGGCAGCCCATGCACCAAGAAGTCCCCAGTCGACTCCGTCAGGGCACGCTCCCAGGTTGTGGCTCCGCCCCCAGTAGGGAGCATACGGGAAGCAGCTGATTGATGCTGATGTTTCTCTCTCATCGATGTTTCTATCTCTCTCCTCCCTTCCTCTCTCTAAAATGACTGAAAACATATTTTAAAAATTTTAAATACATAAAAAGACCTCCTAGTCATTTATGCCAGCATACTGGGTGATGGTAGTGAATCAGACACATAATCTGAAGACTCTCAGGAAGATTCCTTCATTGGTGCTGACCTCTTAATGACACCACACTCACCGCGGACATCTCAGGAAGTACGTAAGGCGGGTCGGTGCGGCACTGACCTACAGCCCTAATGAGCGCATCGGTCGTGGCACTGAGCCCAGCAGTTCTTAAACTCAGAGCAAGAGCAACAAGCTGTCTCCCGATGCAAAACCACAGACAACGGGAACCCTGAACAGAGTGCACACCTGACAGTATCATGGTGGACATGTTTAAAAAAAGCCCTATCCTTCCTGGCCGGTGTGGCTCAATAGTTGGCCATCGCCCCATGCACCAAGAGGTCACCAGTTTAATTCTTGGTCAGGGCACATGACCGGGTTGTAGACTGGATCCCCAGTGGGGGTGTGCAGGAGGCAGCCAATCAGTGATTCTCTCTCATCATTGATGTTTCTTTCCTCTTTCCTTCTCCCTTCCTCATTAAAAAATCAATGAAAAAATATATTTTAAAAAAGAGCCCCATCCTTTAGCAAAATATAAGAAATACCAATGGCCCAGTGCACAGATTCATACACATTGAAAGGAAATTAATTAGAAGAAATATTTTAATATCGCTATTTGCCCTTTCTCTACAATAGAAGTGTCAATAGTTGATCTTCAGACAGATTCTGTCGACAACGCCGCTTTCTTTCAGTTTCAGAATGTCAACAAAAACAACCAAATTCACGATCAACAATGACAGATCGAAACACACACGTGCAATTGGCGCCAGTGAGAGCTTTATATGTATCGCGCAAGCACGAGTCAACTTAGCCTTTTATAGGTATAGAATAAACTTGCTTAATTAGACCTGCTTTCTGATTTAGCTAAACTTTTTCCAGCCCAGTGAAGCACCCCAACTTCTCTTTCAGGTAATTGTCAGCAACACAGCAGTAAATATCAACATGAAACAGATTATTATTATAGGTCACTCAGGGAGAACAAAGGGTAAAATATTTAACTGCAGCAGTGTTTGACTGTATTCTGCACAGTGAGAAAACCTGAAGTCATTTTCAAGGCCCACCATTTCTTACTTCTTTTCAGTCAGGTCAAGTTTCTAAGCTTTCTAAATCTCCGTTTTCCCGCTAATGAAAAAAGATAAGATTCCACCAAGTCTCCTAAGGACTCTAGGACTTCTGTGAGGATCAAATGAGATGAGGCACGGGAAAACGCTTCACAGACATTTGGTTACAGTGTAGTGTTTCCACCTGGCTATAAAGCAAGTTGTATTCCTGGGCTGAAGAAACTGCAAGGTGACTAGTCGCTAGGGAGAGGAAGTTGGGTGCTGCTACATGACGTCATTACCCAAACACTTAGCATACGCGCACACACACACACACACACACTCTAGAGGCCTGGTGCATGAAATTTGTGCACTGGGGGGTGGAGGTCCCTCAGCCCAGCCTGCCCCCTCTCACAGTCCGGGAGCCTTCGGGGGATGTCCTACAGATGTCCACGGGTGCGGGCCTAAGCCGCAGTCTGGCCGTGGAGGCTCGGAGCAGGCGCCCCGTGTGTGTGTGTGTGTGTGTGTGTGTGTGTGTGTGTCCGTCCGCTGGGAGCCTGCCCCCGCCTCGCTGTGGAGGCTTAGAGCAGGCACCCCGTTTGTGTGTGTGTCCGCTGTGGGGGGGGAGGCGTGGCCAGGCTGGACCCTGAGTAGTACCACCGTTGCTACCACTATCATTAGTGTCTGGGATGCAGGCATGGCTTGAAAAGACTGAACCACACCCCAGGCCTCTCTGACCCTGAGTTTGTTCATCTGGGAGTTGAAGCAGGAGGGGGGGCCCCGCACTCTAGGCCCTTCACGGAGACATCTTTTTTGCCCTCAGTTGTCTTCCCCTTTCCAGGCCTGAGGACAGCAACGTTCTTCTTGGTTTTTGTTTGTTTTTTTTACCTTTTTTTTTTTTAAGAAGGTGATTTCTAGAAAAGACAAAATTACAGAGACAGAAAGCAGACCTGTGGCTGCCTGGGGCTGAGATGAGGTTGACTGCAGATGGGCAAACAGCATGATGGAAGCTTGAAAACGGTTTGTGTCGGTGGTTGAGCTGTTGTGGAAATTCACGCATCAAACAGTATGCCTGCTGTGGATGAGTTGTACGGCATGTAAGTGCCTCTTCGAGAAAGCCGTGTAAAGGCATACATCTAAAAGGGAACCCTCTTAAAACCACAGTTGGTGTGGGATTACCACCTTCTAGGAACTTGATAGAAAGTGATCAGTCCATGGCTGTGAACTTGAAGAAGAGTGGAGAGGGTGCTGAATTGGAAGCCTTTATGTGGCCTGGGCAGGTCTAAACTCTGTCTGGGTCTGTTTCCCCGTCTGTGACATCCTGAGTTGATGCCCTCGGAGGGGGTGAGAGGTGCCAGGAACGGCCCCTGCGGTGGCTGCCCGGCCCAGTGTTCTGTGCTGCAGACCCTCGGGCTGTCCCAGGGTCACTGTACCTTCGCCTTTGCCACAGAGCACCTCTTCCTTCCTGCCTTTGTGCGGAGGACTTCCTCCCGCCAGCCCCTGGAGCAAACACATAGCCGGGAACAACTGGAAAATCCGGATTGGCCTGGCCTCGTTTTCCCCCAACCCTGGCTCCTTCCCTTGACTGGGACCAGAGAAGCAACCAGGAGACTGCCCTGGAGAAAACCTCTCAGACCAAGGGGCCCAAGCACCTCCTGGGCACTGGTACATGTGGCAGGCTAGGCTTTCCTCTCCCCTTGCAGCCCTGACAGGTGACCTCAGCTGCGTAGGTTCGAAGCAGGCGCCCAGGGTGTGTGTGTGTGTGTGTGTGTGTGTGTGTGTGTGTGTCCGCTGAGGGCCTGCCCCCAGCCACATCAGAGATCAGAGGCTGGGAGCAGGCGCCCCGAGTGTGTGTGTGTGTGTGCTCCCAGCCGCATCTGAAGCTCGGAGCAGGCGCCCCTGTGTTGATCTCTCAGGCTCCAGGCTGTGCCTGTGTGTTGTTCTCTCAAGCTCGTGGCCACGCCCAGCCCCTCCTCCTGAGCTGGTTGTGACCATTATGGAGTCTTGACCTCGTTTGCATATTACTGCTATACACACACACACACACACACACACACACACACACACACACACACACAGACATATAGATGGGCAAATGAGAGGTGTCTGGCTTGGGGGAGGAGGGGTGTAGAGGCAGCACGGGAGCCCTGAGTGGCGCTGTGGGTGCTGGCCGGGGGTGGTTATGCGGTTCTGTCTACTTCTACATGGTCAGAAACCGTCGTGTTAACTAGTCTGTTGCTATTGTCTCAGTGAGCTGATAAGTAGAAAGAGGGTGTCACCCCTTTAGTGATGCCCACAGAGGTGAGCATTTCAAGGGCCACGGGGATGAGTGCTCTGAAGTGGTGCAAAGGACCCAGCCAGGTGACTGCGTGCAGCACTCTGGGGACAAACCCACCCACATGTTCATACGCGGCTCTCATAGAGACCATGGGCTCCTTAGGGAGTGCAGCGTAACGAGGTCACCGTGTGAGAAAGATGCCGTGGGGTCAGACTCCTGCAGAGTCAGGACCAGGAGCTTGTCAAATTCAGCAGTCTGTCTTGAAGCCCCAGACACCCTTCTGTCCAGACCTGAACTGCTCAGTCACACAGAGGAATAAGGCCACTGAGAGGAGAAAGTACCAAACACGTCATCAGAAAGGGCAGAGAGGTGTGCAGAGCGCACGCACGTGCCAGCAGGGTCAGCGTGTGGCTGCTGAGGCCTGGAGTGAGCATGCCTCGTGAGGGGCGAGCACACCCAGCGCCTGGTCTGGTGTCTAAACACCAGTCTCCAATCAATGACAGCAGTGAACAATGGAGAAAGCCAGGTCAAGGGCGTGGCTCAGGTAACAGCAACACTGCTGTGAATTCCTCCACTGGGTCGCTGCACCAAGGTGACTGTGTGAGATGGTGATGTTACAGGAAGTAGGTGAAGGGTATACAGGGCTCACTGCTGTTTTGCAACTTCTATAAAGTCACTGAGGATTCTCACCATCAGAAAAAGGCCTGTGGCTTCTGGACGCCAGTCACTCCTGTCACAAACTCCAAGCATTGAAGCTCTGCCTGCGCCCTCATGGATGGCCTTCTGGGTCTCACCCTCTGTGTGTGTCCAGGAACCCCACAAACGTCCCCATTTCACACCGATAACCAAAAGCACATCACAGAACACTGAGGGAAACGTTCCGTTTAACCTCCATAGTTATTTCCTCCTGTCCATCAGTAACCTCACTTCCTCACCTCCTCCCCTTACATCTTTGTGCCTTTCCGGTTTCATCATCTTTACTCCATGCTGTTTACAAATCTGCAGAGTCACCCTAGCCCAGCCGTGGGCAAACTACGGCCCGCGGGCCGGATTCGGCCCGTTTGAAATGAATAAAACTAAAAAAAAAAAAAAGACCGTACCCTTTTATGTAATGATGTTTACTTTGAATTTATATTAGTTCACAAAAACACTCCATCCATGCTTTTGTTCCGGCCCTCCGGTCCAGTTTAAGAACCCATTGTGGCCCTCGAGTCAAAAAGTTTGCCCACCCCTGCCCTAGCCGGTTTGGCTCAGTGAACAGAGCATCGGCCCATGGACTAAAGGTACCTTGGTTGCAGGCTCCATTCTGGCCCTGGAGGCAACCAATCAATGTGTCTCTCTCACATCAATGTTTCTTTCTCTCTGTTTCTCCCCCTCCCTTTCACTCCCTCTACAAATCCTTGAGTGAGGATTAACAAAACAAAACAAAACAAAATGTGGGGAGTGAGCCCTTCTGTGGGTTCACAGTGCCTAACGCTGAGCTCGGACGGGCCGCCCACTCACCAGGCCGATGCACTTCTTCAGGATCCCCCACACACTGAAGTCACTCCTGGTGAACATCGGGGCCGGCAAGGACGTCCTGAAAAGCAGTAACCACAGCAATACATGTTATTATTAATCCAACATGAGGTTCCCTTATGACTGGTGATTTTGCTCAATGACCATTTTTCTCTAATTTTCCTGGCGTGCCTGGGGAGAAAAAGATCAGCCTGCTGGCTCAGTCCCAAAGGAATGGGCTTGTGCGAGGGACCCTAGGAGAAAATGACCATGACCACACCAATGACTCTCCTTCCAGAGCTGGGGACAGGTCGTCTTGTCCCCAGAGCAGCAGTGTACCAGCTGCCTGCAGCACTGCAGAGCCATGGACAGAGGCCAGGCCACAAGATCCCCAAGAGGGAACTACATTAAGAAAACCTTTTCAGCTCAGCCAGTGTGGCTCCGTGACTGAGCATCAGGGCATGTGCCCAGGTTGCGGGCTAGATTCCCAGTAGGGGCATGGAGGAGGCAGCTGATCGATGATTCTCTCTCATCATTGACGTTTCTATCTGTCTCTCATTCTCCCTTCCTCTCTCTAAAATTAATAAAAAACACTTTTTTTTTAATTTTAATAATAAAATAGTTTAAAAGAAAGAAAACCTTTTCAGAAATGCATTGTTTGCCCCTTTCAATGTGTGTGTGTGTTCCTGAGGCACATTCCTGCCCCAGGGACCTCCCTGCAGACCTGTGGCAGCCCCACAAGCATGTCTGCACCATGAGACCCTGTTCACAGGAGACTGGGATGGGGAACCCCTGACCCAAGTGGGGCCTGGTCTCCCTTCTGGAAATTTGGCTGGGATGAGACCCTGATTCCATCTGGGAGGGAGGGGTGCCCAGTGGGACAGGGGTGCGGGTTTGCAGGAAGCGAGAGGGGCCCGAGACTGAAGACTGAGCCAGTGGTTCCCTGCGTCCCAGAAGCCCCCGGTGCTCCCCTGGATGGATCAGTGCTCTTAGGACGGGAGGACCGTGAGCCAGTGCCTCTGCTCCAGCACTCTGCTTGGAACGATGACAGCAGTGCTCTCACCCCATAAGGACCCCAAGCTCCCCCTTGGGGTGTCAGTTAGGGCAGCTGAGTCAGGGCACAATGCTTATTTTCAGGAATGGGAAGGAGAAGAGAGAGGCAGCTGGAGACAAAATGAGAAAAACTGCCATTTACAGAGCGCCACATGCCAGGCTGCCAGCAACTAACACCTGGTCACTTGGCAACTGTCATCTGGGCTGGACTGCGAGGGGGCTGAGAAGGGAACATGGAGACAGGAGGGGAGAGGAGACAGCAGAGATGGAGAAGGCGGAGAGGGGCAGGCAGGCAGAGCCCGATGTGGGGGCCCTGGAAGACCCACGAGAGCCACTGTGGCTGGGCCCAGAGACAACAGGGAGGGGGCCAGGGAGGAGGAGAGGATGCTGCCCCCAGCCTAGAGGAGGTGACCTTAGAGTTCACAGTCCACACCGAGGTACTTGTGAGAGGAAAAGGGTGCTATTAGCGATTCCCAAGGGGGGGGCACCATGTGAACACCTACCTGAGATGTTTTTCTTTCTTCCTCACCCGAGGATATTTTTTTAAATATATTTTATTGATTTCAGAGAGGAAGGGAGAGGGAGAGAGATAGAAGCATCAATGATGAGAGTCACTGATTAGCTGCCTTCTGCATGCCCCCTACTGGGGATGAAGCCTGCAACCCGGGCATGTGCCCTTGACCAGAATCGAACCCGGAACCCTTCAGTCCGCAGGCCGTCGCCCTATCCACTGAGCCAAACCGGCCAGGGCACCCGAGGATACTTTTTCCATTGACTTTTAGAGAGAGTGGAAGGGAGGGTTGGGAGGGAGGGAGGGAAAGAGAGAGACTTGGATTGTTTGCCTCCTGCATGTGCCCTGACAGAGCTGGAGATCAAACCTGCAACCCAGGTACATGCCCTTGATGGAAATGGAACCTGTGACCCTTCGGTGCTTGAGCTGACACTGAGCATACTGGCCAGGGCCCACCTGAGAGTTTTAAGTGGGGGATGAAGGTGGGGGTGGACGTGGCCTGGTTAGACCTGTCTGAAAAAGTGACTGCTGCAGCATGAAGAAAGAGGGGGTGTGGGTGAAGTTACAGGGTGAGTGCAGGAGACCCAGGGAGTGGGGTGGATGTGACAGCAGACAGAAGGACTGAAAGGGCCCAGGTGTGTGTCAGAGTTGGGTAATGGGAAGGGGAGAAAAGGGGGCAGCTTCAGGGATGACTCGCCAAAGTCTGGTTATGGACCAAGTCGCAGGGTGCGGAGGAGAGGCTGACAGCAGAGGGTGGGCCTGCGTGGGCCAGGTCACCTTAGCATGCAGGAGGTGTGCCAACATCTGCAGAGCAAGCGAGCTAACAAGTAAAGGTATGAGTCCTCCAGGGCAGGGGTGGAGTAAGCATTTGGGCCTAAAGCTCAGAACAGGTCAGGATGAAGGTGGATGTGCCCTGGAGCCCAGATGCAAGCCAGCTCGGGGTGGACAGAGGCCCACCTCCCACTGACACCACCTCACGAGCTGCACCCCGCCGATGGGCATTGGGTCACTGTCATCAGCATCTCCTGGCCTGTGAACGAAACACTGGGAGACTGGAATGTGGTCCCCCTGCACTGAAGGAGGAGGGTCCCCCTGCAGTGTGCCAGGCCCGGGTGTGGTACCAGGTCGCCCGCTACGCTCAGGCTTCCCAGCACTGTGGGGCAGGGTGGCACAGTGCCATCACTGATCTCTGGAAATCTTGGCTGCATGGGATGCTGGGTCTGTCAGAGGAGCTGGCCCACACGGCCCTCAGGGCTCGGCGTGTTGGGGGCCATCACGGACACACTGGAAGATTCTAAATCACACACGTGGAACACCATACCTGTGTCTCTGAATCCCATTCTCCTGCGGGGGCCTCTCCCCAGCTTCCCCAATGCCGTTGCTTTTGCTGGTGTCCACAGGCAGCCCTCCGGGGGCTCTCTGACTGGCCTCTGAAAATTCCCCAGAAGAGTTATCAGAATCAAAGCCTGCACAAGACAAACAGAGTGGTCATTTTTGCAGGATGTGGAAGATAAAAACCTGACTCCCAGAATTCTGTGCGAGCAGAATACCTGAAGGTCTAGATGCTTCTACGGGTACATTCAGATTCAGTCTGCTTCTCAACTACTAAGGGCAGAGAAGCAGGAGCATTTTGGGGCTCTTCCAAGGGAGACAGACTGTCCACTCTGACCAGAATTTCACATACACCAGGTTCCTTTGGGCCTGCTGGGGACTGTCGCTAACCTGAGGTTCAGCCTCAGGGCCCTAGAACAGGGTTCCTGTGGCTTTATTCAATGGCTCACACCCTTCTGGGCCGGAGCCTCTACAGCGCTCTAACCTGGCCCTCAAGGAGGCAGCATGTCCTTTCTGCGCAAGGTCTGCGGTCCTGCTCCACACCTCATCTTAAGATCTAACCCACTGGACTGGTTTCTAAGGAAGGCGGACACTGTGCTGAACAACTACCAGAACCAATCGGACCGATGGTCGCTGAGAGCAAGTGACTGGTTTAACTAGAGCACTCCTCCACAGCAGAGAAAACTGGGAAAATGAGCGATTTCAGCCTCACGTAAACTACAGTTGAATATGTTCTCCAGGCCACCCAGACTCCTCAAGAAGAGCGCCCACTAGGCCGTGCTCCAGGACCCTCCCCGCAAATGGGTTCCTCTCCAAGGAGCAGGCAACGGTGGGGAAGGAGGGCCTGCTCCCTCCACAAGAGAGCGGGTGCAGGCACTGGAGCACGGGCACTCTGCGCCCAAGCAAGGCAGAGGGGCTGGGCCACCAGGGCGAGGTGGCTCCTGCCAGTGACAGTGACGACCCAGACTACTTCAGCAGGGGCCTGTGCTCACAAGGAGCTCAGGGTTCCCCCAACAGCACCATTTCGCAGAAAGTAAGGCAAGGCCCAGGTGTAAAGCTAGGGGCTAATTGTTGTCAGACCCCAAACCTACAACATCTGCTGCTAAGCCTCACTGAGAATAAGCAAAATATCTTCTTTCATATTCTCCCACACTGACAAACTTATACAATGTAGGGGTGAGATTCATTGCACAACGATTTTGAAAGGATATATTAAAAATGAACCTCTTAAATGACCACTGTCTTCTGAAAGAGCCTCTAATGTTCGCGGCCAATCCCAAAAGCACATCTACTTGACCCCCAGTCTACACTTAGCTTGAAACGTCCTGACTTAAGAGAATGTCTGCAGGGTCTGCCCACTGTCCTATGCCAGGCGGCCTATCTCCACACACCTCCCTCAGCGCTGAGAGATTCATGTGGACCGTTCGCTTCAACTACAGCCGACATGTGACCAGTAAACAGGCCACACGTCGCTGACAATTATGTTGAGGTCTTGCCTCAAATTAAGCCAGTGCTCTGTAAACATGTATTTACTGCAGAAAAGAGGGAACCTGAAATCACTTGTGATCTGATCCTTCAGAGACAACCCCTTCTAACAGGCCAGTTCGGGAAGTTTTAACCCTCAGTCAGTACACAGTTTCACGGACTTGAAGACCTTTTCATTTTAACAGTTCTGGATCCTGGAGGAAGTGGTTGCCTGTTGAAGTCATCCTATATAATATAAGGCTAATATGCAAACTGACCAAACGGCAGACTGACCGGTTGCTATGACATGCACTGACCAACACAGGGCAGAAGCTCAACACAGGAGCTGCCTCCTGGTGGTCAGTGTGCTCCCACAGGGGGAGTGCTGCTCAGCCGGAAGCCCCGAGCTGGGCTCACAGCTGGTGAGCGCAGCGGCAGCGGTGGTGGGAGCCTCTCCCGCCTCCCCTAAGGATGTCCGACTGACAGCTTAGCCCAGTGGGAAGTGGGCCTAAGCCATCAGTCAGACATCCCCTGAGGGCTCCTGGACTGCGAGAAGGCACAGGCTGGGCTGAGGAACCCTCCCCCGCCACCCCGAGTACACAAATTTCATGCGCCAGGCCTCTAGTTCCTTTAATAACTGCTGGGTTCAGAGACTTTTTAGGTGAGTTACAAGGGGAGCCCAGTGCTCCAGACAGTGAAACAGGCTGCTCTGCGTCTCTGTGGCTACTTCACTGCAAGGGAACCCTTCCCACTGTCATTCCTCCCATTGTTTGTCTTGGAACCAAAGGATGGAGGTGACAAATCATTTCACCTGTCTTTTTCCCCTTTCCTGAGTCCATGCAGAGCATTACTGCTGTGCAGACAGACGAGAGGCACCACCCAAACGCCACACCATGTGAGTTCCAGACCTCTCCGGGAAAATCCTCTGGCAGAAACTCAGATGGCCAGTGGTCTCGGTCACACTGGCTCCCAGGAGAGAGGGACCCATGGAGGCCAGCCTCTCTGGAGGCCTGAAGGCAAGTCCCTGAGCCTGTCACCAAGTGGAGCTCAGTCTCACCAAGAGCTGAAGTGTGAAGAGCAGGCGAGTCACAGACACACCTCTGGGGGAACCTCCACAGGGCGCGCCTGAGGGATGGCGGCATGCTCAGTGCCCCTTCCTCCTGGGTTTCCCACAAGAATAAATCAGTGACCTGGGCTGCCTGTCCATGCACTGGTCCCCACCCCTCCTTTGGGAAAGAGAAGCATGGTGGTGATGGGCGCACGCCTCGAGAACGTGCTGACAAAGCTCAGGGGACAGTGACAGCCGTCACAAAGAACCTTGTGCTGTGCTGGGTGCCAGGTCATTTTGGCGGTAACAGCACAGGTGACCCCCTGACTGCACTTGGAAAGACCATCACTAACATCTGGATATCCAAAACAAGATTCCAAAAGTGGGCCCTGAGGGTGGCGGATAGAAAGTGAATGGCCGTCTTGAACTTTAAGAGCTTTGGACCTCAAGTGGTCACTGTGATGGGGGGAAGGGGCTGCTCTAAGTTTGTGTCCTGCCCAGCCCAGTGACCCAGCCTGCTGCCCCACCGACCTCACACAAACACTCCCCGCAACGCTGTTTCCACTCGGGCACACCCGAGCAGCTTTCCAACTACGGGCTATGTGCCACTACTTAGAATGGCTGTGGGAAAATGGAAAATAACTGAACTCTGGGCATTTACATGCAAGAGCAACTCTTTTAAAGACTAAAAACTGAATTGCCCTTTCTTATTATCTCCGGTCGCCTAAAGGTGAGCTTTCTCCCCAGATCTGGGAGTCAAGCCTGGGAACATGCTTTCCTGACCATCCTCACATCTGAAGAGTAGGTCTGAGACCCGGGTCCGTTCTCTGCACTCACCTGTGACGGCATCAAAGAACTCCTCGTCCCCGTTCATCCTCGGCAGCCAGGAGCCCTGCCCCGACCTGCAGTCTCCTACTGAATCATTGCCTGGTCTACATGGACGGTGTCAGGTGCTTCACACGGGGAGCTTTGTGGGGTGAAATCCAATAGGTGGTGCAGATCTAAGGGGAGAAACATTTTGGCATACTTAACTTTCAGAAGTTTTATGGCTTAGAAACATTTTTCAAATGCCCATTTGTCATTTTTTAAAATCAATCTCAATTACATCTTAGCAAAGAAATAAAATTAATGATTTAAAGACAAATGCATGAGCCTGGCCAGGGGCCTCAGTTGGTGGAGCATCATCCCCTACACCAAAAGTCTGTGGGTTCGATTACTGGTCAGGGCATATAACTAGTTTGTGGGTTCGATCCCCAGTCGGGGCACATATGGGAGACAACTGATCAATGATTCTCTCTCACATCAGTTTCTCTCTCTCCTTTCTTCTCTCTAAAATCAATAAAAAAACAGGCCTTGCTGGTTTGGCTCAGTGGATAAAACGTCAGCCTACGACTGAAGGGTCCCGGGTTTAATGCCAGTCAAAGGTTGCAGGCTCGATCCTGGTGGGGGGCATGCAGGAGACAGCTGATCAATGATTCTCTCTCATCACTGATGTTTCTATCTCTCTCTCTCCCTCTCCCTTCCTCTCTGAAATTAATAAAAAATATATATTTAAAACAAAACAAAAAAAATGATTTAAAAAAGAATTTTAAAAAAATCAATGAAAAACAAATAAGCATATCCTCAGTGAGAATTAAACAAAAATATTTTAAAATAACAAAATTTGCCCGGCTGGAGTGGCTCAGTGGTTGAGCATCAACCTATGAACCAGGTCAGGTTTGATTCCTGGTCAGTACACATGTCCAGGTTGCGGGCTCGATCCCCAGCGGGAGGTGGGGGGTGCAGGAGACAACCAATCAATGATTCTCTCTCATCACTGATGTTTCTATCTCTCTCCCTCTCCCTTCCTCTCTGAAATCAATAAAAATATATTTTAAAAATAACAAAATTCATGATTTCAGAAAATATGAGAGGAAACATTTATAATACAAATATCCAACAATAAATAGATCAATAAGTAATCATTATTTGAAGAGTTATTTTTATTTTAAAATCTTCGTCTACAGCCAAGGTTAGTGGCTCAGTAGTTCGAGCGCTGGATTTGATTCCTGGTCAAGGGCACACACCTGAGCTGCTGGCCCTGGTCAGGACGTGTGCGGGAGGCAACCAATCTATGTGTCTCCTTCACATCAATGTTTTTTTTCTCTCTCTCTTCCCCTCTTCGTTCCCTCCCTTCCACTCTCTCTAAAAATCAATGGAAAAAATATCCTCGGGTGAGGATTAACAAAAATAAATTAAAAATAAAACCATCACCTAAGTTGTATAAGAAATGGTAAAATGACTAGCTTGGGACAGTCACACGACCAGGATAGTTTCCATTCCCACATCCGAGGCCAGACAGAGCTCAGGGATTGTGCTGAAGTCTTTCTCAGAACAGGCAGGTGGTTATAAATGAAAAATCATGTTAAAATATTTGTTTCACATCAACAGGAAGCCAATTTTCAATTCTGGAGAAGCTGCTATATAAGTTAGCTATTATCAGCATAAACTGAAATCAACTTAAATTTCCTCAAAATTATTTTGGCTCAGCCCAGCTGGCATGGCTCAGTGGTTGAGTGTCAACCTATGAACCAGTGGTCACCGGTTCGATTCCCAGTCAGGACACATGCCCAGGTTGTGGACTCAATCTCCAGTATGCAGTGTGCAAGAGGCAGCCAATCCATGATTCTCTCTCAAGTCTAACAAATGCATCTTTACGTTTTTCTTAGAAAAACAGATCTAGTCACTTGGGAATCAGGTGACTGGCTAAGAGCTTGCGGACCTGGAGGGTTTATGTCCCCAGTCAGCTCACTAAAGAGCAGAATTTCATGTTCTTTCTCTTCTCTTTAAAAATGGGCAAGGCAACCGAGATGTAATCTTCACAGAGCACGGAAAATTCACCAATGATACAAAAACTCTGGGTCCTCTTTGGATGTTAACTATGAATTCTGAATTTAAATTGTTCAAAATAATATAAATTATATATAATAACTTCAAAATGCATTAGCAAGCAACCAGACAGAGGATAAATAAAGAGAGGCCTTCAACAACAAACTAACCCAACATGATCCAGCAGACACATGCAACATATACATTCTCCTCTGGTGCACACGGGACATTCTCCAGGACATGTGAGACCACAGATCCATCTCAGTGGATTTAAAAAGGCAGATATTATACAAAGCATCTTCTCTGACCACAAGAAGATGAGTTATAAATCAACAAAAGTAAAACTGGAAAGCCCACAAAACCGTAGAAATTAAATAGCATGCTCTTAAACAGCCCATGGATCAAAGAAGAAATCACAAGGGAAATATCCTCGGATAAGGATTAACAACAACAAAAGCAAGGAGGTTCAATCAGTAATAAAAAAGCTCCCAACAAAGAAAAGCCCTGTATCTGATGGCTTCACTGGTGAATTCCACCATTTCAATTGGAAATAACATCAAACCTCCTCAAAGTTTTCCCAAAAACCTGGAGATGGGAAAACTTCCTAACTCATTCTATGAGGCCAGCACAACCCTGACACCAAGGCCACATAAAGACACTACAAAAAAAGAAAACTACAGACTTACATCCCTTATGAACATTGATACAAAAAATCCTCAACAAAATACTAGCAAAGTAAACACATTAAAATGCATTCAGCAACACATTCAAAGGATTATACACCAAATGGGATTTATTCCTGGAATACAAGGATCATACGAAGATCAATGTAATACATCACATTCACAGAATGAAAAAAAACAACACACGATCATCTCAATGGATACAGATAAACCATCTGACCAACTTCAACACTTCATGATAAAAAACAAACAAACAAACACACACTCAATAAACTAGCAATAGAAGGATACTGCCAGCAATAGAAGGATACTCAATAAACTAGCAATAGAAGGATAGCTGAAAACTCCACAGGGAACATCATGTCAAAGGTGAAAGACTGAAAGCTTTTGCTCAAAGTTCAGAACAAGACAAGGATGCCCACTCACCAGTGCTATTGATCATAGTACTAGAAGTTCTAGCCAGAGTAATCAGACAAGAAAAAGAAATGAAAGGCATCAAAACTCAACAACAAAAAATAACCTGATTCAAAAATGGGCAAAGGACTTAAATAGACATTTCATTTCATCAAGGAAGATGCACAAATGGCCAACAGGGTGGCCTTGACAGGCAGGCAGAGGGGACACCAGCCTGACCCTGAGGAGTCAGCGGACCAGCACTTCTGGTTGGGACCTGACAGGTGATGGCCTAGAGCCCCACCATCCACAAGTTTCCCCAAGTCCCTTGCCTCCCCTAGAAACTGATATTCAACAGTGAGCACCAGAGACACACCAGATACTTCGAGGAACAGGGTCATGAATCTTGAACAATCCAGAACAAAGTGCTTCAGAACCCACACAAGATGAATGGAGGCTCTTCCATGCAAAGTGTTTGTGTCGATGAACCCTGTCATTCTGTTCTGTAGCAGAGAAAAGCAGTTCCAATGTAGGGAGAGGAAGGAAGCTCAGGGCAGCAGCCCCGCCCACCCAGGCACCATGCACCCTGAGAGCAGTGGAGAAATCAGACCCGTCAGTAGGGCCACTGCCCTCTGCTTGTCCACTTCCAAGAGCAGAACCAGAGCCCTGGACTAGCAGGTGGCGACTGGTCAACTGGAAGACCCAGCATTGCAGCCCTAGGGGCAGTGGGAAGCCCTGGAGGGGTGTGGAGCATGCCCACCCCCCACCATCCCACCTCCCACCCCCGTGTCCCCAGTGCCCTGCTGCCCTGCCTGGAGCATCTATGCAGTCAGTCCAGATGCTTCGGATGCCAGCTCCAACAGGCAGAATCCAGTCTGAGACCCTCGCCCTTTTGCCTGCTGCCTCTCCCACCCCAGGGCCTTCCTTGTCAGTTCTCACACGAGTTCTACCTGCTCAGCCTCTGAACCAGTTTCACTGAGCTGAGAAACTGGTCACCCCAACATGAGACCTGCCCGCTCACTCCCAACTACACTTCCTGAGCCCTAATGGGGGTGGGGTTTAAACCAAGGTCAGGAAAATCCCTGAATTACTATACCCTCCCTCCCAAAGAGAGCAAATAAAAAAGAGAAAATGACAAACTTTTGTTTGTGTTCATTTTTCCCCAGGAAGATGACTCAGACTCTCCACTAGGTTCTCAAGGGGTCGCTGATCCAGAATAGGGTTAAGACCCCACCAGGGGTTCCAAGCATGCCTGAGGGCATAGCAACGAGGTGGGATGTGATGCACATCCCCGGGCCTCCCTCCCGAAGCCACACTTCTTTCTTTTTTTTAAATATATTTTTATTGATTTCAAAGAGGAAGGGAGAGGGAGAGACACATCAATGAGAGAGAATCATGATAGGCTGCCTCCTGCGTGCCTCCCACTGGGGATCGAGCCCACAATTGGAGCATGTGCCCTGACTGGGAATCAAACCGGTAACCTCCTGGTTCATGGGTCGATGTCAACCACTGAGCTACACCAGCCGGGCCAAAGCCCCACTTCTTATGAGGTTCCCAGCAGCCAGGTGAAAACCCTACAAAGTCAGCCAGGGACCTTCTACCCTGATGAGCATCGACAGTCAACCCCATGCCTGCAGAACTGCCTTAAAAACAGAACCGTGGCAACACTGGGGGCTGCACCTGCACTGGAAACCAAACCCCTCCCTCCCCACTACCTGCCCGCAGGCGGTGTAACATTTCCCACGCTAATTCCTCTGTGGAATGCCAGCACTCGGAGCCTAACTCACCCTGAGCTCCGTAAACGTGGCCCTGGCCCTTCTCCTTCAGTGTCAGACAGGTGCCTGTTAACATCTGCCACCACTGCAGTCCTTAAAGCTTCTGCAGGGACATCAGATCACACAGCCACCCTGATATTAGGGCACTAGTGGAAGTCACTTTCCAGCCACGCCCAGCGTACAGGTGCCAGATGACAGCTGGCACTGTCTCAGCCTGGGAGCAGCCTTCGTTGGTTCAGTGGGACACACAGCTCTCACCCTGTGTGTCACAGCCTGCCCTCCCCGCTGGCTGCCATCCTCCTCTCTGGAACCTGAAGTCAGGTCAACTTCCCCACAAACCATCCTCAGACCATTCTTCCCAAGCACCTGACACCAGCCTGGAACAAGCTTTTCCTGGCACCTTTTAAGGCTAGTGCTTCCACCCTCTGGTCAAGGTACCAGCTCAAGTCAGACAGGTCTGCCAACCAAGAGCCACTCGGTGGTTCCCATGTCGGCATGACTCAACAGAGCTGTGGGAGGGAGGTGCCCAGGTCAACAGAAGCGCACCTTCCCTCTGCCCTCCTTCTCAGACCCGCTGCGGGACCAGGGTTAGCTCGGCCAGCGCAATCCCAGAGTCCACGTCTCAAAACAACCCGCAAGATTCCACTGACACGCAGAGAAGGAGCAACAGACGCAAACACCAGGCAGAAGTCTACAAGCATCACTGCTGCTCACAGTCCTTTCCCACGGCGGACTGCACTGTTCAGCTCAGGGCACAGGTCAGAGTACTTGTGTGACCAGAAGGTTCCAGTGACAGCACGAGATGCTCTGAGATTCTGCCGGGGGACCCTAAGTTCTTTTCTGAATTTGGATAGAAAAGGAAAGAAGCGCCATGATGTTCACGGACACGGCTAGGTGACCATTTAACCACATGGTCATTAAGGAGAGCTGTGGGCATGTGTGGGTCCACCACACCATGTATCCACGGTGGGCTTGACCCTGGCAGGGCCAACACCAGAGATTTACCATGAAAAACACTTTGAAAACATAAAAATTATAGCAGAGATACAAATTAACCACTGTCCAAAGAAACTGCCATTTAATGTGTCAAACTAGTCCCTAAAATGAACTCTTAGGATTTAAATATTTCTTAATATTTAAGTCATGTTCAAATACTAACTTCCATTCAGTCTCGATAAGCTCAAGACCAACCTTGAAGTGCACCGAGTTTCAGAATCAAGCCTCGCCCTTGATAGTGCTCAACTCTACTGCCCTGGCTGGTTTGGCTCAATGAACAGAGCCTCGGCCTGTGGACCGAAGGGTCCCGGGTTCGATTTCAGGCAAGTACCTCCGTTGCTCCTCCCCAGCCTGGGCCCTGGTTGGGGCTCGTGCAGGAAGCAGCTGTCGATGTGTTTCTCTCACATCAATGTCTCTCTGTCTTTCCCTCTCTCTTCCACTCTCTCTAACAATCAATAGAAAAATATCCTCGAGTGAGGAATAAACAATAAATAAACTCTATGAACGTCAGCCTCCAGCAGGAAGTACGGCAGTGACCAGGAGACAGCCACACCCCCACTGTTCACATACTGTCCAGGGCCTCAGCTGAGTGACAGCAGGTGCTCATGGGTCCAGGGGTCTTTTTATAGTCGTTCTTATAAAGTGTCACTGTAACATTCAATAGAATGCAAATCTGCCTAAGAAAAGATTTATGTGGCCTCACTTCTAAATTCAATTTTTGTGTGTGTCTATGCGTCACTGTTGGGTGGGGTCAATGTCAATGCTCTCAGGTCAGTGACTGAAGGGGAACTGGGCACCTAGTACAACACCAGACACTCCTTACATTTTCTTCACATGTATTCCACACAATAACCCATTTTGCAGGCAAAGTTAGAAAGTGAGGGAGCCGGAGCCGGAGCCCGAGAGCTCCCAGCCTGGGCTTGCCCTCTGATCTCCAGGAAGATTCCTAACCTCTTGAATGGAACACATTGGTCACGTCAGGCCCATTGTCACAGCTTTCCTACAAATACATAAGCTCTGTAAGCCTACGGACACCACAGCCAAACCCCAGGACAAGAGGCGACCTTGGCTTCTCATGGGAATACCAAAGCAGTCATATGCAAGAGACAGTTAATTCCCTGTTGGAAGATAGCATAAAAGTACATAAAATGTTTCAAAACTTGCCCCACCAAAAACAAAAAAAGTGTTACTTATGTAATTAGCTGGATGTAATACAATTGGAAAGTTAAGCAGCTTTTTAGCACAGATCCTATCTAGGACTCATTTGCTAGCCTGTGCTGGAGGCACGGATAGGAGTCTAGGATGAGAAGCAAGTGGCACTCACTTCTTTTTTTTTTTTTTTTTTAATATATTTTATTGATTTTTCACAGAGAGGAAGGGAAAGAGATAGAAAGTCAGAAACATCGATGAGAGAGAAACATCGATCAGCTGCCTCCTGCACATCTCCCACTGGGGACGTGCCCGCAACCCAGGCACATGCCCTTGACCGGAATCGAACCCGGGACCTTTCAGTCCGCAGGCTGACGCTCCATCCACTGAGCCAAACCGGTTTCGGCGTGGCACTCACTTCTTAAACACTAAAGTAACACTGCGCATCGCATCGAAATGTCAAACAGATAGGAGTCTGAGCCCTAAATGCAGGTGAGAGGAGGGCAGGAGCCTCATGCACACTCAACAGCCACCTGCATTAAGCTCGCTCAGAGCCGAATCCCCAAGGGCAACCTTGTCCTTTGCACTGTGGACCTCCATCGCCACTCCTGCTCCTCCAACTCCCCCTCTCCCACCACGAGCGGTAATGACTTCACTACTGACTAGGGCAAGGGGCTTGGCTAAATCTGGGACAGCACGATAATCACTTTGTGGTGTTTTTTTCTCAGTCTATTTATTCTAAGTTATAATATTCTTTTCACCGAGAATCACTTTATTTTAGAAGAAATAAAATGGTTTTATAAACATTTGTGCTCACAAAAGAATGAAAATCGATTATCTCTGTGGCAAGAAACAAAGTTCGGACACACTGTAATGCAGCACAATTAGAATGTTTTAAAGGAAAATGGTGAGGGGACGTTGTAAATGAAAATTTTGGTTTTAAAAGGGTGTATAGAGAGGAATTTCAGAGTGTGAACTTCGGCCCTAGCCGGTGGCTCAGTGGTTAGTGTCAGTCCGCAGACTGAAGGGTCCCGGGTCCGATTCTGGTCAAGGGCACATCCCTCAGGGCGCGTGGGAGGCAACCTATCAGTGTGTCTCTCTCACATCAATATTTCTCTCCCTGTCTCGGGAGAGGATTAACAGCAACAACAGAAAAGAGTGTGAACTCCAGAGCCAGACTGCCTCCCTGCTCCATAACTCACTGCTGCGGGATGTAGAGTACGTTACTTCGCCTCTCCATTCCTCAGCTGCCACGTGAGTGGCATGCAGCACTGGTCTCGCAGTGGAGGCTCATGTCAGCACTGGTCTCGCAGGTTGTTGCGAAGACCACGTGGATGAAGCAACTATAAGGTGCTTCTGGCCATCCTGGAACAACTGCTACATGTCATCATCACCTCAGGTAAGAGCTGCTAGCAGGGGGGCACAGAAGGCAAACAGGAAAGGTAAATTCTACTGAGAAGACCCATCTGTTTACTCATCACTCACTGTCCTGTTTTAAATGACACCAGCTCCAGCACCCAGGGCTGGTCAAGAAGGAAGTGTAGCCAGTAAGTTTCCTGTCCTCAGCAAGGGAGAGGGACCTAACGATTTGGAGCACCTGCCATGTGCCAGAGCCTGCTGGGGGCAATCATTACATCTGCTTCTCTCATCAGCCCACCAGGTGGGGGTACCTGTCACACGGGGCCAGGAAAGATGGCAAGCCCAGCACAGTGAGGAGGGCTGCTGCTTGCTCGCTGTGGCCTGTCATCTCCAGGGACACAGGCAATGAGACCCATCTCCAGATGGGCACGGGCAGGCCCAGCAAGGGGCTAACGCAAGAGCTGTGCCTAGAGGCAAGCTCTGGATCACAAGGTCCAGAGCTTGTCCTAGACCAGTGATGGAGAACCTATAACTCATTTTTTTGGTTGATTTTTATTTGTTAAATGGCATTTAAATATATAAAATAAATATCAAAAATATAAGTCTTTGTTTTACTATGGTTGCAAATATCAAAACATTTCTATATGTGACACGGCACCAGAGTTAAGTTAGGGTTTTTCAAAATGCTGACACGCCGAGCTCAAAAGGTTCGCCATCACTGCCCTAGACTGACCCTTCGGGATAAACCCCCAAAACCTGAGCACAGCTTCCTGGGAGGCGATCCCCTCACTCAGGAGCGACCCCAACTACCTAACCACCAGCTTCTGGGCTCACCAGCTTACACAGTCACCGGGTTTTTGATCAACTGTGGAATTTAACTCAGAGCAGGAAGGAACCTTGGAAAACCGGTCTCCATCTGTGCTTACAAACTACCAAGTGCAAGTCCTACTCTCCCGGTCGCCGCGTTAACTGTGAAGGAGGGAGCCCTTGAAAATCTGATGGCATATCTAGGTGAGCTAACATGCGCGCCAGGTAGGAGCTCCCCACTGGCCGTGTGGTCTGCTATGGTGACAAACGAAAAATAAGACAGAGCAGGGTCAGGGGTGGGCACGGGCACAAGCCTTCCGCGAGAGGTCTCCACCGGTGGCCGCCCCGGGAGGGGCGGGGTCTCTAGCAGCGGGGACTGACTTCTCACCTCAAATATGCGAGTGAAGCGAGGGGTCCAAATGCCCCCCCGGCCGGCGAGCCCACCGTATGGATGACCCCGACAGCGACCGAGGCCAGCAGGCGCCCCGGCCTCCGAGTTCGCCCCGAACCCGACTTCCGGCTGCGGCGGCAGGTCTGGCTGGGACCACAGTTGCCTGGCGACGCGGGGTCTCGGCTGCCGCCCGGGACCTAGGCCCAACGCCCCGCCACCAGCGCCAACTTTCCTCCCAAGTTCCCTCGCGGCCGAGACTCCAGGGCCGGGGCCTGCTCGCCGGGGGGTAGGCTCCGGGCTCGGGCTACCCGGGCCCGGTCCGGCCTCCTCGCCGCCCAACCGCCCGAGGCCGGGAGCCGTTCCCGGCGATGCGGGTTCCGGGCCGGGGTCCGGGCTGGGTCACTCACCTGGACCGCGGTCCGTCCGGCGGCCGCCTAGCCTCGCTGCCCGCCCCGCCCCGCGCGACCCACTGACACCGAGGCGGAAGTGCGGCCGGCCGCCCGCGGACTGGCAGCCCGCGCCAGCCACTTGAGGCGCCCCGCGCCACCGCGTAGACCGCCGCCTGCCCAATCAGTGCTCCACCCGAGAGCAGCGCTGGGAGGCGGGACTATACTAATCACTTTGCTGGAGTGACACCTTCTACGCCCCTCGAAGGTCCCGCCCATATGGAGGAGTGACGACGCTAATAGCCAATCATAGCATGGAGAGGCGGGGTTATGCAGATATTGACCCGAAGAGGGCGGGGGAGAGGTAGGAAGGGGCGAGGCTTGGAGAGCTGAGTTTACAAACAGCGAGTCAGGTGGCTGGCGCGGGCTCTGTGCCCAAGGCTCGCAACTCCCTAGGGCGGGCGGTGCCTCTGGCAACTCAAGCATCTTCAGGCCTCCCCATCGCCCAAACTCCTTGGCATGCCCTTCACCGCTCAGCAAAACCCAGCGCCTATTTACCCTTGGCTGCATTCCTGACCGTTCCCTCTCCTGTTTAAAATCTTTGGAAGTTCCTGACCTCCAGCGGCTCCATGGTTAAGCCCAGGAGCTCTGGAGTGAGACCCCAGCTTGCATCCTTACTAGCTGTGTGGCCTTGAGCTTATGAGCACCGCAATTTTCCTTTGCAAATCAGTGTCTCCCACCCTCCTCCATTTGAGTCTTGGGTCTGATTTGGGGTGGGTGGAGTAACATGAACCAGGCTGGCTCAGGGGTGAGCAGGTGACCCTGTACTGGCCAAGGAGGGTCAGTCCTGGGGTTTTTGCTGGAGATCAGAGAGCTCAGGCCAGAGGGATGGCTGAGGTCAAATGACTCTCCTATCTGCTCACAGACCTTCCCAGAATTGAGGTAGGTGACAGAAAGATGTAAGTATGGGGCTACTGAAGCATCCTGTCACCATAAATGGAGGGAGCACCCGAGAATGAAGCCCACCCAGAGGAAACAAGAGCAAATACCCCGAGCCACCTGGGACCAGCCGCACCTTAAGCATGCTCTATTCTAGACTTTTCAGGTATCTGGCCAGCTACCTTTTCCTTCCTGCTGAAGTCAGTGAATAGACCCCCAGAGCACTGCTGGTCCCCACGATCACAGAGCGCATCCTGAAGACCCTGCTCACCGCTACCTCTCCTACAAAGCCAGCCCCAGCTGGGCCTCTGCACTCCCTCCTCAGAATGTGTTTCTCCACTTCCAGCAGTGGGGAATGACACACAGGTTGCCCCAGCAGGACAAGTGTGCCTGGGGGTCAGGAGTAGGCCTTAGTGGCAGACGCTGGTGCTCCCTGTAAACATCAGGGCCAAGGGGAGTGGCCAGGGTCTCTGTAGCAAGGGTGGAGCTCAGGCAGCATTTCTGGGACCAGAAAGCCAGCCGTCCCCATCCCCAGGCTGGGCCAGCTCACTGGTGGGCCCACTGTCAGCCGCTGCTGGAAAAGAATCCCTCCCAGCCTCTGCTGCTGCGAGAAACCAGAGGGAGGCGGGGCTGGGCCTCAGAAACAAAGGTGTTTCCATGGTTACCCTTGAAGAAACCGACTGCAGCAGGAGAAGGAAGGGTATGGAGGGCATGCCGGCCCCCAAGCCCGGACACTGGACAAGGCCAGTTGCCAGGGAGATGCTTGCAGCTTCCCTTGTAGGCCTGGCCCTGACCCATCAGAATCCTGGAAAACCACCACCCCACCCTCCACGACCCTCACCCTGACTAGTCCCTAAGGCTCTGACCCTCATTCAAAGGACAGGTCATAGCCCAGCCAGTGTGGTTCAGTGGTTGAGCATCAACCTATGAACTAGGAGGTCACAATTCGATTCCCAGTCAGGGTATATGCCAGGGTTGTGGGCTCAATCCCCAGTGTGGGGCATGCAGGAGGCAGCCAATCATTGATTCTCTGTCATCATTGATGTTTCTATCTCTCTCCCTTTCCCTTCCTCCCTGAAATCAACAAAAATGTATTTTTTTTAAAAAAGAAAAAAAAGACCGGCCTTAGAGAGGCTCAATCTATCAGCCCAACCCTTGGCCATGAACTTGGAGGTGAGTGAGCTGGGGCAGGAGGAGAAGTTGGGGTCCAGTGAGCCTCCAGTCTGCCCATGGATCAGCCCATGCTACCCCCTTTAAACAGAAGCAATATGCTGGGTTCCCAACTGCTGCTGCCTCCTCCTGGCCCTGAGGCAGGGATTGGGTGGGAACCCTCCCTCAGTTGGAGGCTGGAAGGAAGGTGCCTTGGAACCAACTCAGGGACATTTTCATAATCTTTGCTAGATGAAGAGGCTAGTTCCAGAGGCAAGATTCTGCAGGAATGGGACAAAGGACAGGAGCAGAAACGGAGACAGAGGTTTGGGCCATGCAGTAATGACATGACAGTGACAGCTGACATTATCCAGGCCTGTGATTTATATGCCTCATCCAGTTTCGTGTTTGCAACAGCCGACCGAGTAGACACTATGTGTCACATTCCCACTTTTCAGATGAGCAGGCGACTGGGCCTGCTCTGCGGAAGCAGCCCCTACACGTCCCAGACCAGGATCTGCACCTGAACAAGATGCCCAGGTGCTCCTAGGTGGCTGAGACCTTAGGGGCCTCATGGGTCATGATATCAACCGACTGATGACCTGCTACATAGTGGGGGGTCATCACGGTGCCCCCTTCCATCCTGACCATTGAGCCTGGCTCAGGTCCTAGAGTCCTCTCAGGACCCCAGGGATCCATCCGTATGTGGTCCCCAGAGCTTGAGACATGCTGGTCTAATCATTTTGTGGTGACTACTCCCACCAGAACTACTCTCAGGCCAGGCCAGCCCCAAGAGGGAACCCCACAGTCCTGCGGGTCTGTGACTCCCTAGGCAGGGATGATTGGAGCCTCCCTATCACAATTCCTTCTGAGTCAGAATCAGGGACTATCATGGACCAGGACCCCGCAGCCAGCGGACCCTGCGGGCTGAGGCCTGGCTGCTGGGGTCAGAGGCGCCAGCCACATGGAAACGCATGGGGGCTTTGCCCCGAGAAAGCACATTCACAGGCACCATCCTCGAGGAGGCTGAGCAGCGGCAATTGCTCCCCACTTTGGATGGGGAAACTGAGGCTCAGAGAGTGGAGCAGCCTGCTCAGGGCCATACGGCAGAGCAAGTCAGCAATGCCAGCCCTGCCCATCACCCGCTGCCCTTTCCCCAACTCCACTCCTACCTTCCCAGCAGGTTTCTGGGCCTGAGCTGATATCTTATCTCTGTCTGCGGCCAGAGCTGTCTCCTGCGCTCCAGCAGGGCTGGGCATCCAAGAATGCTGGGGCCCAGCATTGCTGACCGGCCTTTGCCCCGGGAGCCTGGCCTGAGGCTCGCTTCTCTCCCTGCCACCCCCACTGCCTTCTGTGGATTGCTGGGGAATCTGCTACCCGGTGCAGCACGGGCGGTGGCCACTGCCGCCTGGCCCTGCCCCTCACGTGGCCCAAGCTGGTCCTTCCCACACAACTTTCCAATCTGTGCAACGTGACGGTGCTTGGCGCCCTGTGGTCGGAAGAGAGTATTTTTAGTGTTGAACCCACCACCTGAAGAGAGACAACTTATCAATAGCAGCAGCAAGGGGCTTTTTCTTTTTTTCCCCATGGCTTCGGGACCTGAGCAATCTGCGCCCATTAAATTCTGCCAACTTTAAAAAAAATAAATCTGTATTGATTTCAGAGAGGAAGAGAGAGGGAGAGAGAGATAGAAACACCAATAATGAGAGACAGCCCGGCTGGCGTGGCTCAGCAGTTCAGCGTGGACCTGTGAGCCAGGAGGTCACAGTCAGGGCACATGCCTGGGTTGTGGGCTTGATCCCCAGTAGGGGGCAGGCAGGAGGCAGCCGATCAATGACCCTCTCTCATCATTGATGTTTCTCTCTTTCTCTCCCTCTCCCTTCCTCTCTGAAATTAATTTAAAAATTAAAAATTGGGAGACTTTTCTATGAAATGTTTTGTAGGATGCTGGAGTGGCCATCCACCCTGCTGGGGGGACATTTGAGCCAACTTGGCTGCCTGCCCTTTAGAATTAGTTAGAGCTACAGGCAGGTAAGTTACCAGGCATCCTCAGGGACCCGGTTTCTATGTTATTGTACCACCCTTCTAGTGTTGGGTCCCATTCTCATTGTCACCTCATGGCCCAATATGGCTGCTTGTGCTCCAGCCATCACGTGTGCATTTGATCAGGAAGAAGGAGACCGGGAAAGAACAAGGACTGGGCTGACCACTAGGTGAGTCAGCTCCCTGGTGTATCTGTCCCTGAAGATACACCAAGCACTTCTGCTGACATCTCCCTGGCGAGACCTTCATCCCACGCTGTTATTGGTGCAACAGCAGCATTTTGCTGAGCGCACTGCCAGCCTGAATAACACAGAGGACTCAGGGGAGAGGATCAAGGGAGGCTACTTGTCAGAGGACCTGTGCGGACCCCTGAGCCTATGGCTAGGCCTGCCTTTGGCCTCCAGGTGTCCTCCAGGTTCGGCCAGGGCAGGCCCAGAGTTGGACACCTCTCAAGATGTGGGTTCACCACCACTGCCTGGGAAGTGGGGCGGTGCCAGGTGCAAGGCAGAACTCTCAGCTCTCAGTCCCTGACACCCTTGCCACACAGACTGGGCCCTACTGAGCTCCAGCAGCCTGTGGAGTGGAGCCTCCCACGGTCCCGACCGCTGAAGCACTCGTGGCTGTGCCCTGAGCACCGTTTCCTCTCGAAGTGCCTGCTGAGCACCTGCTGCCCTGCTGGCCCTGCGTGGGGCAGGTGTGCGCCCCCGTGAGCAAACTCAGACCCAGGGGCCACAGGGCAAGGAGGGGGCCCTGCTCTTCTCTCTCCACCCTTCCCAGGGGTTCTGGTGGTTGTAGGCACATCCGAGCAGGGACCAGTGAGGCAGGAGGGAGCAGGAAGGTTTTAACTTTCCAGATGGGGCTAGGCCCGGTGCAGGGGTGGAG